TACCTTATTCAAGTACAGATCTACTCAAAAGAGGTTTTACCTTATTCAAGTACAGGCCTACTCAATAGAGGTTTTACCTTATTTAAGTACAGACCTACTCAATAGAGGTTTTTACCTTATTCAAGTACAGACCTACTCAATAGAGGTTTTTACCATATTCAAGTACAGACCTACTCAATAGATGTTTTTACCTTATTTAAGTACAGACCTATTCAATAGAGGTTTTACCTTATTTAAGTACAGACCTACTCAATAGAGATTTTACCTTATTTAAGTACAGACCTACTCAATAGAGGTTTTTACCTTATTTAAGTACAGACCTATTCAATAGATGTTTTTACCTTATTCAAATACAGACCTACTGAATAGAGGTTTTTACCTTATTCAAATACAGACCTACTCAATAGAGGTTTTTACCTTATTCAAATACAGACCTACTCAATAGAGGTTGTTACCCTAATTAAGTACAGACCTACTCAATAGAGGTTTTTACCTTATTCAAGTACAGACCTACTCAATAGATGTTGTTACCTTATTTAAGTACAGACCTACTCAATAGAGGTTTTACCTTATTCAAGTACAGACCTACTCAATAGAGGTTGTTACCCTAATTAAGTACAGTCCTTCTCAATAGAGGTTTTTTATCCTAATTAAGTACAGACCTTCTCAAAAGAGGTTTTCCCTTCTTGCAAGTTCGGGTCTATTTGATAGAGGTTGTTTCCTTATTAATACAGACCACCTTAATAGAAGTAGTTTCCCTTCTTGAAGGAAACCAAATTACACAAGCAGTCCTTGTATCACAAGGGGCAACCAAGTATGTTCAATTTTACTCAGTATTAAACATGATAAAATGAATTCCGGTTTCTAAAAGCAATTGTTTGTTAGAAACATCACTAATGCCTGATAACTAATATAGATTGTGTGAGTGGAATATTATCTAATGACACGTAATGGAAAGATTAGTTATCTCTGTATTAGGGACATTAATTTACTAATCTAGCCCTAACTCAGAGTTACTATTAGTGTATGTAGTCAACAAGTTTATTTTATTTTGATTTATTCAACCTCTAAAGTCAAACCTTTATATTGTATACCTGATTCTTCACTATGTCAAGCTATTACAAACTGTGTCTAATACCATGACATCATTATGCACTTATCTTGTATTACGCTATTGATTGGATTGTATGCTAGTGACTACAGCAAATTAGAGTCCTTGACAGATAGACTGTAACCATTACGGCTTACACTCATGACATCTGATAAGTGACAAGTGAAAAATAACTTGATACAAGAAGGAAAGTTCCTCATGATGTCAAGGTCTTGGTTTGAAATTGTGAAGATGGTACACCTGATACCTAGACTCTTCGTGTTATAGTGGACAAATACATCAAAATCAAATTAATAATTACTATAAGCTAGTGAAAGAAAGAAACAACAGTATTTTACAAGGATAACTAATAATTAAGGATTCTTTCTACCAGCTGGCCTTGGCCAAACCACTTGGCATTGATCTTTCCCGGCTTATCCATACCCATTTACAGTTGTGTCAACTGGAATAATGAGTGAAGCGAAGGTCATCTGACTTTCACATATCGAACCCCACAGCCATCATTTGTTTAAATGACGTTGTGTAAAGAAATGTGCAACGCTCTAACCAACTTTGCTATAAAACCTAACTAAGAACCCTTAGTAAAGAAATAATTTAGGTGACAATATGCCTCAAGGTAATATAGCCTAGATTGAATTTATATGGAATTAGTTTTAATCTATTTCTGGTAAATATGGATGAAATATGTTACAATGACCACAAAAAAATCTCTAGGTGATTAGAAACCATACCAGAACAGATATATCTAATATATTTTATCAGCCTTGAATGACAACCATAACTTCAAATAAAAAGAAATCACACAATGTTCACAACTGACAATTAAAGGGATTCTACAGAGGTTTTCAAAATTTTTTTATGTGTCAGGGCCACTGATAGCATCAGTTTGCACCATTTCCACTTGCAATCAGATGACTGTGTTGCCTGCTACTCCACTAAAACTAAATCTAAGTGTTTGATATTATCACTAATTGCAAAGGGCGTTATGTGATAATGATAAAGATTAGTGACATCATCAAATACCTAGTTTTAGTGGAATGACAGGAATCACAAACGTCTAATTGAAAATTACAATGGTGCAGATTAATGAGCATATCAGTGTCCCCAATTGACACAAACAAATTTAGAAAACTCCTTACAATCCCTTAAATGTTCTATACTTGGCCATTCGATTGCACTTTTGAAATGATTGGCATAAAGTACTTTGAATTTGAAAATTCTCTCATATAGCTGTTTAAATTATCAAACTAAACCAACCAATACGACCCTTGCAGCTCAACCAAACTTTTCTTTTCCTAAATAAAGGATGTAATGAGAAAATTTAACAGGTATAAATACTCCTCCCTGATCAATACCTTTTAATAAATAATTATAGGTCAAACAGGGACTTCACTATAGAACAACGTAGATATTATTAAAACATCAATAGAACCATTTTATGAAAATAAGTTAAAAATCACATAATATATCTAATACTGAAAACTTAGGTTTCTGGAATGAAGAAATTGCAAAGTTTTAATCCGTTTAGAAACATAATGCCCTAAAAGCTTTAATATATCTTTCTTTAAGATAAAAGAATTCATTTCCATAAAAGGAATGTGTTTCCTGCTTTTAAGAATTCAGTTTTATTTCATCATAGGAAACAATAAAAATAGCCAACATAAATGGCTGAAATTTTTCATCATACTTACTACCACCAATAAGGTGTAGCGATATAAACTAATTCTGGCTATAGGAGATGATGGCCATGATGTCATAGAGGTGGGTTGTATATCACATAATACACAACTTTAACAGTTGTAAGAGTGGTTTCGTCCTAGTCATGTCTTGCATGTGTTCCATTTATAGCATATCATCACTAAGCTGATTTCTCCTATTGCTTAAGCAGAGTAAAGTATAAGTCTTTCCATTTAATACTTTGAAAACAAAAATCAATGATGTAAGCTTACCGATACTACAAGAAAACCATATCTTTTAACACCCCTATTCTAATTTCAATAGTTCCAATTTCTTTTTTGGGAGACAAAAATGTCTACATTTGAAGCATTTAATGGAAGAAATTCAAAAAGAGATTCTATTCTATTATTACCTTATTAGAGTACAGAGGATATTTCACACTGAAAATACTTCACAAGGATTTCACAGGCAGCATGCAGAGTAAGACTGGAAACTCCAAACAAATTGACAAAAGTGACAGAACTGTACACATCAAGATCCAAAACTAATCTGTCCAACAGGGAACACAAGTTACTAAAACTAAGATCAAGTTTGGCTATTCCCAAGAAGAGCAGAAAAGTGCTCACCCTAAGAATTAAGCCAATTAACAAGCCAAACTGTTATATAAAAAGATGTAATTAGTGTTGAACTGTGTTAGTAATAATAAGAATAGTGAATACTAATCAGTTTATAATTCTGTATAATTTGAACTTTTAAGTTATAAAGCTCATCTCAAATCTAAAATTAACTAGCTTATGCAACACCACTTATTATAAAAGTAATCAAATGATATAATATGAGCACATCTTTGAATATTTTTCTTTAAGCAAACTGCACAACTGACCTATTTAATATTTAGAACCATATAACACACAAACGCACAAGTTATTTCTGAATTTGTGAATGCTTACTACCAATAAAGGACATGTTTGAATTGTTATAGAGATGATAAAATAGGTATAAACAATTATAGTAGTCAATACTAATATAGGATAGTATAATAAACTGCACAAGTAACACCAATTAAATTACATCAAACATCAAAGTATCCAAAGTGATTTGTACCAAGGTGTTTTATCTTTGCTGTAAAATATTTCGGAAATAATGAAACAAACAGGATACAGAATAAGACCTGGCATATTCTATCATTAATATATTACACAAACAATAAAATCTAATAAAACAAAATTTATGATGTTATGATAAAATGATCAATTAGACTTCAAAGACATGATGATAAATCTTCTATAAAAATTAATATTGTTTTTGTCAATCATTTCACAAGCAAGGAATATGATCAATTACTCCCACAAATAAAATGAATTTTTTGCTTCTCTAGTGCAGGCTAATGAAACTGGCAATATTTTAAAATTTAAACAAGTTTTGCTTGGACTGTGGCATATGCCTTCTCTTTTAATTCATTAAAGTAATATTTGTCTCTTAGCAGTGTGCAATGATAGAATATTTGCCATGGCAGTGGCATAACCCTACTATTTTAATTAATAACAGTAATTATTATCTATATAAGTTAATTGTGTCCAGTTATCAATGTTTAAACATCAATTCTACAGTCATAAACTTCTTGTTGTTTTTAGATTTAACAAATTATTTCATTTATTTACTGAAAATCATTTTGTACTCTGGTATCCGCTTATATTAACAGGAAGTGTGCAATGACAAAAAAATTGCCAGGACAGTGGCATAAGCCTACTCTATTTTAGTAATTGTTATCTGTATAATTATGTCCAGTTATTTAATGTATTAAACAATATTTACAATTCTACTATCACTCCCTTCTATAAACCAGTCGTTCATTTAAAAAAAATAAAGCCATCATAAAAGTCATAAACTTCATCATTATTTAGTTAGTCACATGATCAATTTTGATTACACTCCAATAATGCTTTGATAAAAAAAATTTTGTCGTTTTCTCATTTCACAAATATCTCTTTTCATTAAAAATCATCTGTGATGATTAAAAACTAAATTGTTAATCCAAAATAATGTAGCAATAATTGATAGTAAACTGATGGTAATAGTTTTAGTTTTTCAGATTAAATAATAATAACTATCAATATATAAATAGTTTTGGTAGTGTCTTGATCAGATAAAACAATGAAAAGGAGAAAATGATTCAAATGAAGTACAACCCCAGAGACTTGAAGACAATGAATTATATTAATGATATGATTTTACGTGCTTGCTGACACACGAGAGAGAGAGATGAAATCAACTCTGTGATATCCTGTGTATACAAATTAAAACAAAGTACAGATTATAACATATAAAGTGGTTATTGTCATTGCAAAATTGTGACATTCTGTTTTTGAACAATTGTTTCAATTCAATAATTTTTAAATTAAATTTTATTATATCTGTCTTGCACAATTGTCCCACTGTTGATATTTACAATAATAGAATGTTGTATTTCATTTAATGTTAAAAAAAAACACATTGTTATGACTGTGTTGTACAGTATTGGTGTTCATTGTTGTGTTTTTGTATAATTGATTTTATTTAAAGACATTGGTATGTGTTGTGTTGTATTAAAGTTAATTTTTTGTGTGTTTTATAACCAATATCATATCTTATTTCAAGAGACATTGGTATGTGTTGTGTTGTATTAATGTTAATTTTTTGTGTGTTTTATAACCAATATCATATCGTATTTCAAGAGACATTGGTATGTGTTGTGTTATATTAATGTAAATTGTTTTGTGTTTTATAACAATTGATGTTATATTTTGTAGCAGTAGATGTTTTGTGTTGTGTTATACTAATGTAAATATTGTTGTGTTATATAACTAATATCATATTATGTATCAATAGATAATGTTTTGTGTTGTGTTATATTAATGTAAATAGTGTTGTGTTTTATAACCAATATCATATTATGTATCAATAGTTTATGTTATGTGTTGCATTAATGGTATTGTGTTGTATGATTTTTCATGTTACATTTTGTATTTTTAAAAAAATGGCGTTGTGTGTTGTTTCATATCACAATATGTTTGGTCTGTGTTGTGTTGTGTTGTGTTGTGTTGTGTTGTGTTGTGTTGTGTTGTGTTGTGTTGAGTTGTGTTGAGTTGCATTGCATCAAAATATGACTTGTGTATGTGTATGTGTAATATTGTATTGTATGAAAATGAAACAACCTACCTTTACAATAGGTCCCATTATTTCCACTAATAATAAACATTCAGCAGGAATATTGGTTAATTCACTTAGTTCCTTTTTTAATGTTTTATATTTCTCATCCATGTTTAATCTTAAACCATATTTAACAGGTACTGCACCATCTATTGTGTAAACTGTAAATAAGAACAAAATGTGCTTTACCTATTATGAATGAAGGTAATGCAATGAAAACAATTACCAAAAAACAGCATGGGTTGAGATCCTCAAGCAAGAAATACAATTTGACATGTTATTAAGATTAGGTTACTTAATGAAATGTTTTAGAAGAAAATTTAAAATAATCTAAGGATACCAATTAATGAATTATTCTAAATTCTTTTCTCACAGGGCAAAAGTAATTGAATGCAATTCTGATTTTTGAAAACTTACCAATGATTTCACAATGTATACACGAGTCCATGGGTAGAGGTAGAGAGAGGGTTGTAAATGGATCAAATCTCACACTAATATGACTACATTCTTGACATCGAACCTGTGATTTCAACTGGCCATGGAATAAATCCACTATTATGGATTGGTTACGTAATACATGATTTTCCCAAGCCTGAAATATAATATTATGCATATTTGAATATTTGTTCTTACAGTATTGTCTGCTTTGTCTTTTTATTGTTGGTAAAAATGGCGATGTTTTATTCTGTATTGTTTTCTCATAAACAAATATTGTTTTTTGAGGGTCAATCGTTATAAATATCGGATAAAGAATAAGGGTAGCTGATATTAAGTTCTATCAGGGATTATAAAAATAATAATAGATAGTGAAATCATCAAACACTAAGTTTAAATGGAGTTGCAGGAACCACAGACATGGAATGGAATGGTGCAAATTGATGATATCAATGTACCCTATACACGTTAAAAATTTAGAAAACTTCTTTACAATCCCTTTAAGGATATCTGTATATACCTTCAAAGGCATCGTATAAAGTCTAAGTGCAGAATAATTTAATTATTTCTTATATTTTTGCCTCAATGAAGAGTATTTTATTTTAATATATCTAGCAATGTTTAAAACCTGACTGCAGGATAATATAATTATGCAGAAAAATAAACGTTATTTAGAAATGTTCACTGAAAGCTTTTAAAATGATTATTCTGGTAATAAACTTTGTCTATAAAAACACACTTTAATCAAGGGTGTTTAAATTGGTTTAATATTGAATTAATTTTAGATGCACTCAACTTATTTAATTACCTTTCTGAGTAATTACATTACAGCTGACAATTTTTCTGAAAATCATAATTTAAAAGTAATTTTGACACAGCACTTGACACCAAATGATAGAAAATCTATTGTCTGACAAAGTAATAGCATGTTCTGTCTATAGAACTATTAAAATAATGTAAGGTTGTCTACATTAGGTTTTTATATTTTCTACAGGAGAACCTTTCTGAATCACGTTAACTCTAATCTTCTTTTATAACAAAGATTTATCAGGTACTTACAGGACATTTTACCCTTGTTACAGCAGACCAATTTGAATTTGATTTAATTAAAGGGGTTGTAAATCGTTTTTTTTTTAAAACTTTATAAGTAAATAGGGAGACCGACTGACAGCATTGATTTGCAACTATTAAGTCTAGTGTATGGTCAATAGCCTTCAATGACCTTAGCGTCCTTATGAGTATATCAACTTTTACGTAAACATAAAGAATTAGCTTAAAGGATCACGATTCATACAAAAATAATTGAACTGATTATTTCTATCTTATTCCCACAGCATCTTGTGATTAGTTTATCGAATCATTGGAATAATAATGATATTCTTGACATCAGAAAGATCACTCTAGTGTATTAGTTTTTATTCAATTTGCATAACATGCAGATCAAGATGTTTTCTCTTCTTCCTGTGGTGGACTTAACCTAAGTTAATGCTTGTTTAAACTATTTATACTCATATTATTTGGGACCAGCTTAGTGAAATATATTGCTTCAGTGAATCGATATAGAAAAAAAAAGCGAAAATACTGTTGCTACATCAATGGGGTTGCTCAGACCAGATTTCGCATATATCTTGGTATCTTTACAAAACTGAACCATGAGTCAATCGAGACATCTACAATGTCCCTGTGTCCCAAACTAATTTCATAAGGTTTTTATTTGTACAAAATCAGAGGATCCACACCATATGGATACCACAGAACACAACACATGGTTACATAGTCAAAAAAATATAATCTGCTAAAGAAGCACTATTACACTTCCTATAGCAGATTATAATTTTTCACAGTTTAACCACATTATAATGTTAGCATATAAAAATATGATTTTTGTCTAATATAAAAGAATAACTAACCTCTCGAGCAACAACAGCATCTGGTCTACCATCACTATCTTTTAACTCTACATATGGTTTATTATGTACTCTATAATAAATATATCAACAAATTTATAATTCATATTAACAGCATGCAATATAAACTGCAGTTTAGGGAGGGTTGTGACACAGTCAGTTAGAGCATTAGATAGTCATGAGGTTGAACAAATGGTGTTTCATTTCAGTCTGCATGTGAGTTATCCGTGAATAAGTCCTGTTTCCTGTTTATTCCAGTCAATACAGCTGTAAATAGGTATAGATAATCCAGGAAATATCAATGCCAAAAGGTTTTGCCAGGGACCAGCAGATGGAAAACTTCCTCATTTAGTTGTTGTCCTTGTAAAAAATGGTTGCTTCCTTCTTTATTTTCTTAGTAATCTGGAAGGGCACGGTTCATGGTTCAGCCAGTTAAAATATTCTGAATCATGTGATCTCATTGAACAGTAAGTGGTTAGATACTTCTTACACATACTTATGTATTGAAAGATTCCATGATATTCACAAATATGATATTAGTATAAAAAAGAAACACGTTGCGTACCTATTCAAGTCTTCATGTAAACCATCTAAAAGAAAACTAAGTAATTCCTGTGAGTCATGTTGTTGAAAGCCATTGAATCGGGGTGCATATTTCCCTATCGTCCACTGTAAAATCAAAAATTCAAGAATTAAATGATATTGAATGGTGTTTACATCTAATTATTCTGCACATGACTGGGCTAATGATGGGGTAACAATATGCAAAGTGACTTGGGAATAATTTTGTCTGGTCTGTGGCATTAACCCACTCTATTTGGATGAATTGTTTATTATTTACAGCCTGGCGTTCACAAGCATTTTAACAACATGCCATCAGTTACATGTCAACCCTATGAACTGCATCACTGAGTCAAAATGTCTATTGAAAGGGAGAAAACTAGAAATAATAATTAAACAGACCATAATAAATTACTAGCCATGAAGATTATCAGGTGAAATACAATTTATAAAACTGAAAGTGATTGGCTTTTATTTAGAGTGAAAAGTGGCCATTTTTCTTAGATCTTTATGGCAAGTAATTATGTTTGGCAAATCAGCATTGGTTAGCGTACAATCCATCCAAATCGCCGTTTCAAAAAAAACTTCCGTGATAAACGGTAATTGCATTATGATGTCAAAGTATTAAATGAAGTTCATAATAACTTAAAAGATGCTGACAGACAGAACCCTACATTACTCAAATTAGCATAAAATCTTAAAGTTGTTAAGATAAGTGAACATACCCTGAGTTTTAAAGGAGCTATAGTACGAGATGTTCCACTCCAGATATCTTTCACTAAATCACCATATCTCTGAGCAATATGACCCTTCATACCAATAGGATTATTTCTGTAAATATTTGTAGTAAAAGTTAGATATTTAATGACAATAATTTGTATATATCTTAATTTGCTGGATTAAGATTCAAATTTTTTATGCGCATTTTAGTTAAAAGGCAAAAAACTAGTCAAAATCCAAATTTTGCAAAACGTCTACAACATTGCAGGGCCATAGATAAACTTGAGCATCTTGACATCCTAAGTGTCTACAAAATATCTCAGATAACTGCGATCTACATAAACATATCCAAACAATATCCAAATCTTCTGGTTACTGTTGTTTAAACAATATTAATGGTCTGATTCTATTAAATTCACTTTGCTTCTAGAAAGCAGAGGGTAACAATGTAGAAACATTTCAAATTTCAGTATTAGATCTTTTCTAAATTGAAGTATTGATTACATATTGCTTTAAAATTGTTTTGAAACCTTTCTACACAAGAGATCTGATCTGATTGATTGTACAATAACTCACCTGTTTACACAATGAGATCTGATCTGATTGATTGTACAATAACTCACCTGTTTACACAATGAGATCTGATCTGATTGATTGTACAATAACTCACCTGTTTACACAATGAGATCTGATCTGATTGATTGTACAATAACTCACCTGTTTACACAATGAGATCTGATCTGATTGATTGTACAATAACTCACCTGTTTACACGATGAGATCTGATCTGATTGATTGTACAATAACTCACCTGTTTACACGATGAGATCTGATCTGATTGATTGTACAATAACTCACCTGTTTACACGATGAGATCTGATCTGATTGATTGTTCAATAACTCACCTGTTTACCCGATGAGATCTGATCTGATTGATTGTACAATAACTCACCTGTTTAATTCAAATAAATGTAAAGCTGTATTAAAGTATTGTGTTAAAGGCCAGGTATTAGATACACACTGTACAGCAGCATTCATAAAACACGTATTTCCTAAATTATTTAACCCTGTAGCTCCTCTTTCTGTCGGAACTGAAATAAAAAATATATCTTCATTATAGACTAGGTTAGGGTAAAATTTTAAATTTCAGTCCAGAAAAAAATCAATTTGAGCAATATCTATTTCAGTGCATTCATCTACAAATTTAATAATAATTTGTTTTAGAATAAACTACTGAGTTTTAAAACAAGATGGTATGAAAATGTCAAAGTAAAATATATTCTTGTAACCACATGCAGTCATTTTGCATCTTTCTTTAGACACAAGCAGCATTTCTGCACCCTGTGGGCTAATGAAGATAGCAATGCCATGCAGGGTGCAATGAGGGAAATTTTGCCATGACAGCGGCATTGGCCTGCTCTTTTTTGATTTCCAACTGTTGGGGGATCTTTAACATGCACAGACTGTAGCATGTGGGTCCTCGGTTTATTGTCCTATCCTAACGACTAGACGCTTTTTCTATGTCAGCCTCAAGATTCAAAAGAAAACCTACCATCGTCTTTTTTAAGAGATCTATTTTTAGCAAGTTGTGACATTTCCTCTGGCCATGTTAAATCTTTATTTCGCACTGAAAATAATAAACATAAACCTTTTATTTCACAGATTCAAAAAAAGTTATAAAATTTTCCCAGCAAGATATTGTATAAGATTTGAACGACATACAGATATTGTAGCGTAAAAATTCAAAACTATTTGGGTTATTTCACAAAAACTTACTGGAGATAATATGGAGACATGAAAATGCATTGGATAACAAAGCAAGATTTACGTTAAGTGTCCAATTGTTTGTGAAACAGAGCGAAATCAAAAAGAAGATTTTTGGTGCTCCAGTGAGATCAGATAATACAAAAAGATCAACAACCATGTGTTGAACGTCTAATAGAGTCATTATGGTAATTTTCATTAACAGTACATGAAATGAATTATTTAAATCATTTGAAATATTTGGTGCCATGGTAAATTACCTTCTATTAATAGTTGTTGATTTTCTTCTATTAAAGCCTCTTCAACTGTCATATTCTCATCTTCTAATAGTGCTAAATTTTGCTGAAATGGGAATGAAATTCTCACTTGTGAGGCAGGTTATGTTCATCCTCTGGAAGCGTTCTGAATCCATTTAAAATATTAAACATAACTTTGTAGCTATATTAAATCATATCCCTATATAATAGTAATGTTCAGTGGAAGTTATAGGTTGACTCTGGCTAGTTCTGTGTGGTATTGATATGAAGACATTCCAACACACAACCAGATGATGTAACCCAAACGTATACAAACCTCATCCTTAGAGCTGATTTTCCACAGTCGTATATCTTCTCTATTAAAGCGTAATTTTGTACATAAGAAGTCATATATTTGTAAAAGTGTATGTTTCCGACTGAAGGCTGCAGTATAGGCTAAATACCGTCGGGGAGCACTTGGATTTGCTGCAAAATCTACAATAATAATAATAATAAAATCATATCAGCTCTTAGAGATTAATTGGAAAAATCAGCCATGATTATTATTTACATTCTTCTAAGCAGATATGAAAGATTTTATGATCTATTTTTGCTATGTATTAAATTCTATAAAATCTTAATAGTGCTATGAAAGCTGAGAATAAACTCTATCAAATTATAAAGCAAAAAAGTCTCGCATGAATTCAGAAGACTGGACTAAAGAAAATTGGTTTTATTTGATTGTAGACAAACCTAACATAGCAATTTTAATCTGAACCCTTTTATCACTAGAAACATAATTTCGCTCAATATATGTTCAAGCGGTCTATGAAGTTTATTGTTCGATGGATAACAGTGCGACCAACAGGAATCTATGAGCTTATAGAAAGAAATAAAAGAGACTTACTCCATGCCATACCGCCTATACCAGCCATCATACCAGTAAATGTTGTGGGTGGGGGAGCACGTTGATTTTGTATTTGATGTCTGATTAATCTAACACAGATAGGATATAGTTCTAATTCAGTTTGTGAATCAGTTCCACTTGTTATCACCTGTCAATGATAATAATATACACAAATAGTTCAATAATATACACAAATAGTTCAATAAATAATATACACAAATAGTTCAATAATATACACGAATAGTTCAATAATATACACAAATAGTTCAATAACATACACGAATAGTTCAATAATATACACAAATAGTTCAACAAGCACACAAATAGTTCAATATTATATATTTTGTCATATGAAATTTGGTTTAGGTCGAACAACAATCAGTGATATTTCAATTAAACTTTCATAGACTTGGTCAATTTCAGCTAGCCCTTTACTTTCCCACCACTGTAACAATAACAGTCAATTAGCTCCCTGTGATTTAATATATAAATATAAACTTACAGTTCTAGGTAAAGCTGGGGATCCACCATACCAGCTAGATAAAGCTCTCCAGATTGATTCTGGTACCAGCTCAAAATCTTTACCACGTACCAACATCACATCTCTTTTTAAACGACCTCCCTCATTTGTTAATGTCATTACCTGGAACATAGTAATATACTGATGATAACGGAACTACAATATCAAACTATATGAGACAATACTACTTAAATGCCAATTTCTATATGCATACAGATAATGTAAACTTGAAAAACATTCCTTTTATCATACACTATATCATCCAGTCTATAAATGGGCATAGAAAAAAGGATGAAAGATTAATGTGAGAGATTGTTTACGAAACAGCTGTTAAAAAGGATCCTCATGAAGTTGTTATCCTTGTAAAAAATGTTATATTAATAACCACTTTTCTAACTAGGCAAGGTATACAGAGATGACAATTTCTTTACAATCAGAAACTTTATTGAAAGGTGGATTAGCCGCACCTCACAAGCAATACTGTGTAAAACAAGCACATTAAAGCACAAGTAATGAGGGCTGTGTGCAAAGGAGTTAAAAGATGAAATTTACCTTATGAGTGGCATTGACAATGAGAGAATTGTTATCAATAGCAGTAGGTTTTTGTGGGGGTCCAAAAGACGTCATGTTCTTTCTTCTTGTTTTTGGTGAGGGGCTTGGACTTCGATTTAATGTTGTACTATCCAATGGATTTAGACTATTTTTACGAGGACTTCTATTGGCTGAATTCATCCTAGGTAAGCTGTTATAATGAGGACTGGAATTACTAGCAGTGAGAGCAGATACACTATTAACTAATGGAACCTCACGATCACCAGAGCCAGACATTTTGGATGCATTTATCATAATCACAGAATCATCTTCCCACGCCAAGGCTCCACCTGACCCCCGACCTTTAATTATTTTGTGTCTTGGGGTCATGTTTCCTTCAGCACAATGATTTTCATTTAATGTCTGAAAAAGAAAAAATTGAAAGATGAATTTCTGTACTTTTGAGGCTGTACCTCTATTCTTTTCCTTTTGAAAGGAAGACCAAATTTAAGTTTATTTTTTTCATTATGAATTTGAAATCCATCCAAACCCAATTTTGCCTCATTTAAACCTGACTAATGATGACAGGCTGCAGACAAGCAGATTTGAAGTTTCTCCAGACATGGATGATTTACATTCCAATTTGTTGAACTAATGAAAATTATCAGCAACCAAAGACAACTAGATCATACATACATCACTATTGACATATTCCAACCAAGTTGTCCACCATTGCATACTAATTAAATACCAAATTTGACCGATTTTTAATGGTTTTCTAGATTCTCTTTCCAACCAACTCTGTATAATCTTTCCCTCTTCTTCCTTAGTTTGTGGTTTTAATCCTAATACAATATGGCAGATCTGGAAAGAAAGATATAAAGTTTCTAATTTTGTGGACAATTGTTACAAAAGTGCAATTGGTTTTCTCAGATTGATTCAGACTTAGCGAAGTTATTTAAAGCTGTACTATTTCAAGACATAAAAAAAAAGATGAGCCTTCATTCCGAGGATTCCAGTTCAATCTTCCTTCGGTTTAGCGAGTCACAATTTCTAAATTAGCTGACTATTTTCAGAACATGTACTGACCAGACAGGAAGGGCTAGTTGAACTAAACAATATAACAAGCACCTGTTCAAAACAGTTATGCTAAAAATTAATCTATTCCAATATCAAAAGGTGTAAAAGGATGCTATCAGTGTTAGATTACACATTAAAAACAATATAATAGAACTTACTTGACTCAACAATGCTAGAAAATCATCAGTTAAAGTATTGTTAACACTCCATACTAGATACTCTTCCATAGTGATATACCCATCCTAAAATAATACAAAGATCATATTTTAACATACGTTTAAAATTCCATATGCATATCAGTTCATAACTCTCCAAGTTTTTAACATTTAATGAATATAAAGTATCAAAATTTAAAAAATCTGACAACTGTAGCCCATTTTGAAGATATTTTCAGTATTTCACAGGCTCTAACTTTATCAATTTTTATAGAATCGTACCCAAATTCAAATTTGTCTCACATCTGGTATGCATATAGTCTTACACACAAATTGGGTTAAAAAAAATAACAAAATGAAAGTACCTTATCATTGTCATGACAAGACATGATTTCTCTAGAAACAGTTTCAGGATCCAGTGACGGTAAATCTTCTGCTTCCTGTAATCAAACAATTCAAACTAAGAGTATGCTTTAAAATTGTTCAACACAGTTATGCCCCTTTCTAAATGTTGGGCATTCCCCTTTTTAATACAACATCTCAGCATCAAATTAGTCACAGAGGTGTATCTTATCCAATTTCACACAATCCTACAGGGTTCAAAGTCTGAATAAAAAGGTAGCGTCTGCAACATTTATGAGCTTATTCTGATGAAGTTTATGCAGTGACAAACTACATTGAAACTTGAGAAATCACACTCATCTACTCAGAACAAACCTGTAACTCAATAGCATTCACATACAATTGTTAATAATTCTGACAAAACTTTAAATCTACAACAAATGTAAGGTTAAACTTACTAAAGCAGCAGGAGATTTATATTCTTTACGAATAACTTCTAGAGCTTGTAACATTTGATGTACATCATCTTTATTTAATTTACCATCATGATCCATATCAAATACTTTAAAACAAACTGAAAATATACAACATAGAGAATCAGCCATATGGAGAATAATGGCACCTCAACACCTGACAGAAGACGAATCTAACCTAGTAAAGACTAAGCCTTCACTCTGAACTCTACAGCATTCCAACTCAGCTCAGAAGTACTGACCAAAAGACACTTTGAACAAGGTCAGCCCCTTTTTTAAACGAATTCAAATAGCCAGATGATGGCTCACACTGGATATACATGTACTCTTCAAAGGTATCAAACATTATCCTTGTCTTAAACAGTATACTGTCCTTTGAGGTATAAAATTGAGTCTTACAACAAGATGATTAATGTAATCCTTTCAGTTTGAATAATGCAAAAAACCTTTTCAACCAATTTAAGAAGTTAGAAAATATCTAACTTACATTTTTGCCTCTCAGTTGATGGACCTCGACAACAAGCCGATATCCCACAAGCCATTTCTTTAAAATCAATATGATTATCACGATTTTCATCAAACGCCAAAAATAATCCTGAAAAAGAAAACAGTTCATTTCCACCATGTTATGAGTTTGAAAACAATCATTAGCAAGTTTCAAAATTGATGTAATATATAATAATAAGTCAAAAGTTTGGCTCGTTAATTTAGAACAACAATATGTTTCTATTTACCTTCACAAATTTTTTCCGGCAAAGGGGGTATCACAAAACTACGAAAAGTTTCAAGGTCAAATCGTCCTGATCTAGATTGTGCCTTGAGTGTCCAGTATCTTTTCTCTAGTTCACTTATATCTGTTTCTTCCACTGAAATAATACAAAAGGCCATGAAAACAAAATTAAAAAGAAACAGAAACCTAAAACATGTAAATAATGCAGGAATCAAAATGAAATAATGAAGAGTTAAATGCAATTCTTTTCTATTCTTGATTGGACTCCAAAGGAAGGGCAATATGCATTGTGCAATAGAGAACATAAGCTTAATCTCAGTCCATTTCCTCATGTCAAGTGATCTGTAATATGTAAATACAATGGCACTGTAGTATAAGTTAATTGTGCAACTGGGTGCACGTTCCATATTTCACTGACAGGGTGAACCATGTTGAGATGGTAATATCAATGTAGTGAATCATAAATCACCAGATCTATAGATTAACCAGCATTGACAAGACAGCACCTCATTTGCTGAGTACTGTAAAAGATAATATGACAACTTACAATGAGTGACACCTGCTAAAGTCTGATAAAATGTGGGAGTATCCATGTCGTTTGATAAAGATATTGCACTTGGTTCCATCAATAACCATTTTGTAATCACTGTGGCATCAGGATGATTCCTCAACCAGGAACAGAACTGATCATAATTTACTTGGTCACTCTGAAAAATATCAATGTCAATTCATATTGGTAAGTTAACTCACTTTATTTTTACTGACTCACTGACTGGATTTTGAAAGCACTCATACTGGTAACAAAAACTTGATCGGTACTTTCAGCGAAGCACTTTTTTTACGCCCTGTACCAAGATGGCTGTCTGTTTAGGTTCATATTTACCACAAAACATGTACGTATCTACAGCATAAATGATAATCACAAACAAAACCAAAAATTATAATTGGTCAAAGTCAGATATAAGTCACTATCCTGGTATATCAGAATTCTTACAATAATTCAGATTTTACTATTAAACAATTAAGCACTGTTTTTGAGACATTTAGATCACTAATAGATTGAAGCAATTACATGATGCTTCAGAGGTCAATGATTCCTGAAACTAATTTTATGTACTCTTCTTCAGAACTAAGAGAAGATATCAACACTAACTAAGACACGTCTATAAATACCTGATGTCTGATACTGAAATAGCATGGCAGACACATATTAGTCATTTGTCTACAGATGTCTAGTACTTAGTCAACTTCTCTAATATTCTTATGCTCATATATTGATTTAATATAATTGAAAAATTTCCTATTTATGCATTTCAGGTCTGTATCAGAAACACAAAATATGAGACCAAAAACCATATAATTAAACTGTAGCCACAATATCTTCATATTTCATCTTACAGATTGACATCATTAGGTACTTTTTTGTATCACAGAAGTGATATTTGATTGTATGTTAGCCAATCAATGGGTAGCCAGGATTTCCCTTGGAGTGGGGCTGAGCACCGAGTTACCCATTTTGGATTTAAAAGGGACCTAGTCGCAGTGGGGGTTCTCTGATCTAGTAAGCGGAGAATGCATCTAAAACGATTTTGGCAGTAAAAGAAGAATAATTTTTTTATTTTTTTCTGTCCCTAAATACGACACTGTATCTAATACAGCGTATCACAGCCCTCAATAGAAATACTGTTAACAATATGGCTGTATTTACTGAAGAAAAGTGCCTAATGATATCTAGTTATTAGACTTAAGTTCATTGTAAAGATGTATAAAGGTAAGGTTATATATAAACCACTGTCCAGTACAGTCCAGTCTTATCATGTGATTCCCTCAGGAGATCAGTTGAGACAGATTCATGTAACATCTCAACTAGCTCATTAGACAAGGCATCAAGCTAAATGAATGAAACCGAACATGTGATCAGGCAGAATTTAATTTTGGTTATTGGTACCTAGAACTCTAGACAGTATAAGCACTTATTAATGAGACAGTTGCCGCTCTTTCAAATTGTTAAAAGATGACTAGAATATTTCTCATTTATTCAATAGTATTTTTCTGTGGTAATGAAATGTGGTTTTCTAAGTCTATTGAATATTTCACTAGATATAAAACAGAAGAGTTATTGTTGTTGAAAAGGAAAAACTTGTTAAAAAAATTGGCCACTTGAAAAAAACACTTCATAATAGACAAATAAATCAAATGGAACTGAAAATGATAAACCTATGCAATTCTAGTGAAGATTAAAGTGAGAGTAATGATTTTCTTGAAAAACCAAATTTCACTTAAATCATTAATAAAAATCAATATTGGTCAACGGTCAATGGGAAACAGAACCTCATCTTTAAGGATTACTCCCGCTTTAAAGATAAACCATTACCTCTCTAAATAGGTCTGAAACAGCAGTCGATATTTGGCCTTCAGTTTCTAATATTCTTTTATCAGTCTCATCTTTCTGAACAAAACTAAAACTATCATCAGCATACACACCAAATATTACTACAATATCAAATATAATTCTTTCATAAATCTTGGTTTAAAGAAATATCAGTAAAATCCAAATCTAATCTTTTTAAGTTAAAGATGGTTATTTAGAATAGATCAAATTTTCCAACAACCTTTTAAATGGGTCTTGATAAAAAAAAATTCTACAGGTATCCTAACGGTTTATCTGGTTTTTAATACAAAAATTCCAACTATTCAGATACTATTTAGGGTAAACCTTAAAACAGGTTTAACAAATCTTTCATAACTTACATTTCATTTTTTCTTCTCTAGTTCCCCGTGTTAAAACAACAAGACCACAGAGTAAATCTTTAAAACTTAATCCTTTACTAGATCCACCAAACCCTTTAAATATTAACTGCAATATAAACAAATCAATAAATATTAACTTACTTGATATTATTTACTAGGCTACAACTTGCTTAACCATAATCTTAATTTCTTTGAGATGACTTATAATTTAAATGATTCAAACATAAAAAAGGAAAGGAGTCAATTAAATTTGAGGTGTAATAGGGGGGTTTCCTTTTATTAATGTTAGGAAATATCTCTTGATGTACACACATATCCTTGCTAGATTCTTATGAGAAACTATTTTTCAAAAGAAATTTAACTAAATAAGCTTATATTGCACAATAACAAATATTTTCACTGTTACAAAAGTGCGTAATACATACATTGTAGATATATATCAAAATATAAGAATAGAATTATATAATGTATTGTCAATTGAAAAATAGAATAGTTCATTAAAGGAGCAAGGGTGTCAAATTACATACATGGATTGATAAGAAATGATTAGAAAGCACTGAAGTAATATAAAGGTGACTTAATATTTAACCTGAAGTAGGAAATAGATTCTTATATATAGGTCAACTGCTTTGTTTTATATTGATGAGTATGTAAATATTGAAATATCTGCTGGACCTGACTGACACAAGACTCTCAGATGCTTCAAATAAAATATTGTTGCTTTCATCTTATTGAATGTTACAAAAGGGAATTCAATTGTCCTTTGCAGATCCCATGAAGACTATCTGAATTTTAACAACACACTTCTATCCAGGATTTGACATTGTCCTCGTAGAATATTACCTGAAGCAAATATGCTCTGTTGTCTAGTCATGAAGTCATAAAGTGGTGTAAATAGATCAAGTCCCCAAGCATTAGAAAGTGTTTATATATATCTCAGCTGCACTCATTTGTGTCACATGTTTCACGCTGCTGCGTTACAGACAATACTTTTCATTTGTCAAATTTTCTTCAAAATCTTATATGTTTTCAATCAAATTCAACTTCGTTATTAACAATAACGTGCCCAATGCATCTACATCTAATGAGCTTTCTAATGAGAAATTTTGACTTGTATCTCTTGGGGATGTTAAAACTAGCTGATTCTAATCCCAGAGAAGCTATTGACTTATCCAGAATAAAGATGTAATTTTTACCTGAGCCATTTTTGCAGGTACCCCATCCCACAATACCTCTCTTACAAACAATGTTTCTGTCATCCACCCATTTAATGTTGAGGCTCTTTTAAACGCTTCTTTCAGCCTTTTCCCTTCATTTTCTGACACTGCAAATCAAAACAAGCAATTCATTATCTATTTCTTTATCACAATGAAAACAATACACAATCTTAGTCCCTATCTTTTGAGAGGAATGTAACTAATCTTTACACTATGGTTGAAACCCTGAGTAGATGATATTACACAAGTTGAGGTAGGAATTTAAGGTTGTAATATTGCGGTTAAGCAATGTTACGAAAGCACAGGCACAGGCATGTAGGCGTAACCTCTAGTGATAGAGCAATGTTTGTGAAGTTAGTTTAAAAGAATGATATAGAATATTTGAAATGCAAATCCATTATCTTCCGAATTTGAAATATATAAGAAGAATACTGGTTCCAACAGGAACATTAATAACCATGGAAATCATAATAAACATTTTCACTGGTGAAACTGAGGAATTGTCCTATATTAAATGAAAAGGAAAATGGGTTAGGGTGATAAGTAAGAACATTTACACAATTAAAACAAATAACTTCATATTTGAAACAGATGTTTTTGTTTCGTGCTATTAAACACAGGGTAGTTTTTAATAAACATTCCAGTTTTTTCTTACATTTCAACTCTTATGATAAACCAATATTATTATATAAGCTTATTATTGCTAAATTGTGATATACACTTGAACCAATATCAGTGGGCCTTAAAATGAGTTGAAATGACATAAGATGCAAAAAAGAGTTCATCAACTAATAAAAAAAAAAAATACAGAAAATTTTAAATCAAATTACTATTTCAAACAGTATTCAAAATCTAATTTCTTTAACAGATGGTGACTTGCCCAGTAGAATACGTGACTTTCCCAGTAGACTACATGACTTGTTCTTAACTTGATCTTAAAATTTAAATCTTTAAAACTATGATAAAGAAAATTTGTATGTTTAAGCTTTTCATAAAATAGTGCAGTTTAATTCCATTCAATAGTGCCATGTTTTCCTAGCCTACAATAATGGCCTATATCCTATTAGATTTGTCTTGTTATACTAATGTCATGTTCATAAATAAGTCTTGTACATATTTAAGCGTATTCATGTATATGGTTGTTTCAAACCTAATCTTAGCCTATTGAGTCCCATATGACACATATTTATCTTTTAATACTTATATTGAACTAAACATACAGATATAAAAGACACTTGAAAATAAAATATTACATTTATTGACTACTGAATGAAGAATAAAACGTCTGAATTGAATAAGAAACTGACAGCTTAATTTCAATAATCTTTGATAAGTGACGTGTGCACTTCAAGTAATAATTGAAATCATATTCAAAAATACTTTTTAATTTCTCAGATAGATGTATTATAGACCCCTAACAATCAAGACAGATAAATAGAAGCCCACACGATCTATGGCCATTTTTTAGGCTATTATCTATCATTACTACATTATTAATAATAATGTGGCATAATATATTCCTATTCATATAATATTGGGGAACTCATGTCTGGCTTCAATTTACAATACAAATTGGAATGCAATCAAAGTTATTCAGAAATATTTGATTGATTGACAACGGAAAAATATCCATTAATAGATCTGACTTATCCTAATTTCGCAATTATAGTCGTGCCTGTCAAATTTCAGTTGTCAAAAAATGAAAATTTTTACACAGTTGTAAGCAATAACATTGGCTTCTGCACAAAAAATGCATACATACCGCGTTTAACGGCGTCGTCAAACGATATAACAGCAAGTTTCGAGTCTTTTCCACCCATTTTATTTACATCCGATTTATAACTACTCTAATAACGACATTTTTACACGAACACTATCCGTCAGCTTCTCTTTTCGTCGCCATATTTAATCACGCGATCTGGGGGTGAGATCTCGCGAGAATTGATATATCTTATGCATTTTTATCAAAACACAGAGGAAGAGAAAGATAATTCATCAAAGTCACAGCTTTTTCAATTTTTTGTATATAATTTCGCAAAGCTGAATGACTGACAACCTTCTATAGAAAGTTTACAAGAATCTGTTACTGGAGGATTGGGCTTAGAGACTTTCATTTTCTAAATCAAAGATTTTCTTGTCGACGGAAATCATGGAAGTTGAGATGAAACAGGAACCCTGCTATTCATCTGAGTTGGTGCTGCATGATGAAGAGGTTGAAATACCAATAGAAATTAAAACAGAACCAAAACTTACAATTGTTGACCAGTCAGGACGCGAAGTAACAGATCAGAGTTCCCCTAATTCAGATGAAACGCCAAAATCAAATGAAATTTTAGAGCAGAAAATGCACATGGTTATGTCTGAACCAAACACAGATTCAGCAGAAGTACCACTGACCTCAATTTCTGATATCGAAGAACTTCAAAGCCAGCAACAGTTTGTGATAGTCTCGGGTGAGGCAGCAGCACAAGACGCTCCCAAAATGGTCAATGCTGTAGCAGTTGAAACTGTGGAAGGGGGTTCAGCAGACTATTTACATCCTGCAAAATTCATTCGTTTACAAGGAGAGAATGGGCAGACCTACATGTTAGCTATTTCTGCTCCATCATCTGCTGATCTTTTAACAGATGAAGAAACCATTTCTGCAACTTCTTCAGAAACTGGAACACTTCTTAAAGGAGGGACAGGTAAATCACCTGAGAGGAAGATTAGCAAGCAGTCAAAAAACAGCTGCTCAAAAGAAGATGTCACTCAGGCATGGTTTACAACGAGAGATGACAAAAATAACTTACAAAGTCATGGTCACACATGGAAGCAAGGTCAATGGACAAAATCAGAAGTTGATTTACTCAAGAAGAATATTGAGGAGTATTGTGCAGAGCGTGGAATTGAAGATGCTACAGAAATAATATTTCAAATGAGTAAAGATGAACGTAAGGACTTTTATAGGACAATAGCTAAGGGTTTAGAGAGACCATTGTTTTCTGTGTACAGACGTGTGACTAGAATGTATGACCAGAAAAATCACGTTGGTCGTTATTCTCCTGAAGAAATGGAAAAACTACGTGATTTGAGAGTCACTTTTGGAAATGATTGGATTTCGATTGGAACAGCTTTAGGAAGAAGTGCTTCATCTGTGAAAGACAAATGTCGGTTAATGAAAGATAAGTGTAATTCTGGGAAATGGCTATTGGAGGAAGAAAAGCGTTTGACAGCAGCTGTACATGACCTGGCCAAAAAGAAACCAGGAGAACAAGTAACCAGTGGATTGTCTTGGGCTTTAGTTGCAGAACAAGTTGGTTCAAGATCTGAGAAACAGTGTCGAACTAAGTGGTTGAACTATTTAAATTGGAAAGAAGTGGGTGGTACTGAATGGACTAGACAAGATGATGTTCAGTTGATCCTCAGATTGTCTGATTTAGATGTTGAAAATGAATCAGACATTGATTGGAATGAACTGTGTCAAGGGTGGCCCAGTGCTCGATCACCCCAATGGCTGAGGGGAAAATGGTGGTCATTAAAAAGGCACATCAACAATTATCAAAATTTATCATTCTCACATGTTGTGAGTTATCTAAAATCAATTTACATTCAAATCAAACATGTTGGTACAGCTAGCAGTGTGGAGGATGTAGATGTTACAATGGCAGTACATGTACCAATAACTCTTCAATCAGCTACAGTTTCAGACCACACCGGTGCTACAGCGGAAGTATTTCAAGAATGGCCAACAGATGCCTCAGGATCCCTTGTTATCTCACATCCTCAAACAACTGTTACCAGTGCTCTGACATTCACAGGATCTTCTATACCCAGTGAGCAAATTATCGTGCAGACTTTGCCTCTCCATATTGAAAAGGTCCATGAAAATGTTTCTGTTCAAGTAAATCCACAGATTATAGTGAATTCTGACTCCACTGATGAAGAATGTCAAACTTATGCCAATATTATCAACCAGTCTTTAGAGCTACCCCTGAAAGTGGAACAAGATCTCAATTCTTTGTCTCAGAATCGTGATTTGGATGATGGAAGTCTTGACGGTGGGGTTGTTAAGTATGGAGCCCTGTCCTCAAATGAAACCTTTGAATCACAAACTGTTACAGATTCTGGCTTACCTTCAGAAGGTGTACAGGCTGATATAGGTCATAGTGTACAATCAGACATTGTTCAAAGTGAAGGGGAATCTTCTAATCTAGATTGGTGAATTGACAGAAATTTTGTCTATGACCAAGGCTAAATAAGCATCAGTCTTTTGACACCTTTCTGCTGATAAAATAACTCTTCTTACTTGTTGTCAAACTTATTGCCAACGTGGAACTTTGGTTTGGTATTTGGGTTAAGTTGATGAAATCCACATGGTGTGACCTACATTATATCAATCCCCACTCTGATTCTTTAAAATACACGTACTGTAGTATTATGAGGTCATCTGAAGGGTTGAGTTGAAAAACCCAATTATAGAGAGTCGCCTGCCCTTAGTTCAGTCAGAAAAATAGTCTTGCTTTGTTGTTTCTACGGATGAGTTTTATATTGAAGGAGACTGAGTTTGAAAACTTAAAAGTCAAAAGCTGTAGTGTAAACTGAAGTCAGGGCCCGTGATATATATAATAAATTTGTTGTTATTAAGGATTGTAAAAAGAATATTGTAAATTTCATTTATTTATTTCTTCTATCACATTTGAAATCAGATTTTTTAAGATTTTTTTCTCTGTGTCCTTTTCTTCTTGACACACAAGATTGTTGCCACATTTTGTTAATAAAGTGATACAAAACAAACTACACAAGTTGGTTGGTAATTGGTAGATGACAAATTAATGCATGCTGAACGTTGAGGTAAAGCTGATTTTCCAGGCTTCAAAGAGCAAAAATACCCAAAATATAGCAGTCAAGGAAGTTTGTAGATGATACGGCCCTGGTTCTTGTGAATGAATTTAACTGTTGTCTGTACCTTAAAGTATAGTTATTTCCCCTTTTTTGTTTCAGGAATTGTATATTGATTACAACATAAAAATAACAAAATAAGACATCTAATCTTCCCTACATCAATCAATTCTGTAACTCTTGGAAATAAATTGTCAGCCCGTAATATATAATATACAATGAATAAAAAATGCATATTGCAAATTCTGGAATATATGTACCTTTCTCATAACGTCACTGGATAAAAGTTGATAGTTTGTTTATTGGAATAGACCTTGATAAATTGTGCAAAATCACCCTATCGTTTGTGGGGTGATTCGGGTATATGACATGTATGAATATATTCCGTACTAAGCAGAATATTTAACCGATATTGAATGCGATGACTGGGCAAACGTTTCCTATATTATCTATACACTTCTTCCTACAAACAAAACAATTCCGAGTTACATGATCGAATTTAAACCCTTTATCCAAAATATATTTAAATAAACAAGTCAAAACGGTTTGTTGTGTTTGTATATTATTATAGCCCACATTTACCAATAACATTATTAATCATTCTTCATTCAGTTATTGAGGTGTGAAAGTGGGAAGCTATAGTCACGGAAATCATAGACCTACATTTATAGGCAGTTTAAATCGTAAGTCTTTACTTTTATCGCAAAATAAAGTCTTGGGTATTGCATTGAACAGTTTATCGTATGTGGGGAAAGGTTTTAAGACCAATACATGTACAAGTAAAACATGTACCCACTGTAAACATGTAAAGAAGTGATAGATTATTTGGGTCAAGAACATCAGGTAGCCTAAGTATATTTCGCCCCTATACACAGGTATAAATAGGTTCATTTTCATATCTTTAGTTTAGACCGACAAGAAAAACTTAAAAGCAATTATCACTACCCTCGTCGCAAATTCGAGGAGAAAATTTCATATTCCAACCAGATAAATCTGGCCCTATCTGTTTCTATCCACATATCACGTTCGAGGAACGGGTAGGGCCATATATGTCGGCCTAATCATATCCCAGAAGTAGTCAAGATGTAGGAAGCCATAACACGGGTTGATATGGATGTGAATACTAGTTCTATACATATTATATTGTATGATCTTTCCAATAACGTCACAGTTTATTTTATTATCAATATACACTGTGTAACAAATAGTGTTATTACAACACAATATTATATAACGCTTGACCTTGAAATCATCGTCTAAGGTTCATTACAGTTCATCGTAAAGGTAAATTAAGGGCGCATAGCAAAGAATAGGGAGTTCATCTTATAGATATAACGACACAGATATAACGACCCTTAAAGGCTCTCTGTAAAGCTCTGTACTGGATTAGGGAAGGGTTTAACAAGCCATTTACATTGTTTTCCATACGCCTACGCCTACTGTAAAAGATCCCTCGACAGTTGAAAGTCAAAAAGGTTAACTAAGGGCCGTTGTCTAAAACAAAAATTCTGTCACTGTGTACAGCGTTTTATTGCCGTCTTCATAAATGCAGAAATAATTTCTCCAACAGTGTGATAGGACCTTTAACTGTACTATAGTTGTTTAAGTTATCTAATGAAGAACGATATCGACATGTAATTTCACGCATTATTAATTATCTTAGTTTTAGAGTCTAATTATGACACTCATCTATAACTTAACAATGTATATCATATTCCATGTGTGAAAGTTGTATTTAATTTGTAGTATAGGCTAGGTCTACTCAATAGTCAAACGCAATGATATTTGGCAATTTTCTATGTTGTAGAAAAGACTCCGAAAGGGAAACGCCTTTAGTGCACAGAGTTTGCTACAATATGAAAAAAACCAAACTCAAATATATTTGGCTATTGTGGTAGGAAAAGTCCTAAACACATGATGTGATTTCTTTTCGGTATCCCAGTAAAGTGAGGAAAAGTGCGTCTGAAAACTGATGACAAAAATAAAATAGAAAACTTCACCAGACTAACTGGTTTATGTAGAGGGAATCGCCCATGATCTTTATTTTTTTAACCTTGATAATAATTGTACGGTTCGGACAGGTGTGGAAACATGCCCTTTGATTGATAGAACAGCCTAATTATGAGTTATTGTTTTCTCATAAAAATGTTTCAAATCCACCGAGACTCTCTTAATCATATTCACCTTGATCGTAAATTTTTAACACGTTTCTATTCCCTTGTACGAGGGCTTGTCTTTCTATCAAGTTGTTGACAATTACATTTGGATTGTTTATTATTTTTAAAATCTGGATTTGTTTTTGTGTCAAGATATGTTAAGATTGTCTGTTAAACATTCTGAATGAATGAAGGATTTCAAAAAGACCAAATTACAGGTGAGGATAGAAAAAAACAACAATGCAGCTTCCACAGGCTCAGAGCTCATAGTGTCAAAAAGGGAGGAAAGAACTTTTGATAACTTCAAAAATTACCTTACAGTCGTATTCAATTCAGATATTTAATACAATGGAATTTCTCGAGCGAAATTTTAATTAGTTATACCCACATGTTCATGAAATATGTGTTACTAGGCCTACCGAGATAAATAATAGTTTATTTACTTAAGGGCATTTAAATGAATGTGACAATCATCTTGTCATGTCTGTAACTCGAACAGCTTTTAAATTTATATTTTATAGGAAAAACGTTTTTAGGCTACGTTGAATTGGAAACTTTAATACTAAAAACTAGTTTCTTATCATGATATATGTTGTGGTAGGTTTAAATCCCCTATCTGCCCACATCAATATCTTATTGAGATATCTATTTATATCGTGATATAGGACCTGATTCTAGCATCATTGTGATATCTCCTCCGTTTGTCTTGGAATACATGTTTCAAAAATTCAAATTGTTTCTGATCGTTATCTCATTCCACTCTTGAAATCTTTGTAGCATTTCGTCATTTTCTTAGTTATGTTAGTGAAATATATATATCTATTTATCGAATTTTTATATCTTTTCTTGATATCTTTATATCTACTGATGATATCCTTATATATAGATAATTAATATCTTCTCTTGAAAAACTTCATATGTTTTTGTATTAGCTTATCATCTACTCGTGGTATCTTTATATGTATTCGTGATTTCTTTATATCAATTCGTGATATCTTTATATCTACTGATGATATCCTTATTATATATACGATATCTTTATATCTACTAATGCTATCCTTATATATAGTAATTAAAGATTGATATGTCCGCTCGTGATATCTTTATGTCTTTTAGTGATATCTTTATGTCTCGTAATATCTCTATATTAACTTGTGATGTCTTTATATGCACTCGTGATATATTTTTATTTAGGCCACTCGTGATATATTTTTATCTAGGCTACTCGTGATATCTTTTTATCTTGGCAACTCGTGATATCTTGAGATCAACTTGCCAGTACTCGTGGCATCTTTATAAAAACTCGTAATAACATTACATAAACTAACGGTAGCTTTATATCTACATGTGTTATCTTTATATCTACTTGCGATATCTTTATTTAATTTTGTGATATCTTCATATCTACTATTGGTAGCTGTATATAAATATCAACGTGTGATAGCTTTATATCCACTCGTGATATCTTATCCACATTTGATATCTTTTTATCTACTCATAATATCTTTACATCTACGTGTGATATCTTTATATCTACTCGTGGTATCTTTATATCTTCTAATCAAAGCTTAATATGTACTTTTGAATTTTTTTATATCTATTCGTATTAGCTTTATATCTACCAGTGATATTGTTATATACTCGTAATATCTTTATATCTACTCGTGATAGCTTTATTAAATTCTGTCATATTGTTTAGTCATTTACTCGTATTTTTTTATACTCAATGCTATTTGCACTTTGTAACATTTAAACTAGTTGTAAGGAACACATACAAATCAAAACCTGTCAAAGCTTGTATTTCATTTCTGGAAAACCGGTTGGCACGAGCTGGTAAATGGCATATTTATCTACCCCTGTCGGTATATATTTCCCGTTAAATACAAAAAGATGAGGACTTCTGTTATTTCATTTAAAATACTTGGCATTATTTTAGATTACAATTACGTCAAATCGTAAATATCAACTAAAAAAATCCCCTTTTTCTGATTTGGATACGTCATGATAGATGGGCGGTACCAGATATCGAGCATGTAATTCATTGTATTGTATTTTATCAATTATATTAACTCTTTTCACAGCAATCTTCAATAAAAACGAAATTATGTACGATCGAGGTTGATTCATGGACTTATTTTTTGTAATTATGGTAATCAACACAATGGTCTGTGCAGTGACATAGCGTACTCTTTTTTCAATGTCCAACTGTCGAGGGATCTTTAACGTTTACAGCCTGTAGCACAGCATCTTCACAATGTCAAGTTATTACAAACTGCGTCTAATTTCCCGACTACAATAGTCACAATTCTTGTATCACGGAATGCTGCAATTTGATTGGATTGTACGCTCGAACATGCAACCAATCAGAGCAAAATCATATGGCTCATGGTTTACAGACTATCTGTCGAAGGCTCTGATTGAGTGTATTCGATGGCGTACAATCCAATCAAATCGTTACAAACTTCTGTGATACAGGAAATGTAACTTTTGCAGTCAATAAAGAAGATGCAGATTGTATTAGCTTGTCAATGTGAAGAGGGTTATTGCGCATCCCAAATACCAGACGCCCCTTTTTCGTGTCTGCTCTTCAAGCTTGCATCTCTTGGGAACCTGGTTAAAAATTACCTCCAAGCCTCTTAGTTTGAAGTGGAACCCGTCTTGAAGGAAATTTCTTTTTAAAATATCTGAAATAAAAAACCACGAACTAAAAAGAAAAATAAAATTGTTTATAAAAGCGCGACACAGTAAAAACCTTGAGTTCTGTGTGTGATATTAATTGTTTCTACATTTTCATAATTATTTCGTTTAGTTCAAACGAACTTCTGCTACAGATCAAATAAATACAAGAAACTTAAAGGTTACCAAATGGTGACCCATTAACTTTGTTGTGTCTCCAATTATCATGAAGTCGATTTCAAGAACAAACCAAATTGACACCAAAACGAAGTCTTGGTCACCTGTAGTCCGAATCATAGTGACTCCGTTCTGAACTGGTAATGTGATTGAACCAACGTAGACTCATATTCTATGTCGAATACATTGTTTTAAAACGACGAAAAAAACTTGCTGAACATCTTAAAAACAACAATGTAAAAATATGAATTGCGCATATCAGGTCATAGCCAGTTCTGAAGATTTGTCGACTGTATAATTTTAACACTTAATCAATAACTTCTTACCATGGAGAAGAGAAAATACCTTATGATAAATATAAATTTTAAGCATTTCATATGAGCTTGACAGCTTGTAGTATGAGATGGAAGGAGAAAAAAAAAATACTGCCATGAGTACTCTCAGACTTCCACTCTTGTCAGGGATTCCTTCTTTTCAGTGTACCCACCTGCAAACGGCTAATGGCTCTCTTAATACAATTAACTAAACCAATTCATTATTATTTGCAAAATGCAATTTTGATCTCTGAAGGTGAATTTTGTCGTGTGGGTGTTTAAGGTGAATTATAATAAACCGTCAATCATGAACTATGGTTCATAACATATATCTTTATTAAATACCCATACTGGTCAATGTTAATCGCATTAACAATTGCATGATCAGTTGTGTGCTATTTGTAGATCGCATTATACGACTACGAGCATAGTGTTTTGCATTATTACAAAGTTTGTGTCTTTAAAATCAATGGGTTAAACGTAAAGTGTCTTGGAAGTTATTTTATCTGTGGATGAATACCTTCACTTTTCAGGATGTGAAAGAAGAAAATGCCGCGTTGGAGTAAAGGAAGCTTGGATAAAACCGATCCCGACCGTAAACCTTCCATATACACCATTGGTAAAGACGCAGTTGATAACGACGGAACATGGGAATGTATCAATCTAGGCTACGAACCGGCCGTATCGGACGTCTTGTCGGATCAAACTTCAGTATACGCGATAGGTAAAGATGCTCGAGAAGAAGGAAAATATGAGCACATAAATGTAGGATTTGATTCCCCCGATTTAAACAATAGATCTCACCACCAACAACCATTGAGTAAAAGAAGGCGGCAGAATTCAGATATAGGGAATACCACGCGATGTTCAGACGAACAAAACTATTCTACCGATATCAAGCGAGCGTTGTCAGATAGTGCTAGCAAAATGTCACAACAGCAGAAAGGATTATTAGATAAATCACGCTACAATGATATTGAATGTGATCGCAACAAAATTCCACATCCAGAAACGGTGGAGAGAGAGACTTGGGGAAAAAAGATTGAATTTTTATTAGCCATCATTGGATTTGCTATAGATTTAGGAAATGTGTGGCGTTTTCCATTTATTTGTTTCAAAAACGGCGGAGGTAAGTTTCTTTTCCTTCATAACGTGTTTATCTTTTAAAATGTTTATATTGACGGAATAGATTAAGAGATTAAAGTTAATCTGCTTTGTGGGAATTATAAAGGTCTATATATAATTGATGATGTAACTATCTCATGTTAATCCATCTAAAAATGTAGCAGAAGAAGGCTATTTTTGTATAATACTGATTACCAATGTAAATAAATACCAAAGGTGCCTTTCTGTAATGTTTGGATACTTTAAAACTTAGGTGTATTTCCTCTGGTTAATGAGCACAGATTCTTCATTTACTTAGCCTTCCAAAATGGGAGTGTAATTAAGCGCAAGGGTTCATTGTTAGCTCGTTCGGAGAAGATACATTACTAATTGACAAAAACTATAGAAAACTATAAATATTCTGAAATGGGGACAATGAACGGGGGCAATATTTCCAATACCTAAAGCAAACATCTCTCTGCAGAGTTTCCGTTTCTATAGATCATTGGGTAGAAGGGATGGACGAGTAGGAGCCACAGAATTACCAAGGAGGTGTTTGGGGTGTGGGGCGCATAAGTATCAAGGGGGCTCAAATTTTTCCCCATGTAAAAGAAAATTTAAAAGTTGTTGGCCAAAGTCGGACCAGTTGCAACTCTGCCCCAACACATCCCATCACCCATCTATTTGCTCGGAACAAGAGGTGACATGATATTTCATTTGTCCTGCTTATTTTAGACTTGTTACGTTTTTAGATTAGACTTTTGTCTAACCTCTAATCAGAAATGAAATGGAGTTTTACGTCCTAATTTTTTTCAATGTGGCAATTTTAACACTGCACTCTCTTTGTCTAATTCAAGTTTCTCAGCAGTCTAGTTAATGAATGATAAGCACATCACTTAAACTATTAACATCAAAGAGATAAGTTGAATTATTATATTTAGAGTGACAAGAACAGCAGGTAGTTGTAAGTTCCACAGTGTATTGTATTATACCTCACAACAAGGCTAATATTGTCTCTAAAATTTAAAATTCAACATTGGTGTGAGAAAATGAAATGATAAGAATGAGCTCATTAGAAAGACAAAGAGTTTCGTGTCATGAAGAAAGACTTAATTCCTTGTGCAATACTTTCAAGACTTAAATCCAAACCAGTAGGTTTTGTCATCATAAATTTGCCTGAAAGTTTCAAAATATAGTCCATACATGAACTGTTGAACCAGACATGCTATTATTTGGGTCACTTTGTAGGTATGTACACCTGAAGGGTTCCCAGAGTTAGATATGATGTGAGTCAGTGCAGCTACACTACCGAAATGCCTTATCACCATATCTCAGTCCTTGTTTGAAGATCAGGGCCAAGAACTGACGTACAAATGACACATGTAACGTAGCAAGGTATTACTTCGCTTTAAGTAAATCCATACCGATGCCTACTTATATCAAGATTTTGAATTTGTTTTAGACTTGTCATCAGAGATCTTGACAGTGTGTGCTGACTCTGGTTTTTTCTTTTCAACATTTGACAAAAATAACAGGTTTGAGGTGGTAACACCTTACATAACGAAGTAGAAATAAGTGATATTTCTACTAAATACCAATCAAATATGGTACGCTTCATGGACACATACTGTTTTATATGGGAAAGTTTCTCCAGCGATAACATCGAACAAACTACAGGGAGACAAATTTTACCAGGATAGAGCTCACTCTTAATCGATGTCCAGTTTGTAAAGCAACTGATATTTTACCACGATAGCCAATAGACTAGGATCGTTGACAAAGAGAAACTGCCTCGATCTAGACAGGGATCGACCACGAGTTATAACTTGAAGACAGTACCCCTTTAAGCGAGAAATTAACTGTATGTATATTTGAACATGTCTGGAAGATTTTTTTATGCCTTGATCTAGACCGAAATTAGCCTCAAGATGTGTGTGAATAATTATAAGACAGTATACCTTTAAAACGAGAAATTAACTGTATGTATATTTGAACATGTCTGAAAGTATTTTAATGACTTTATTATATTCTAAGATGAATAAATTAGTAATAAAGTTATCTAACTACCGACATCTTTTACAATCTTTAATTATCATATCATACTCTATAACACACTCATAAATATTATTATCTTTTTCTAAATGCACCGTAAAGGGTTGCACGACTTCATTCATATCAAAATGCATTATGAAATCTCTTTAGTAGTCGTTATGATATATACAACGTGCGTATATAACGTTAATTAGAAGGGACGGAAAATAAATAACGTTCTATTTAAAGGGATATGACCTTCTAATTATTTCCTACAATTTATTGAAAAGTGAACGGCGACATAAGATCTAAGTGCTAAGCGGTAATGAGAAATGAAATAAAGGTGTCACCGATAAATAAAATAGAATAATTAGGTGGATATGTGGATACAATTGACAATTTTGTTGTGTGGCATACACAGTTGCGGCGCCAGTTGGGGTACTTGGGGGTGGGATGCATATGCCCCCATAGAAAAATGGTTTGCACCCCCACTTTATATTTAATAAATATACATTATGATTTTTATACGTTTCTGCCCCAAAACATGTGTTAGTAAATCATTTCATTTTTTCAAAAATGTTCTTGGGAGAAACCTCTCAGACGCTTCATGAGAGAGGCTTGCGACTATCATGATTCTGCAGAATTGCCAAATTTTAAATTTCAGCTGGACAGTCCAACCTCCCCTCCCCCATTTTGCCAATCTGCTCTCTATTTGTATTCGTACCCCCAGGAAGCTGGTGCCGCCACCGTGTATAAAATCTTGTCATCGTCAGGCAACGTACATTATTTGTCACCATTTCAATCAGTGATATTATATTCAATTGTGGAAAAACCACACGTCGAAATTTTATTTTGAAGAGTGATATGACTAACTTTCTACTGTATCCATTAGTATAACAAAAGTAATAAACTTGCAGTACATGTATTTGAAATTTATGCCTTACTTTCCCGCATCTTCAAGGCTATGATATCGTTATTGTATATATTTGATGGATCTTTCAAGATGTGTTATTTGTCACATTTGTAAAGTATTTGTTATAAGTAAGCTTTAAGAAAAATATAAATTCGAATCGTCAACTCTCTAGAGTATAATTAGTGCCAGACAAAATTTTAAATTGTGAATTTACAACACAGCTCACGTAACTTCTCTACAACTCAACTTTTTATTATCTGGAAACTTAAAACAAATTTGTTTTGTAACGTCAAGGATTCTCTTTACTGTAACATTTTCTAAAATAAATGTGACAGTAAAACTCTTACCCAGTTTTCTTCTTGAACTCAAAAAGGATTGATAGGGTCTGGTATGATATCGTCTCGTATACAGTTCGCAGGGTATATCAATGTATTTTAAAGTGGGTCTGGCATGATGAAAGGTTTCTTGCACTCGAGAAGCAGTACTTAAATACACATCCACAGTTAAGAATTGAAAAGTGATTTAAGATATTTCCTTTTATTTTCTTGTAGGTTATACATTACTCATATTAAATCTAACGACATTATTAAGAATGGTATGTTCACAATCTCAACCAATCAAATGGTCTGTTCAGTCAGAGTAAATCACCTGTATTGAAATCTTGAATATGAAATATGAGATGTAAAAGGGTTCTTTCCTCCCAGCACTGCATGTACTGTATGGGTTCATTAGGTGCAGTAAAATAGAATGCCAACTTTCATATCGATTTATATTTTTCTTTGAGTTGTCCTCTGAAACCAGTTTAATTTACAAAGGGCAATAAAGAATCTGTAGAAGAATTAAAATCATTATTCAAATCTCTATTCAAAATCCATTGAATATATTTCTTAAGTGATTTTAACACGAAAACAAATATGACCATAAGGCGATATGGAAACTCATTTCGTCCATTCAAATTGATAAGCGTTCAGGCTATATTATCTCGTGCATGCATATCACGAAAACAATATGTGGAAATACCAAAATTTAAAATTTTTCTTTCCAATGGATATTGGTACTGTGTTTTTACTTGTTCTTCCTACAACAGTTTTTATATGATTTCAAAAACGTCTGTATTTTCAGGACTGATTGAATTACCTCTAGTCTTTATATGGTGATAATATAAGGAAACACTAGTAGGTCTATTCAAATTTGATTAAAAACAATGCGTAGGAACAGCGTGGACGTGCAGTACAGTTTTGCCATTTTTCTATTTAAAGATTGCTTATAATGCATTTTTATTTCATAACATATTGAAAATGAGGAGACTGGGTGTACAAATAGGGGGCAGACTGATTCAATGTTGAGGCTGATTTAAAATGCAACAATTCTGTGGAGGCCTCACTGTCGCAAGCATGTACATCGTCGATGAATTGATGCATTTAGACACATACTTTGGAACAAAAACGTATAAAATTATATTTTTAATTTTTTTTTAATTTAAGTAGGGGTTGGGGTGCAGACCCTTTTTAAAGGGGCAAATGCACCCCCTCCCCACTCCATACCCCCACCGGTTGAGTAGTTCTCTGAAGACTAATATTCGAGTTAATAACTACAGGACTTGAGAATTTTTGAGTAAATTAGAAAAGCTTTCGGATTCCTTACTGTGAATTTTAGATTATTTTTAGGATTTTCGAGCATCTTACCACACCATCGCATCAAGAATACGGGTTTTAACATGGTTTTATTTACCCCGAGGAAGTATAACGAATGGGGGCGTGGTTTGGACACGATGCTTACCACACATGCTAGGCCGATTTGCTTATTAGAATTTTCTAGTTATCAATGACAGATAATTCGAAATACACAAATTTGCCATATGCTTATTCCGAATAAATCTCAATTTCGAGTGTCTTACTTGTAAAACTTGTATTTCAGCCTTCAGGTGCTCTTCGAATTGACTTACATCATTTCCTCCTAATTTCAATGAGAAACTTGAAGGAAATTGAAAACATAAACAAACTTGAAGGCTACAATATACTGGGTTTATATATAATGATGTAACAAATTGTGCAGGATATCATTTTAACAATCTTTCACTTGTCATGCCAAGTTGAAGTTTATATATTTGATAGACAGTATTTCAGTCTTCTGAAAATACATAAGGGAAGTAGTCATCTAAATATTTGTTTTCTTTGTTTTATGGCACTCAATTTGGGATACCATGCAAGTCGAAGTTTATATTTTGAAAGTACATCTAAAAGCAGGGCCGTTACTAGGGTCTTTTTTTCATATAAAGCAAAAAGCTTTTGGTAGACCACCTTTACCATAGACGTCCAATTAGCGATGTATTTTATTTTTGATTTATATTTTGAATTTTTCATACAAAATTTATTATTTTATACATATTTTTTGTCAAAATCGGCATCTGGCAATTGCCTCGCTTTTAATGATGAAATTACGCCCCTGAAAAGGATCATAAAAATTATAAATATTTGTTTTCTCAGTTGATAGCGCTTTCAGTCTTTCGGATATTCGTCAGAATATCACTTTTCACAATGAAAATTTGTCACCTGATTCAATTAGATTTAAACTGAATGATTTAGACTGTTATTAACTCTTTCCTGTGAAGATCGTACAGATGCCTTATTCTTGAAAATGTTAATAACGGTTTGCATATTTAGACTTCCAACATGTTTCTCTTCTATTGCTGACAAACCAATTGTTGGAGTTTAATCTGAATAAAGTACCTGGGATAGCTGAAGTTCAGCTCATTTATCTCAAGCAAATACGACCCTCTTCATATTTTTACATCTGTAGATGTTTTGGTCACATGACCTCATTTAACCCTAAAATCTTGTTACATTAGAATTGCCCCAACCCGAATATCGGAATTCGGAATATTCGCTATAACAACAAACATGCATTAGAGGATAAGCTAGGCTTGGCTTTAATTTTAAGAAGAGTGTAGTGCACTCAAAAAAAGTCCATTGCGGCCTCTGAAACAGTGATATATCGGGCAATAAAACATTATTTCAATCTGATAAAGTGTACGACAAATATAAGCTTTTATTATTCTGGCCTCTCCCTAAACGAAAAGGAGTTACATTGGAATCGAAAAACAAAACTATCATAAGAAGATAAGACTTTGGCGCCGGGAAATCTTTAAAAAGGTATTTATTATAATGCTTTTAAAGAACAAACAGCAACAAGAAAACTTAATATATGAAATGTGTTTGTACTGTTTAACAAATTTAACAATGCACCTTAAAACACTGGCCCCCGGAGCGACAACAATACAAACACACTCTGTACATTATTAATACATGGTCTTAATAGATATTCTCATAACCATTTTCATCTTTTAATCTCTCATTATTTATCAGTCAAGATTTAAAGGGATTGTAAAGAGTTTTTCAAAATTTTGTGTGCATCGAAAACACTGATAGCATCAATATGCACCAGTTTAATTTTCAGTCAGACGTCTGTGGTTCCTGCAATTTTATTACGGCAAGTGCGATAGCGACATCATAAAACGCTTTTTCGCAGGACGTCCGACTGAAAATTGAAATGGGGTGAATTGGTGCTAACAGTGTTCTTGATACACATAAAAAGCTTTGGAAATCTCTTCACAATCCCTTTAAGAATGGTATAAATGAGTAGTTTCGCGTTGAAATATCTTGTGTGGTTTCCAAATGAAATGTCAGAAAGAAATAATTTATTAAAGATAGTTTTCTTATTAACACTCCATAAAACGCCGCTTCTTCTGATTATTATCTTTATAATGATTGATAGCTCAGATATCATGTGAATTATCATCTTCACAATGTTAAGCTATTACCAACTGCGTCTAATACCTTGACTGCAGCAGCCACCTTTCTCGTATCATAAAATGCAGCGAAATTATTAAATTGGCGGTATTCCCAAATCCAGCGGATCCTTGCTTAATGTGATACAAGAAAAGAGCCCATTGAAGTCCAAATATTAACATTTTCACAATGTCAAGCTATAACAAACTACGTCTAATAGCATTGAGCTCTTTCCTTGTATCAACGGAAGTTTTTTAATTCAGCGATTTGATTGGATTGTACTTTAAGGAATACAACCAATCAGTCCCCAATACTGTAAACAAACGGTTTATAGTTTACGTACTATCTGACAAGGTCTTTGATTAACTGTAATTGGTAGTGTAGAATCCAATCAAATAGCTGCATTTACCAAACTTCCGCGATACTAGGAATGAGCAGAATGAAATCTGGGTATAAGATGTAGTTCGTAATATAATAGCTTGACATTGTGAAGATGATGAATTAATAATCAAGACATCATACTGTCTGTAATCATATTATATACTGTAATCAAATTTATTAACGTTATAAAGTTTAGTAGTGCCTGAATTATCAGGGCGTGGTCTAATTAAGAAGTGAGGGAGGGGGTAGGCAGTTTAGAAATAGTCCTGAAATATTTTGAAATGCAAGCTGATGTATGTCCCTCGGACACTGGTCCAGTTATGAACTGAAAGGTTCTTACTCTGGTCCAAGACATTTTGAGCGATGATGATTGGAGCGGGTGTCGCTAGTAGTTCACTCCCGAAGCACACCTGGTGCCAATCAACGGCCGAGCGGCCAATTACACCTTTTCCTGTGAGTGTAATTTAGTAGGTATAGTAATCATGGCGGTTTCTCTTGGTTTCAGTATGATACTTTTGTAAGTAACGTACGGGTAATGTTTGAAATCAGAGACGGCTCACCTGAAACGAAATATGGTGTCATTCTGGGATTTTGCTTATGAATTAAACCCCAGTGCTTAAGTGCACAAAGGCCCAGTTAAATTTGTTATTTTGGTATTTTTATTCGTGTATCGTATTCGTGATATCAGTAAGTTGTATCAATAGACGAGATAAAACCATGATAATGTAAGTGTAAAAACAATGAAGTTGAAACAAAAACTAGTATAAAAAAAATGTCTTATAAAAACTAAATAAAGAAAATAAGATAACCTGATTTAACAAGTTGCTGATGATTTATCTTCTTCAGACAATAGTTTCAAGGGATGATTCCCTCTATTTCGTTACGTTACCTCGGCTTCTGGAAGGCAGTAGAGGTTAAGAATTGTGAGGTATAGACTGAATTCTATCTGCATGTAAAATCTTCAGCAAGATACATAATGTTGCACAGCGTCTCAATTGTATCGCGTCCAAAATGTTTTGCTGCATCATTAACAAAAATTTTTTTCATCGCTCCCAACAGGAAACCCTGGTCAAAAGATTTTAATTTTTGCCCATGAGAAATATTTGTATGTCTTTTATATTTCAGGGGCCTTTTTGATACCCTATTTTATCATGTTAATATTTATTGGTATACCCTTGTTTTATATGGAACTGGCTTTAGGGCAATATCATAGAAGTGGTCCAATATCAATATGGTTACATATCTGTCCAATATTTTGTGGTAAGTATTTACACCTTGTGACATATCTGTACAATATTTTGTGGTAAGTATTTACACCTTGTGACATATCTGTACAGTATTTTGTGGTAAGCATAAAATTGGTTACATATTTGTCCAATATTTTGTGGTAAATATAAATAATGTTCCATATCTGTCCAATATTCTGTTGTAAGTATATAATTGGTTATATATCTGTCCAATATTCTGTTGTAAGTATATAATTGGTTATATATCTGTCCAATATTCTGTTGTAAGTAATAGAATTGGTTATATATCTGTCCAATATTCTGATGTAAGTATAGAAATGGTTATATATCTGTCCAATATTCTGATGTAAGTATAGAAATGGTTATATATCTGTCCAATATTCTAATGTAAGTATATAATTGGTTATATATCTGTCCAATATTCTGTTGTAAGTATATAATTGGTTATATATCTGTCCAATATTCTGTTGTAAGTATATAATTGGTTATATATCTGTCCAATATTCTGTTGTAATAATAGAATTGGTTATATATCTGTCCAATATTCTGATGTAAGTATAGAAATGGTTATATATCTGTCCAATATTCTGATGTAAGTATAGAAATGGTTATATATCTGTCCAATATTCTAATGTAAGTATAGAAATGGTTATATATCTGTCCAATATTCTGATGTAAGTATAGAAATGGTTATATATCTGTCCAATATTCTGATGTAAGTATAGAAATGGTTATATATCTGTCCAATATTCTGATGTAAGTATAGAAATGGTTATATATCTGTCCAATATTCTAATGTAAGTATAGAATTGGTTACATTGGTTCATTTTGCCACATTGCGCTTTGAGTTTGTTTCACCGTCATGATTTTGCAATTTATGAAAAGAATCACCCCTTCCTATTCCAAAATTATATCTGCTTTGTGCAGTCCTACCTCTATACCGTTGTTGTTCTCTGTTCTAAACTATATGAAAGCCTTTATTCTTCTTAAGATATTTTATATCTGTATTTTACAGGAATTGGTTACGGTATTTGTTTTATAGCCACATTTATCGGTTCATATTATAACACGGTTATAGCTTGGGCGGTGTATTATCTTATAGCATCGTTTACTGCCGAGGTTCCCTGGAAGTCTTGTAATAATTCCTGGAACACACCAAACTGTGTCTCATTACAAACTGCTGAAAACATCACCAATACCTCTTCATCTCCTGCAGAGGAATATTTCTTGTAAGTGTAATAGTAACATCAGAGCTGCCTCATTCTTCATTATTTTCGAATTCCCAAACCAACTGCTTATATATGATTGTCGCTTCATCTTGAAAGGACACATTCCTGTAATTCTTTTAATGAGTACCATTCTGACCAGTTAAAACTCTTTTATATTAGGATCAATGTTTAATTATTTACTTTTCTAATGCATATATGAGAAAATATATATAAAACATACCTATAAACAAAAATTGGTTAAGGGTTCGGAAACAAGGCCAAATGTATCCTTTTCCCATCAGATTTTGCTCGTTTTGGTCTTGAAAGCTAATGCAATGATACTGAAATCAGACGTTTGAAAAGGCGAACATTCCTAATTAATAATGAGAACTACAATTACATATTAAAATAATTTTTGGACAATACTAACCAACCATCTGGGCAAGACAATATGTGTCATGGGTTTGGTCCGCTCTCAGCGCATTCGGAAGTTTTGTCTGACCACTTCTACCATTTGGAATTGATTATTGTGGTTAAATCATATTCTTCTCCATATTTCAGGCGGGAAGTTTTGGCAATGCATAAATCAACTGGCATCAATGAGCTCGGGAACATAAAATGGGATTTATGTTTGTGTTTATTAGCTGTTTTTATCATTATTTATTTTTGTTTATGGAAAGGAATTAAAAGTTCGGGTAAGGTGAGTCTCTCGACTTTTTTGATATCTATAGAAACAACGAACACATCTTTATTTAAAGAGATTACAAAGAGGTTTTATTATTATTAAGGTGTATCGGTACACTGATAACATCAATATACACCATTCTAATTTTCCGTCAGACGTCTGAGCAATTCCACTAAAACTATAAGCGTTTTATAATCATCACTATCGCAATGGCCCTTAGATTTTTTTAGCAGCTTGTGCAAAATCCTCTTTACAATCCTTTTTAGTCGTCGATTCTTGTTTCCTTGTAAGATAGCATCTTTTTTGAAAGGATGAAAGTTTTTAGTTGTTATATTTGTCGATGAACCAAAAACGCTTTAAGAGCTATTTAGATAACATATATATTTTTGTCATCACTTTGAAGACATGCACGATCTGAATAAAATCAAGATGCAAAGAATAAACGCGATGCCTGATTCCTGGACAAAAAAGATTGGATAATTTCTTCCGGATAAGGCTTGTATAATAGAGATACGTAGGCGACGGTTGACAGTATAATAAAGACTTCGACTTGATAGATGTCCAATGATACCCACGGCTTGTCTTCAAAAACGATGATTAATCTAGTAGAATATAGGGCAGGTGGGGGAAATGGGACAAGGTTTGTGGCAATTGTTATCATTAAGAGCACAAATGATTAAAATGATTGACAATGATAATTTAAAAGAACTCTAATATGTGTGTTTGTGGTATGTTAAAGGTCCCTTGACATTCAGAGATCGATGAGTGGGCGAATGGCTGAAGCTGTCATGGAAAGATTTTTCTTGTCCGATACAAGGTGCTACAGGTGCTGAAAAGTGAAGATAGATCTGAAATCGCCACAATAAATGAAAGTTGCATTAATAAAATTGTTGCAAGAAGATTTCGTTATTGCCTAGTTTGGGATCAATTAAATACAGCAAACATCTTGAAATGTATAAAATAAAAAATAATCCTTCACATTGATCGTAATGTAAACACATATTCTGGAATTTGTTATATATCGTATGCTATCATACATACCCTTCAACCTTCACCAACCTTATTTCTTATTCGTTCTTATTACTACATGTATATTTTCAGGCTGTATGGGTAACAGCAATAGCACCATTTGTGATATTATTTGCCTTATTAATACGTGGTGTGACGCTACCAGGAGCTGAGATTGGTTTACTGTACTATATCAGACCAGATTTCACCAGACTTCTTACTGTTCAGGTAGGGATTATATTCTTAATTTAAAGATAGAGTTCATATTAAATAACTGAAGACGATTTTATGGTATGCTACTATGATGGCAATGTAAATTGTTGAAAGTTCGTGTACAGTAACACTTTTAAGTAACACCATAAAATTGAAGCTCGTTTTAAGGAAGAATTTGTATTTGCCAGAAGTAAAGAAAGGAAACTAACACAGAAAACCAATTTTGTTCAAGACGTCTTCACCACAGATCTTCTCTGGATCTAGATATTTTGCATATCTTGACGACGTTTTCAAAACAACAAATAAAAGCAATCCACTTTTGATACCAATGCCATTCTTTCTTCGGCACATTAAATCAGTGGTTATGTGCAGAAATACATTTTTGACCTACTATAGTTCTATATTTTGTGCATAAGGTTACTTTACACGACCATCAAGGGCAATAATTCCTATTGGCCAATTAAGATCATTGACCTTAGATTAAATGATCAAACTAACTAATTGATTGAATAGTATTTTGTATCATAATTAAATGATAATTTTTGAAACAACCTGTGGCAAACTGACCTTACGTTATACATAATAATATATACTCAACGTCTCAAATATTAACCTATAACAATAGGTCAAATCGTTAGCCTTACGATCTCCTTTATCCTCGGGCATTTACTATCAACATTATTTCAAAATGTCCACTAAATATTGTGAAATCCTTGTCATAATCATTAGTAATTGAGCAGAATTAAGCCACGACTGGAATTTTCTCAGAACTTTTCATGAGTTTGATCGATGAAGCGATTGATAGGGTACTAAATCAAAGAGAGATGATGAAATACGAAGACTAGACTCGAGACGTCTTTATGGTACCCATCTTTGAAACAATTTACTTTGTCCTATCAAATTCCTCTTTACTTTGATGTATTTATGCCTTAATAACCTAATCCAAATCTGAGATAACCATAACACTATAAACAGATCTTTTCGTATATATATATTTATTGTTTAGAGAGGTTCGAAAATGTATCTAAGAAAAAGAAAACTATTACACATTAGACATTAGACAAGTAAATAAGACAGATATTATGGATAAATACTTCTATTATATTAAAAGAATTAATCAAATAGTTTGCTTAATTTGACCCTAAAAAATAAGGACACCTATCTTCAATTATCTTTATCTTTGGATAATTTAGGTTCGAAGGATCCTCTTTACCAAAATCCCTCATCCATGATTATTTCAGATTAGATTACACATATAAACTGTGTAAAACGCAACTGGACTTTCACCAATTTACTATACTTCTCTAATAGAATCACTGTTATCGAATTCCAATCCATTGCTTATATTCTTTCAGGTTTGGTTGGATGCTGCAGCACAGGTTTTTTTCTCGCTGGGTCCAGGGTTTGGTACTTTGATAGCTTTATCCAGTTATAATAAATTTGATAATAATTGTTATTTGTAAGTAGTTTATCAGATGTAGTTTCCTCTAAATCTCTCGACAAGAAAGATTTGTTGAAAGATTTATTGTAGCAACAGTAACTTGGGCCCCGGGAGTTTGAAGGCCCGTGATCTTGTCTGAACGAGTCTCTGTGGTATCTGATGGTACCAATTGGGGACTTGCGCGGTGATAAGGTAACCCTATTCCTGTCCAGATCAAACACAGGGGGTTGACATGTGAGACTCTCAACCACAAAACCATACAGTAACCTAATAACGCATATTCAACAGTAGATCATAATATATGTAATGGCCCATCTTTCTTTCAGTGATGCTATAATAACATCTATTATCAACTGTTTTACCAGTCTCCTAGCCGGGGTGGCTGTTTTCTCGGTTATTGGTTATATGGCTTTAAAGCAAGGCAAAGCGATAGAAGACGTCGCTTTAAAGGGTATGTTTTCTTTGTTCTCATTACAATAAGTCCTACAGTGGAGTTTCGTCCAATGTTAATTTAACGGTCACTTCCGTATATCATGTCTGGGGAACTTGACGTAATCGCAGCTGTTATCATGTCTTGGGAACTTGACGTAATCACATCGGTATATCATGTCTGGCGAACTTGACGTAATCACAGCAGTTATCATGTCTGGGGAGATCTTGACGTAATCACATCGGTATATCATGTCTGGCGAACTTGACGTAATCACAGCTGTATATCATGTCTGGGGAACTTGACGTAATCACATCGGTACATCGTGTCTGGGGAACTTGACGCATCCGTATATCTTGTCTGGGAACTTGACAAAATCACGTTCGTATATCACGTCTGGGGAAGCAGATTTGTCGGGCTGTCCCCGTGATCATTTATCAACGGCACGACGATTAGATGTGGATAATTATCTTACTGTTACTATACTAAGGGAACATTGGCTTATCCATGTATAATATCTTTAACGTTGCAAAAGGAACATGGGGTTTACCCAGGACGTAGGCCTACATTTTTTTCACCCCTCGCCATCCCTATTCGACGTCCTTATATTCTTCTTTGCACTACGTGTTAACCATTGCCACTGTTCTAGCTCCTGCTGAAGGAGTAATGTTTCCAACACCCAATTTGAACTAATTATTGATAAGTCTTATACACACGTTTCAGGCCCAGGGTTAGTGTTTATTGTATATCCAGAAGCTTTGGCAACTATACCATGGTCTTCGTTCTGGTCTATATTATTCTTCTTGATGTTGCTGACTTTGGGATTGGACAGTTCGGTATGTATGTTTCTGTAGTCTTTGTACTTGCCTCGTTGTCTAGAAAAAATTATCAGAAATGTAAACCTTACTATCTACAGCAAAGCCTAGTAGATTGTTTGGTAGACATGTTACCGTCCCCTTTAAGTAAAAGCTGATATCACAGACTAAAATATAGCAAAGTCGAAAATGACTGCCATGATTATCTGTAGGTCTACCACTCCTAGATTTTGACTAAGATGTGTCCTTTTCTGTATCTTGCGTAGGTGTGTTTCTATATATTCAATCATTTGATATTACTTGTCCTAAGTTGTTTATACACTCATACCATATGCTGAGACCTTTGGATTCACTTTATAGATTTTTAAACGTTGAAATGACCGCTTAATATAATGACATTCTTATCTGTTGCAGTTTGGAGGTCTAGAATCTGTAATAACAGCTCTATCAGATGCTTACCCAAAACTGAATAAACGACGTGAGCTATTGGTACTCGCCGTTATTGTTTATTGCTTCGTTCTTGGACTACCAACTACAACATACGTACGTATATTTTAATGTTGTATATGGCAATCATTTATCTGTAAGGGCAAAGGCAATATTCGACGGTTCGTGATAAATAAGGCAAAGATCTTAAAATTCTTAGCAAACTTTCGTGCTTCCGACATCAATGTGAATTTACTTCTGATTTGCTGATATGCTTTCTGTATTTGTATGGGGTTCATGTGAAAAAATTATTAAAATTAAAATTATTAAATTAATTATTGACATAAAACAGTGAATCATGTTCTTTTGAAAAATAATAATATACAATGACGGTCCTTTTATGTTTTGTTTTTATTTCAGGGAGGTCAATATTACATGCAGATTATGGATACACACGGTGCTGCCATCTCCTTACTCTTTATTTGTTTCTGTGAGATTGTTGCTCTCAATTGGTTTTATGGTGAGATATAACATTGTATTCGAATTACCCTGAAAGTGGCTATGCACCAATGGAACATAAAATATCACTGTGTTCAGGGCAGTTCTGTTATCTATAGTTGGAAGTTCTGTATAATTCTGAAGCTTCATATTTGGCACACTTTTAAGTCTTCAACGCGTCTAAAACTTATTTCCATCTATATTTATTGATAAGGGATGCACTTAACGACGACGCTGACAGACAGACACTTCATTTGGGTTTTAACGCACATCGTCGAAACTATTGCTGCGATGCTATCGATAAGCTCAATAAATTATCTCCTCTATTTCAGGTGTAAGAAGATTTTCTGATGATGTTCAGGCTATGTTAGGGCACAGACCTGGTATATTCTGGAAGATATCTTGGTGTTTCATCAGTCCTATAAGTTTACTGGTTAGTATAATCTTATCTTGGTTCACGTTGAATTGCCTTAGCATTGGTTTTCTTAACTGGAGTATGCTCTAATAATTTAAAACCCGTTCTATCCCGGTTACCCTAATAAACTATGACCATACCTTTTTCACTATATTCTTTATGCAGGTGGACTAAATTGAAACGGAACGTATAATCATGCTTCTCTGTTCATTATCATTAAAGACCTTAAAAAGCTTTCCTTGGCCAGATCTAGCGCAAAACGTAGGACGTAAAACTCCATTGTATTTCTACTTTCAGTTAATATTTATACTATCAATAGTGGGATATGCTGGTATAAGTTTAGATGACTATACGTTCCCAATATGGTGTCAATATGTTGGCTGGGCTATAACATTCGCCTCTATTGTCTGTGTACCTATTTATATGGTGTACAGAGTCTGTATTACTCCTGGTTCCATCAAAACGGTACGCATTAATTTTTTTCTGGATAACGAACCGAACATACTTCCCTATATATACTCAACACTTCAAATGGAAAGCCGACAACAGCATAGCAACATATCAATTAAACAGGGATGCGATGGGTGGTGAACGGGCATCCAGTGCACTACACCCGTCTTGGTGCACTGCACCCGTCTTGGTGCACCACACCTGTGACTGTATAATGCGAATGCATTGCCACAGACACTACTAGAAGCGTCAAGTCTGATTCATGAGGCAATGAAAAGCCCATTTTTAAGATGGGTAACTCTAAAAACTTATATTTCTTTTTCAGAAATTAATAAAAAGCATCGAACCAATAGAGTCCACTCCCATTTCTAATGGAACTGACATTAAAATGGGGAAAGTATCCAATTCGTTATATAAACTGTGAACAAACTCTGTTTAAAGAGACAAAAGTGCCATATTTTTATAAACAGACATTATCATCGTCGTTTACCATCATGTTTAACCACATCGAGTGCTCGCCAACTAGAGAACTACGAGGTGTTGAACATCAGCACGATAATAATCAGCGATTAATGCTCAGCAATGATGTTATGTAGATTCTCCTATTGGTTGATCAATACATTTTTGAACTGAAAACATAATTATATCTATTAATGGCATTCAATGCAATACTTCGTTGACATTTTGTCACAGCAAAATTGATGTCAGGAAACTCATATCATCGTCAAGAATCATTCAAACGTTTCATTTTTAAACCAGGGCAATCAAAACAATATATCAGGACAGGACTTGATAATCCATTTCGTGCTTTCATTCACTACGCAACTTGTTAAAATTAACCCCTTCATAGGTCGTTGATGGGTGAAATGATCCAAAGTGAAAAAACTGACATGCGAAAACCCTTGGCGACTGCAGTTGCGACTCCATTTACCAATCTCCACCCAGCCCCACAGGCCCAAAATTGTTGTGGAAAAAGGCTTTTTTTCCATTCAAATGTAATAATATTGCAAGAAAAATCTTTCAAATTTGGTGGTGGTCCATCCTAATCCATTATTACAAGCAAAAATCTCACAGTTGTATTATATATTGTTGTAAATAATATTTAATTCAATCTTATTAAAATACAGTCGAAGATATTTCGCTGATCCATTGAGTTACCATTTATCTAATATTAGAATTGTGCTTTTGAGAGATGTTTTCTAAAATACTTTCACACTCAATAATTGTATCAAATTAAGTTCAAGCTAAACATTTCATTGACTAAGATAAACCTTACTTATTCAGTCAGTCGTAATAAAATCTCAGTAAACCTTCTATAATTATCAATAAAATAAACTACTATATGAATATCTTAACCTTCTATTAACAAATAAAAAAAACCTGATAGGTAAAGGATGTTTTGGATAATAACCCCATGATTGATTGTATATGACTATCTATATATTTTAATATATCATTATTATGTTATCGTATTGTTAAGAATATATCAAGAAGATTAAAAACTTTGTCGAATATAAAAATCAATTTATATTTAATTGTTGGGTTATCTCTTACAAATTGTAGTTTAGCAGAGACGCCTAGTTATACAAATCTAGCAAGCTGAAGAGCAAACCACTATCGCTACCACAGAATGGTAAATGTGTCTATAACGAACTGGAATGGTAGGCAGTATCGGTGGCAGGTTCTTTGAACTAGGGGTACAGGTACAGATCAAACTGACTGAATGTGTGTGCGTGTTTGTGTCGGGGGTGGGGTTCAACTGACGGTGTTAAAATTCACAATGATAGACGCAAACCTCCTCTGAACTTGTACTAACCAGGAAATAGTAGCAGAATAATACAATCGAGTCTCTGCACTCTTATATATATTTGGGGGACAAAATTGAATACTGTGAAATTTACTAAGATTGATGTGCAAACCTCCCTCCTTCACCCTCAATGGCATTCTTTAATTAGATGTTCCCATATCGCACACCTTTCAAGATGCCCAAATCCCGGGCAAAATTAACAAAAAAATTAACAAATTTCAATTAGTTGAAAATGTAAATGTTTGACAGCTTTTTTATATTTTTTCTGATAGCAATTTAATCGCAATTCTTTTAAGTATCTAACTTATCCCTCTATCTTCTTTTTTTCGGGAATACCCCAACTTTTTTTTATTAAACTCGTCCACTCACGCGTACTGTCTATCAATATGAATGCTGTATATGTATGTTTGTAAGAGCGCATTTGTAAAATTAGGTGATGATGTTCAGCATTGTGTTGGTATATATTTCTGACAATTGAAGGGGAACAAATCCAACAAGACAGTTCTAATAAAATCTCAGTGAACCTTCTATAATTTTCAACTTAACTGTTACTATGTTCATCTTAGTCTTCAGTGTAATAGATAAAAACCGATCTCGACTCAAGTTTCTCAAACTTCCTGTCAGCAAGGGTCACCTGATTTAAATTCCTGACCAAACCCTGAACCCAACCTCAGGCAAAAACAAATTTAAAGACACCAAATGATTAATAGAATGTGTTAAATTTGTAAAAACAATATACAATTCCATCTTAGTGTATATAATATATAAATAAATAATATTAACAATTCATTAACAAAGGACGGAATGACACAAACAATCTTAACAAAATATAGTATTACATTTCTTCAGCATGTGTTAATAAAATTATGGCTGGCGATGCATAGAAACAAATTAAAGTTGTCATGGGTGAAATGGACAAAAGAACGAAATATCAAAAATGGGTGATTTAACAAAAAATTTAAGATGATGGTAAACTAATGAAATGAAATGGAGTTTTACATCCTACTTTCATGTTGGGTGAACAAACGAGCACTGATGATGTCAAAATAATGTCTATATGTCTTAATGATGCTTATGCATTACGGAATGTGTTTAAACTAACTTCAATGTTTATAAAGCATCTGCTAAGTCACTCATATCATGATTGAAGAAATTTGACAAGTTTGTTACAGTGACTGGATACATTGTCATTAACATGATTACTATTGCTAGACATTGAGTTGGCTGTGCCAGGTCTAGAAAAGGCTGATACTGGACGGGAAGAACTAGCTGTACCAGGACGGGAGAGACTTCCACTGCTTATATTTCCTAACTTATTTATAGCATTCAATTCTATCATCTCCTGTAATGAAAAAAAGACTTGCAAGATACGGTATGCTTCAAAATTCTTTGAAATATTTTGTCAATCTAACATATTATCCTGGTAATCCTCCATTGCTCTTTGCCTGGTAATTTGTGGGTTACAAAAAACCCTGGCCGTGTGATGATTAAGTGAATCAACATAAAGAGCAATGGGCCACAATCCAAAAATGAACAAATTTGACCAAACCAATCAATTACTAATATTCCACTGGTTACAATAGTGACTGTTACAATTGGTTTACCTTTTTTAGTTCAGCTTGTAAACAAAGACTTCTCAAAGCCAGTAATGATGATATTTGAACATGAGGACTAATATCAGTTACAGCAACATGTAACAAACTAAAAGGAAAATAAACAGTATTTGGTTTCGATTTATTATCCCATTCGTTTTTTCGTTTTACATACCATTGACCAATAAGTTTGGTGAGTAAAATGGACATAGAAGTAAGAGTTTGTCCTGATTTATGTACCAATATTTGGCTAACTTGCAACACAGGATTTTGTACAAATCATGGTGACAATAATAGAATCGTTTTTTTAGAATTCTAGATTATGTTATAAATCTAGATTTAAACAACGGTTTTTGGCAGTTAGTAATTCAAATATTGATAAAATGATGACCAAATTACTAATGAACTTACTGTTGTATCATTTTCAGCTTTTTAATATCATTACATAATGCTGGAGAATGCATTCCTAAATTACCACATGCACCTAAAAATAAAAATTGAAATATGAATTAGGCTTACATTGACTTTTAGAAATAAAACACAACACATTTTCATCAATAAAATATCTTGACACTCCTCAACATGCAATATAACAGGTAGAAGTTTTTCAGGTAAGTCATTTATCGAATTTAAAATCTCTTAAGGTTCTATCTCAACTTGTAAATTATCCAGCAGTTTACTCAATGTAAAACCTTTTCAACAGTTATAAGGCCCATTTAAAGTACCTACTTGCAGCATTAGTTTTAGTTTTAGAAACTGGGTCTTGTAATAATGTAACTAATAATGGTATAGCTGGTTTTAATCTGGTATATAAATCACCATTATGATAACTGGCATTACCTACAGCATAACTAGCACCCTGAAAAATTTCATTTATCATTAAACTTGGTAAATGATGCATCTCTAGAAATGTTCTCTTCAGGACAATTTTTTTTTAATCAATCAAAAATTCCAAGAGAAAATCCATTTTATGTATTGTTAAAATTATTCTGACAACAAATTATTATGTTTCAATGTAAAATACCATGGTCAATCTAGCTTCTGATTGGTCTACTTACTTTTCTAACATTTGAATCTTCATCCTGAAGACATTTTACTAAACTGGAAAACACCTTTTCTCTACAAATATAAAGACATCTAGTGTAAAAAAATATGCGATATAGAATACAGATATACTGTTAAATTCCTAATTTATTATGATGAATATTTTCAGCTAAAATAAAATACAGTACTGAAATTTGTTTATGTGAAGGCTTTGTCTACCACTCGTGGAATTATAAGATATATAGCACAGAAGAGCAATCAGAATCTCAAAAATAAATCTCACCTTTGTTTTAAGACAGAATACATTTTGGAATCGTGTTTCATTACGTTTCCTAATAAACTACAGGTCCGAGATTTTACTGCTGATGAATTGTGAGTCAGAAGAGTAACTAATGGTTCATAATCTCCTATAAATAGACAAAAAATCATAAACTGTATATTTGTGTGTATATTGCGCAAAATGGGCTTGTCAACTAGCTGTGGTAATTAAAGACAGTGACAATTATCAGAATATTTCACCAGTACCAGGAATAAGTCGAATTCAAGATTTAAATCCAAAAAACAACAGAGTAAGAGCAAGATCAGATTCCTTCTTAAAAGAAATTTGCAATCTATTACCATCATTACTACAAGTTAAAAAACAAACTCAAGTTTCAGCTTTGTGAACAAAAAATAACAATGGCAGAATGGCATTAATTATTCTCATGCTGTTAAAAAAAAATTCAATCTTACCCTTTTGACCCTGAAATACAGCCATAACTAATGGAAGGTGGGCTGGTGAGGTACGAACTAGATGACTACAGATTGATATAATATCACATATAACTGATAGAGAGTTGGTTGGTTGTATACAACGACACAGGAATGATACACACTGAAATAGTCAAGACAGCATCATAGGAATGATACACACTGAAATAAGTCAAGACAGCATCATAGGAATAGTGTGTGGAAAGTCATAAATTTCATGCATGAATCAAACGCTTACCATTTCAAATCAAAATTTCATCAAATCCACAAGAAATTCAAGGAAACTTAATCTATTACAACTAATATGACTGGTGTTATTTGCAATTTGACTAACATGTAAGGATTTCATATAGTAAATGATGTTTTTTGGTATAAAATGCAGGCAATAACACACTTTAACAAGGGATGTGTACCTTAGATATAATTTTTTTTAAATTGATCAAGATATACAAACAATCTTGCTTATTCATGGATCTATAAGGTGGAGAAAGGTAGTATGTAAAATTATATATCATTATACTTACATTGTAATCATGCACAGCTTGAGCAAACTGTTCTACAAATATCACATTACCTAAAACTAATCTAGCTATTAAACCAATAGGTGTCTCTAGTAGTTCTTTATTTAAATATTCACAACTAGCAAACAATAATCGTGGTAAGATATTACACGTATATAAACAACTGAAAAAAATATAAACATGTGCGTCATATGGTGAAAAGAAAGTTCTACAAGATTCCAATTACACAAACCAAGATTTTTATCTGTGACATTGAACCTACTGTGTACACTATTGTCTATTTGCTTGTTTTTGCCACTGAATTTTGAAGATAAATACCATATAATTGCAAATATAGTGAGATCTCACTAAATCCTCAAGTAAATCAGGAAAAAATTGTGGTCATGGTCCAGATGAAAAATTGGTTTTTATCTTTATTTTGTTGTAATGACAAACTGTGTATAACAATGGTGACTTACTGCTGTATTTCAGCTAATAGTTCTTCATTAGTATCAACAGCAAATGGAAAACAACATAACTGAGTTACTTCTAGGATCATTTCAACTATAACTTCTTTACCATCTTCATTTAGACTGGAAATACAAGATACATAGACTTAATTATCAAGACATCAGATCAAGCTTTCATCATTATTACCGTCAATACTGTAGTGAATGTGTGTGATAATCTGGGAAGAACCATTACCAAGTACCAACTACAATTTGGAAATAGAAAACTAGACAAGTCAAAAATTAAGCACATAGACAAAACTCCCTATATGAAATCTTGGAAATCCAGTTCATGATGCCACCTACGACTGCATTTGTTTACTCAGTTTTACCCTTTTTGATGCCAAAAAAAATTTTTATTTGGTATATTCATTTTATCTGAGAGCAAGATCATGTATTAATAAAAGTGCATAGAAAACATCAAAGAAATCACATGTAAGGGCAAGAACTCCACAAATTGTACTTACCACTTGGACATGACTTGTAAGAATTCTCTATGTAGAAGATGTACTAGTGTTAACATGACAACACTATCGGCAGCAGCTAGATTTGGTATACATTGATACGTTTCTTTAGTAAACACAGTGACGGCCATTTGCAACACTGCCATGACACCTTGTGGTGATACTAGATTCCAATCAGGTGGACTAAAACCATCTATAGTTATCTTTCCTTCCCCTTCTATATCATGTATGGGTAGATTGGTGTCAGGATTACTAACTTTAATAGCCTGGGCTACACGATGCCACAGTGTCCCCCATATACCACTTTCTATATATAGTTGAGCTACTGGTACATCAGCCTTAAAATATACAGTGAGGTAAGGAGAGGTGCGCATTATATTCGCAATTATACATTTATATATTTTCAAGAATGGCGAACAACAGTTCAAATAGTTTTTTTTACCAATAAAAACCAGATCATGTTATTAGTTGGTTATCTTTAATAGGCCCAGTTTATCTCAAATTTCTCTTTTCCAAAGACAGACATGTCCTGTACTTATTTGAGGAAACACAATCAATCCTTATGGATGTCCAGATTAAGCATAAGGAAACATGCAAATATTCCTTATCTCCATTAATCAATCAATCTGATTAAAATAAGATCTGTATGTTTTTTTTTTTTTTTTAGTTACCACACTTGCCTTGTGTTGATATGACTATCTCTCGATTCCTCAAAAATAGCAATGAAATCTTTTATCCAACAGAGCATGTATTTCATTGAGGCAGCAGAAATCCCCCCGAAACATTCCGATTTTAATGAGATTGATTGTAAATTAGCAAAACTTCATAAACTATAACATACCTGAGATAAAAGTTCACACAATAATAATAATAAACCATCTAATACACCATAATCAAACGGACATCTTACACAGATCTATAATGACAATAATATGAGTGAGCTACAAAATATCACTTGACTATAATGCTAAAAGTGGAACTGAAGAATGTTGGATAAAGTGGAAACAGTAATATTAACTATTGTCATGAGCTACTAAAATTTGCTCACCAAGCTGATATGCTAAGAGAAAAGTGATATTAGATCAAGTGAATAAAATATACTGTACTAAGGATCAATAAATTGTTTAAATGTCTTAAAGATTACAATATCAAGAAGTATATGCCATCCAATGCAATTGTGGAAAGCTATCAAAACAAATATTCTCAGAGAGCTGTAATGACCCATCAAAAATGATCCTTTTCAAACTACTGGTGCCCTACATTAAATACATCAAATAAGGGGTCTAAGATTAGATGACTATTAATTCACCTCAGCTATGTCTGTAAAGACTGATAAACAAGCTTGTAACATATCTTCTGGTTGAACCTCAACAGATACGCCACAATATACCATCTGACTAAACAACAACGCTCCAGCAGCCTGAAATATATAACACATTATAATCATTGTAGTCTGAAATTATGTCAAGTAGAGTTACCTCCCATTATAGGTGAGCCTATCTTTATTTCTTAAGGCATTATTTCAATACAATACAATCATTGTAGTCTGAAATTATGATGAGTAGAGTTACCCCCCATTATAGGTGAGTCTATCTTTATTTCTTAAGACATTATTTTAATACAATACAATCATTGTAGTCTGAAATTATGATGAGTAGAGTTACCTCCTATTATAGGTGAGCCTATCTTTATTTCATGACACATTATTGAAATACATTATTACAATCATTGTAGTCTGAAATTATGATGTGTAGAGTTATGACCCATAAAAAGTGGGGCCTATTTCATTTTAAACAAATTTAAGGCTGGTTAAGACGAGGTTAGACCCAGAAAATTTACCAACTATCTTAAAATTCAAAATTTAGACAATGTGTACAAATTGCAATGGTTGTGTCTATCGTCTATCTTCAGACCATAAAATTATACAAATGTCAGTACTTACAGTGTGACTAGCTATTGTGGAATCTAAGAAAAAGGTCACCATCATCCCAGCAGCTTCTGATATTCTAAAAATAGGATAAAATTTCATAGTGTACAGTTTTTCTGTGGTGACTCCAGCTGCTATCTATGATCTGACAGATCTTTGGGATATTAACTGTTACATTAACATGTAAAGAAGATTTTTTCCTGATTCAGCAAAGAAATTAAATAAAGATACAATAAACTTTTTCATAAAGACTAAGGTAGGTAAATGGAACTTACATTGGTGGAAGAGACTGTATTTGTATTATAATAGTACTTAATATATGTAAAACTGTTTCTATGACTGTATTTACCTCCATATCAGCAACTTCTACCTAAAATACCAATATCAAAAAACGATTATTTTATTAAAAGATATTTTGAAAAATTCAATGTAAAAAAATATCTGACACAGCATTTAAATGCTTATCTTTCATATTAAAAATTCATATTTTTCATTAAAAACATACGTTTTCAAGTAAAAATTCATATTTTCCTAAAGGCAGGCAACAATTTCAACCACTACACATAGAGCTATATCATAGTATATTGGCACAAAGAAAATAGTTGGGGTGTATTTAATAGAGAAAAAAGAAAATGTACAGAAATCACCTACTTGACCCATCAATATTCCTAGTAATGATTCCATATGTTGTGGTGTATTAGAAATGAACAAACATAGATTCTTAGATACTTGACAACAAGCATAGATAATCTGAAATAAAAAATACAAACATACATTCATACAAGATGGAGCGGATGAAACAAACATATAAATATAGATCGGTATTTGATGATTTCCAACTTTCACTGGAATGGCATCAAATTTGAGAATCAATAATGTAGCCAGCAGATCACTTTTACATACTATAAGAAAGTATTTGTCAAAGAAACCTTAAGAAGATTTTCTAATAAAAAAGACCATTAAAGATCACAAAAATCATAATAAGCATTAATTACCTTTAAAATATTATTACAATTTGGTGGATGTCGTAATAAAATTATAAAATTATTGGCTGTGTCTGCTATTTCTTCTGTGGCCAGTTTATCTCCCAGGAATAATGCTACCTACAAAATATATCAAAGATAAAAACATAATAATATGATTTTGTTTCTGATCTTTATAGCTTGATGAAGACAGGCAATATTCTAGAGTGTGGTATTACAGAGAGTTGTCTGAATGGCTGACATACCAAAACTTGTTCAAGGTATCACTGTAAAAGGGACTTTAAAGATATAATCTTAGTTATTTGAATATTCCTACCCAAAGCTTTTTTAAGAATTGGAATCTGGTGTCTAGATTGGCTACCCTTAAATAGTCATCAATGCTATAACCAGACCTTCACTTAAAAGTCACAAACTTGCAGCCAACCATTACAGAAAATATTAACATACCTTTCTCTTGCCTTCTAATCCATGATCACCATTCATTGGTAAAGCTACCATAGCAGTTAAACAACCTATAGCCATCTCTATCATATGGTTAAACCTATCATTAGCTTTATTCATATCACCTTCTACCAGTTCTACAATAGAGCAGTCATAATATTATCACTCATTATTACCGTGTCTCTATAATACAGATTGCATATTATTTACGCTGAAAGAGATTTTTCAAGATTTATTCAGGAGGGGTGCGCATTATATCCACAATTATATGGTATATAGTACATAGAAAAATCAATGTTTGTACCAAGCTAGTAGATTATTAGAAGACATAGCATTGTTAGGAATAATTTTGAATTACCTGAGAGTCTTTTCACCACCAGAGGATCTGACTGAGTACACTGTAATAATGTTTCTAGAGCTATAGTATTTCTACTAGCTAGACTGGTATAATAACTATTAACTATATCTAACTTATCTCTCTCCATCACTTCACTAATATACATAATACACTGAAATACAGACCATTATGATAAACCACTAATATACATAATACACTGAAATACAGACCATTATGATAAACCACTAATATACATAATACACTGAAATACAGACCATTATGATAAACCTCTAATATACATAATACACTGAAATACAGCCCATTATGATAAACCACTAATATACATAATACACTGAAATACAGACCATTATGATAAACCACTAATATACATAATACACTGAAATACAGACCATTATGATAAACCACTAATATACATAATACACTGAAATACAGACCATTATGATAAACCACTAATATACATAATACACTGAAATACAGACCATTATGATAAACCACTAATATACATAATACACTGAAATACAGATCATTATGATAAACCACTAATGTACATAATACACTGAAATACAGACCATTATGATAAACCACTAATATACATAATACACTGAAATACAGATCATTATGATAAACCACTAATATACATAATACACTATAATACAGACCATTATGATAAACCTCTAATATACATAATACACTGAAATACAGACCATTATGATAAACCACTAATATACATAATACACTGAAATACAGACCATCGTGATAAACCACTAATATACATAATACACTGAAATACAGACCATTATGATAAACCTCTAATATACATAATACACTGAAATACAGACCATCGTGATAAACCTCTATTATTGTCAAATTCGTTTTGTGGCATTTGCTAATTTGTTTCGTTTTTCCAAATCTGTGTTATTAACCTGGAAACAGTATAGCCTACTGTTGTGTGATAAATCTGACTTACCAGATATGTCTGTTCTCTCAATCTAATATCTTCATCAACCGGTTGAAACATTAATTTAGGTACCAGATTCATAAACTGCTTCATAGAGTCCACATATTCTTCTATACTGTAATTACAAAACAACACAATAAACAACGATGCATGGGTGAGTCAAAGAGTAAAGTGCATGCTCCTGAAATTGGAGATTAAAGGGATTATATTATGTTTTCTAAACTGTATTGTGGACACTGATAGCATATTGTGATACTGATGTCATAAACTGTAATTTTTTTTGGAATAGCAAGAACCACAGATGTCTGACTGAAAATTGGAACAGTATGTACCCGATACACAACTAGAAAATTATAACAGATATAATTTTAGCACAAGAACTTTTTCTTACAGTTTCCAAATATGTTATGATGTAGGTTGCAGGAAACAAAGGATGTATGATCTTTACTTGAAGGTGAAACATAAATATTTTAAAATATAAGAATAGATGAATTGTTGTTGATTTCCTAATAAAATTCTGTTAACCCACACTGATGATTTCCCTCATGAGGATGGTGTAATTGTTACTATACTTACACTGGTTTCTCTAGCTGATCACTCCACCCTATCTCACCAGCAAAATAAGCATTAATAGCTATAACTATATCTATCATTATCTGTTGACACCATGGTTGCTGAAAATAAAACAAATACCTCAGCTGAAGATTTAAGATATTCGTTTCCTGAAGTAATGTGGCTTCTCCTTATATACACATTACTCTCTTAAATTTTGAAATCAGAATAAGATGCTTCTAACTCTATTTGCATCATTAACAAAAAAGAAACCAGGTTGAAATTTCCCAATATACTGTTTTGACCTTTATTGCAAGACATCTGAATTAGGCTCATTTTTGATTTCCAGTCATAGATAGATGTAAGCACAAACTGCATCTCTGACAGGGGGAAGCTGGGTTGAAAAGGCATTACCTATGCTGGGATTGGACTCTGGACCTTAATAAGGTTAATAAGTAAGCATATAACTCAATGAACCACTGAGGCCCAACATAACTAACTATAAATAAAGAGAATATAATAGTAGGTAATGCTAACCTGTTTAACTTTAGGTCTATCTAGTATATCTACCAATGTTTTTATCAATTGACTTGGTATAGTCATACATTTAGTAAAATTTACAATCTTACCAACTTCACTGAAATAACAAACAGTGATATTTTAACTGCACTTTTAATTAAACAAGACAATGGAGCTCTTTTAGAAAAAAATAGAAAAACTAGAAAGATTGAAAGCACTAATAATATATACTTTCCTAGATTGGTATCTTGCTATCATGACATTTGAAAGTAAAACAATTCCCTTTTATGATGTATATACATTGAGTTTGTTCTTGACACTACAAGTTGTTTTCAGAAACATAAAAGAGGTTTAATTTTGAAAGGCAAGGACCATAAATAATGTTTGTACTTTGATGAAAATAGATACCCTTACCATTTAATAGTAACCAAGTTGGTGATAATACGTAACAATGATCGTAGTCTAGCAGCTCCCTCTAGCATACCATCTAATACTTGTATCTTACTGGTCTTATACCGTGTTAATAACTTATTAATAAACTGTTTATCATCTAATAAACCTAGAGCTGTATCAGGGTCACCATCTTGATCTGTTGTATCTATTAAACCTTGCCATTCATCATCACTATCTACTTCCTAAATAATAACAGATACAAATATAAATATATGTTATAAACCTAAATCTGTGTCTACTAAACCTAGAGTCGTATATCTACTAAACTCAGGACTGTATCTAATAAACTTAGAGCTGTATCTAATAAACTTAGAGCTGTATCTAATAAACTTAGAGCTGTATCTAATAAACTTAGAATTTTCTAACCTTCATCACTAAAAACAATGTTGTAGGTTGGAAAGTAACCTGTAGTAAGGATATTCACAAATAAGATTAAAATAAATTACCTCTCCTTCTACATGTTCTCCTTCTAGTTTCACCTGATCTATGTTATTTTGACCAGCAGGCTCTGTACCAGGAGCAGGTGTTTTTTTAATAGTTCTCCTGCCCTCTATTTCTATACTAGGATATTCCTGGTGATAATCTTTACTAATTCTATCGGGTCTGGGCGTAGGTTCCACTTTCTATAAATTTAAATATGGAAATTAAGTCATTGTTTCATTTTGTATTAAAGATATCCAGATATTAGATATTAATAGTAGGTAGTAATGAGGTTATGACATCATAAGATGCTTATTTTAGTGGGATTGCATGAACCATGGACACTGAACTAAAAATTGGAATGGTGCAAATCAATGCTATCAGTGTCTCTGATACACATAAAAGATTTAGAAAACCTCATTACAATCCCTTCAATCTATATCACACCAAATACAGTGGTTATATGTTCTGAATTGTCCACAGAATTCAAAATATAATCTCTGATCAGCCATAATTAATAATACTGACCTTAGTATCATCTGCCCATTGTTCTGAATGTGGTCTATCAGGATGAATTGGCATTGGTTCAGGAGGATGAGATTTTGTTTCGTTACCCCAAGCTTCAGGTCTAGCACTGATTTCTTTCTTCTAAAATACAATATCAGATAATACTTTAAAAAATTTTAAGCCAAGGCAAAGAGAGCTGAAAATGTTTCAACAATTTAGAAGGATTGTAAAGAGGTTTTCTAAACTTTTCATGCGTTTGGGGACACTGATAGCATAAAATCAGACCATTACAATTTTCAGTCAGTGGTACATTAAATTTCAAGAAAACTAAGCAAATTATGATGTCGCAAAGACTGCTTATGCTGCTAAATAAGGGCCTTAACCAATAATGTTATCATAAAACAGTTTATATCATGTACAAATAATGGGGTAAGTTATTATAGAAAACCTCTTTACAATCCCTTTAACACATTTTTTTTGGTATATTAAGGAAAAAAAGACCTTTTTCTCATCTTCAGCAGCTTTTTTCCTGGCTTTAGCCAATATTTTAGATGCACCAGGAGCATGGGTCTTTTCTTTAGTTTGTTGTTCTTTCTTTATAACCATTGAAGCTGTAAGTGGCTGAGTGAATGGACTGGATAGTGATATATCTTCTTGACAAACTGAAAGTATAAAATTGACTTAGCTAACATTTATTTGGTATATCTATACTAAGTATTTAATTATCTATCTAATGAAATGAAATCAAGCGTAGCTGACATCTGGGTGTAAAAGCCACAAAAAGTCTTCCCTCCTCCATCCCTTCTTTGTATTTGCATGCTAATTTTGATCAATGTTTGGTCCAAATTTGATCTGAAGAGTTTAGGAAATGCAATCAAATCAGAAACAGTGGGGTAATTTTAAAACACAACACAAAATCTCAGAGCAGAAAATGTAAATTTGTTCAGCATCCTAGTAAAGTGTTGGCAGGTGGTCTGACATTTTGATAGAAGAAAGCTCTACCACTTAGAACTGAGACAATAATGACTGATACCATACCTTTGATACCATGAGTTACAAAAGGATGGTGAAGAAGCTGGGGCCATGATAATCTTAATTTAGGGTTTTTATTTAACAATCCTTGGAGAAAATCTTTGAATACTGGACTCATATTTTTCGGCCATTTAACCGGATCTTTAATGATCATATTAACTAGTTGAAATATACTGTTAGTATAAAATGGTGGTGTACCAGTAAATAATTCATACATAATACAACCTAATGCCCTGAAATATATAATGAAATACAGTTTTTATCCTATTTTTGTACTTTGGAATTTCAAACACGGACAAAATTATGCCACCGTAAAAATTTGCAATGTCTAATTGATTCACTCACTGCCATAAGAACTATCAAACGTCTGTAACATGCACAGTTGGTGGCACAATGGTTGCACTTTCTATCCCATAGGAACAATTACTTTTTTGTATATATCAATATTAGTCCAGTACACACACTAGATTACAAACTAGATCAAATGTAACATGTCACATTTTTAAAGTGCATCTGTATCACTGATTAAGTTTTAAAGCTACAGTATCTGGTGTAATTTCTTACCATAAATCTGCTGTATGATCATAAGGTTTCTCTTCCACTAATTCTGGTGACATGTACAATGGGGTTCCCTGAAAAACAATTCATCAGTCAGTATTGTCATGGATAAGCATAATCTTAGATTAACACTTTCTGACTTGTGAATGTGTGCTTTAAAGGATGTAGTCTTCAAATCAAGAGATTTGGCCATGGACCATTGGTAGAGATTACTCTTCAGAAACTCCTTGTTAAATCGTTGTTTCTTTTTATAAGTAGCTAATGCAAGTAATTGGGTGGCTATATCCTTCAAACTCACCTTAATAGAAGTAAGGACTAATGTATTAAAACTCATAGCTCGAGCAAAACCAAAATCACATAATTTAACAACTCCTCCTTTCCCTAGCAGAATATTCTGTGGTTTCATATCTCTATGTAATATACGATGTGAATGGAGATAGAATAAAGCTGAAACTAGTTGACAAGCTATGGTCTGCACCTTGAAATAGAAAAAAATTCCTTATTTTAACAGTATTGGTCAAACAGTTACTAAATTTCACTATTTACATAGCCTTAGATACGTTTACAGATATACTTTTTATCTATTAGTCTATCTTTATCTATTTTCAAAAAATTCAATAACTTGTTATAAATAAATTCAATCATTATATATGCAAGCTATCTTATTTTAAATTTGATAATAAACATTAACAAATTTGTAAGATGAATTGAAATGTTATATGTTTGATTTGGGGTAATAAGGATAATGAGTCAACATGTTGTATGATAAGAGTCGTATATTTTACCTGTTCTTCAGGAAGATTTCCATCATCTTCTAAAATTTGAAATAATTCACCTTCAGCATAATCTGTTACGACAACTACCTGTAATAGTTTATATAATGATAAATATAGCTGTCTGAGGAGAGAGTTCACGGTTTTGACATTAAAATAATGATCATTTAAAAAGACTGTTTAGAGTGGAATTGCAGGAACCACAGACGTCTGATTGAAAATTGTTGTGCAAAAGCAAGAAATTTAAGTCTTCTAAGAAATTAAATGATGAAAGCTTACTTCCTTAGCTGTTTCAAAACTATCTAACATTTCAATAATATTTTCATGATGTAAACCTCTCATTATCTCTATTTCTCTTCTTAAACTTCTCAATTCTTTCTCTGATTTACCAACCTTCGGTATAAACTTTAAAGCCACTATCTGAAAATATATTCACCGTATTCATTTAATAATATTTATCACAATTTAATCATCAATTCTCAGCAGATTCGCTTAAGCTGAATCTGTCTCAGTAATGAATAGTAGAAAATCTTTATGTATTCTGACACAAGCCTGTTTAATTCTGGCAATTTACAACAATTTGTTAATTTGACAGGAAAACATTGTCTTAAATTAACTTTTAATGGATTTTGATGGTATTGTATGGTATAAACATGATATATACAACCAAATCAATAAACTTGTACATCAAGGGCTCACAGCCTACCTGTGATGTAAACTTCTTTCTCCCACTGTAAACTTTTCCAAATGATCCTTCACCAATTATTTCTAAAACATGATAGTTATCCATGGTTGTTATCCACTACCACTATCCTAGATAAAAATTATTTTGTTAAGATTTAAGATTTCAATTTTCTTATACATAATGTCTCAATTGAAATCATTTTTTTTAATTTAACAAAAAATAATGTGGGGGTACTGTACAATTGGAGGTGCAAACACCACCAGACACCTGTCACTGTCTATCTCCAATTCCACTGTCTGCTGAGAGTTATCTGCAAAAATTGCAAAGAGTTCGAAAACAGACAAGTTATAATATATGAGCTTTAGAAAGATGTTTTCAGTGGTTACTAAATCTATATGAAGATGAATAGTATCCTCACTAAAGGTCTTTGTGCTGTGCCTGTGTTGAGACTGAGAATGATAATATTCATATTGCCATTACTATTATATTAGGCATTAGCATCATTGGGACGGGGGCCATGGCGGGCGATGAGCATTCTTTACAAATGGCTAACATCGCAGTACAAGCATTACACAATCTTACCAATTATGAAAATCTTTATTGATTGAATTTCAAAGCGAAATAACGCAGTTATTAATTCATTTAGTTCATTGTTTACATTGACTTCAATTTCTCTTCGCCGCCATATTTGTTTTAACTGCGCATGAGCAGGAATTAGACCACTCGATAGTCTCGTTCCATCAGAAATATTTTGTGTCCTTGATAGATCAAGATAGTCCGAAATATTTACAACGGATTATAGTCAATTTGACACCTAAACAAAATAGCCCGCCAATAGGTCAAAATGGCCCCTTTAGCAAAGGTTCATGTAACCAGAAAAATTTGGCCCCATCCGTTCCCCAAACGTGATATACGGGGAGTCCGAGGAGTGTTAAAGCCAGCTGTTTGGTCTCATGAAGAATGTTTGATCTAAAAACCCAGGAAGAAGTTAAATAGAAACAAAAGACTTCTACACTTTATACTCTATTTTCAAAAATAAGATTCAATACAAACTTGGCAACAGTGCTTCAGACAATTGCAGTATTATTATTATTATTATTATCATTGCAAACAAAACAGGATAGACTATTCATCACAATGTACATCACAGACAATTTACAACTTTACAATAGTTTTCATAATACATGAGGCAATACTACTATTTCGTCTATGATTTGATACAAACTAGACTTAGTTTGTAGCCAAAATGTTTAAAGATGGGTTCCCTTATTTACATTTATGAAATTGAAAATGCTAATACTTATATGGATAGAAAGGAGAGGTGTTCTATTCACTTAGAAAAATACCATTTTATTTCACATGCCCATAATTAATTCAAAATAAGCTAAATTACCAGCAAAATATCAATGAGTGACCGATCAAGAAAGGTCAAAAAGTCTTTTTTTTTTATTTATCCAGTCTGTACATACGTGGTCATTATGATTGGTTAAAACTCTTTATTATAATTATGCAATAAGAACATAATGATATGATAATTCATTAGAAACAATATTAATGAAATAGTTTGCTTAGTTTGACACTAGAAAACAATGAAACCCATCTTTAAGGGGGTTTAATACTTCAGTTATACGATCTCTATAACAGGTTAGTGATATTTGTATTTATAAACAGTTTTAATAGTGTGTTTATCAGGGGAGGTGGACCTTGATCTGCCGTGTATTCTGTATAGTTCCTGGAATGATAACCCTTCTTCACCACCATCTTCTTTTTCAAGTCTTTGAACCATCAATGACGGTAGTGGAGATCTGGAATTACATTAGGTCAATAATGATAAAAATGTTATTTAGATTGACTTTTCCGTCGCTAGGACAGCTGGTTGGGACGAGTAATAGAATTCACATATTTACGCATCATCTAATTGAATTCGAAGGAAATTCATATTGGCCACATATGTCAAAATGTGCCATAGTCTATCCTGAAAAAGACACTTGTAGGGTACAACACTGGATCATTAAGAAGATGAACCTTTGTGACCTGCCCAAGATTAGTCTTGTGATTCGTTCAGAAAACCAGAATCAATACAACTTACTTGGGTACGGAGTTACCAGTTGTCTTCTTGTTATATGCATTCATGATTCTTTCACGACAAGATTTGGATCTTTCTGCTGGAGTCTGTCGTTCTGGACTTTGACTTGTACCTCTTTGTCTGTTTCCAGAGGCTGGAACTGATTTAATACGTGATTCTGGAGAAACTCTTCCTTTTACCCGAACCTATTGACAGAAACGTAACTCATTAATATCAATTAAAGGATGCAGGCACTGGTCATGACCGACAACATACTCCCGCCCTTTCATTCATCAATATGACACAAATTTGCCAATAGATGCTCCTTAGAGTATAAGCTTCTGTGTGGAACACCTATTACCCATTCTGTAAGTTCAACCTCCAGCAATACCAAGTGCAGGGCAGCTGAGTATTGTCCGTTTATATATTGACACATGATTGATCTATATACAGATTCACTTGACTTGACTTGATATTCGAACAATGAACATCTGATGAGCAACTTTCAAATTTTTTATCATTTTACATAGTGAAAGAATGGCCCGTGTCCCCCTGGAAAATTGTGCAGCCCCTGCACGACCCCCTCACATGTTTCCTAGAAACGCCATTGGCAACTACAGAACTAGAACACTCCTACCCAGAGAATTGCGACGATAAGTTTATATTATCAAGGTCCTTACCATATCCACCTCAATCATATCTAAATCCGGTGTATCAGGACTCTCGGGGTTTACCGGTTGAGCTGATGTTGCCCTCTTCTTCTTTAACATCGTAATCCGCTGTCTGCAATAATTATCAACCGTGGTCGACCTACCATTGGCCCTCTGCTGCAGCGCTTCCGGTACTTTGATACTGGTGAACTGTGCAGGTGACGAGCAAGGTGGCGTTTTGGTTGCTGGTAATGTATGGGTTGTTACTAGCTTTGCTCTGTGCTTTTGACTGATTTGTGGTGATGGTGAACGACATTGAATTTTTCCATCAGGTTGGAGATACTGAAATACAATAACCGCATATCAAAGCTGGAAAATTTCCCACTGTGTTTGTGTAGTCCATGCGCAGTGAGGGAAATCATGCCAGGGTTAAAGACAACCAATTGAAATACTTCCCAAATACCCTTGTCAAGTGAACGATAAAATGTCTTAAGGGTCAATCACAATCCGCAGAGAAAACAAAACATTGACCCCTAACCTAAAAGCAGCAACAATAGCTTTCGGTTGGTTCGTGAAAAAGTGAAAATACCTTGTACATGTATGCTAGCGGAGTATACTCGCTGGGTTTTGAGGCACCGTTGTTATTGACTTTTTTAACGAGCGTAGCTCTAGCTCGTTCTTTAGTAACATTCATCAACTGTCGGATCCTCTCATTATCATGCTTATCTTCACTCACAGATCTCATATCTGTTCTTATCTTCTCAGCCTGTTCTCGAACAGCTTTAGGCCAGGTTTTGGGTCTTCTTTCATTTCTCGTTGAGGCTGATCTGTACGCTAAAAATGGAACCAAATTAATATACACTTTCATCCTTTAGTGATAAATCCATCTTTTTCTGTATCATATCAGACTATGAAGACGTTTATGGCGTAAGCTTCTTTACAGATTAACAACTTTCGTGAAATCGTTAACACTGGCTTTGACCTATTTTTTTTCGCAGAAATTCAAAAGAGCTTCTATTATACCAGAAACACTCACCATTACCCGGTCGTCGGCTTTTTAAAATAATGGTTTCCCGTGCTGCCGAATTCAAAACGACGGCTTCAGCTCCGTTTGATATCCCTTTTGTCTTTTCGGGATATGTTGCTCTATAGCATAAAGGTGACGTTTTATTTGGCTTTGAACCATCTACCCTCAGTTTGGCGTTTTCTTTTACTGTTTCATCATCTTTGTTAATCGAGTAAGAATTCTAAAACATATCGATAACGGATCAATAATCCACTTATTAGTCATCCTTCAAAGCAATATTTTAGCAAATTCAATTTCAACATTTATAGTATATTGCAAAATTGTTGAAACATTGCTTATGATTTGAAAGGAAAGTTGAGATAAAGATAAAACTACCATTAAAGTACGGCTTCATCAATAAATTGTCTACTTACCGACCATTTTGGTTTGAGAGTCTGCCTTGGTATCGGCTTCTTACCAGTTAACCAAGGATCGCCCAAAATCTCATCAATAGCTGGTCGCATTGTAGGGTTGTACTGTAACAACTTCCGCACCAGCACCATGCAATCTACAAATTAAAACTTACAAATTTAGAAAGAAAAGGAAGGTGATAGAGTATACAGTCTTCAAAAACAAAGTAGGAACCATAGATCATGACCTTGTGGCTCATCTCCATCAAAGTAACTCGCATAGCTTCTCGTAGTCTAGTTACGTGTAAATGATTCCACCCACCAAAAGGAACGTGGCGTTCAAATCGTAACCTCTGCATTCTCATATCTTCATCCATTTCCGAGAGATGTCCATCATTGTACGGGAGGCGACCATTGACCATTGCACAGAGAATTATACCACTGAAAAAAATGGAACACTATGATCACAAATATTAGACAAAGAATAAAGATAAGAAGTCTAAACTAATGCCACTCTGCATCATAAATTGTCAAGGCAGCATCACTTAGCCTGCTAGAACAATAATTTGTGGTTAGGGAAAATGATACTTTACTTCAAAGGTTTTACCTGGAACCAAGAAGATAGATAGTCTTATAAGATATGAAAATCCCAGAGAGTCGGAAGTTATATAATATGGATGTGATATCGGGTGATTTCGTAATGGTTCTCACGTTTGAAGAACTGGTAGAGCCGGATTTGTTAATGAACTAATCAACTGAATATCAGTATACAGTTTTAAACAGTACTTACAGACTCCAAATATCAGCACGAGTTCCATCATAAGGTTGATTTTTGATCACTTCTGGTGCAGTATAAGCATAAGATCCACACGAAGTTCTCAACAAGACACTTTTATCGTAATATCGACAAGAAAATCCAAAATCTGAAATATGGAACAACAGATGTATGATCTGAAATGAATTAAAGTTTTTCTTTGTTTTGTATATCTTATTGGGGAATAAATATAGGAAACATCATGAAAATTAAATGTGCATTGAGAGAAATAAATTTCGCGAGGATCAATTGTTTTTAGATTTCCGTAAGTAAAAAGTTTTTGTATAGTTTAAGTGTGTGTTCTGCCAGTCTTACCTGTGATTTTTGCATCTATATTTCCATCTATCAAAATATTTTCACATTTCATATCTCTGAAAATAAATGTGGTATGTTATACAACCATGTTAAGGTTGACAAAATACCACAGTTAATTTATGGCAATATTGGGCTTCCGTAAAGTTCTCTCTTTACCTCTTCCAAACATGCAATACGGAAGCACAGTGCTGCCATAAATAAAACCAAACCAATCGATTAAGAACCATGAACTCCAACATCTATTTGACAAGATCAATATAGGTTCCATGGATCCCGTCTCTCCTCGGCAAAACCAATAATTGACAATGACCCATTAAGGGACGGGACGGGTCGATTGCAATACAGACAGAATAAACAACATTTGGCATCTAACTCACCTGTGAACGATTCCATTCTGATGTATATGACGTAGACCAAGTGCAATCTGTTTGAAAAACTTTTTACTGATATCCTCCCCCAAACCACGTTCAATCTTACTGATACTGTGGTTGATCATATCTAATAGATCTCCATTACTCATATACTCCATAACCAAATAGGTGAAATCACTGGTTGAAAATTGCTCAAAACACCGTACCTGAAACAAATTGATCCATAATTTGCAATGTTGATTTCTACAGAAAAGATATCGAATTGAGAAATATTCAGTCGCAGGCGTATTTCAAGAAAGATGAATAGACCTATTACTCCGCTTCGATATAAAAAAAACACTACCTGTTGTAGTAATTCTTGTAGTGAACCTCACAGCTAATAGACAATGACAGAGAGATCACGACAACCATACCATTGGCATCAGAGATTCACAGCGATCTATCCAATTGAACTACATCCCTACGACCTACATCAAACTTATCGATGCCTTAAGGACCTAATCTCACCAGTGAACATTAATCCTAAACAATACTTACTACATGAGGATGTGGGGGCAAAACAATGTGGTTATCAAGTTCTCGTGGTAAAAATTTCTTCAAAAACTCCTGAGGCACGATTTTCTTCTGTATGATCTTTACTGCTACCTGTAATAAGACAAAGGAAGGGAATAGCAGCTGCTCTTTTTCATCTTTCTAAAACGCCATTTCTCGGGAACTCGCATAATCGCCATGGGTTCTGTGATGTCATAAATTAAGGTATTTTATAGAATTAACAGGGGCTACAGGTTAAATGAACTTAATGGAGTCGAAAAGAAAATAGGTGGTAAATAGATCTCTTTAATTCAAATAATATACAATTCCTCTTCTATTGCCTCGATAATTCAAAATATCTGCAGCTACTGTTAGGCCTACTCGTACCAAACAAAAATTGTTTCATAAAATCTCTTACCTGTAGATTTCCAGTGTCTAGATGATCAGCCATTGAGGCATGTCTGGCTAATTTAGACACAGAAACTTCAGCAAGTTTCACTTTAGCATAGGCACCAGATCCTAAGCTCTTGACAACACGATAACCTTTGTTAATACAATCTGAACGTATTATTTCTGACGCCAGTTCTCTGTGATCAGGCTGTTTGTTTACAAACACTGAACGCTGTTTGACCTGTCCATTCTCTAGAACTGTCTTCAACCTCTCCGTCGGAATCACAATTTCCATTTTTTTATCATAAAAGAAAAACTGCACCAAAGACTTTCAAAGTGACTTTCCTAATAACGTCTTAGATAATAGTCATTGTGACGTCAAAATGGCGTCACGTCCATTGTTATATCACAGACAGATTGCGTATTTCTGCATTGAATAAACCTTCCGTACATTACTCTAGACCTTTCTTGCTTTCCTGAGCAATGGGATAAAGCACCTGTGAATAGTTGATCATAGACAATCTATTGTGACTGCCATCAATACGCTATCGGATTTGGGCTAAAGCTCTTTTAAGTGACCCCCACCCCCTCTGGCTCCGCCACTACCCACGAGTAGTAGCCTACGCTACGCATAGCATGAAATTGTCTTCCGATATTTAATTTGACTTTATTCATGATTCCCCTATACTTTTCAAAATGCAAAAAATTAGAAACCATTGAAATGTAAAACATATTATCAAGCTCATTGTGTCAAATATCGGTGGAGTAACTTATAGTGCTCTATGAAGCAGACATTCTCGGATTAATGTTAGTCCGACTTCATACAGTCCGATGTAACGAGACTATTTTCTGCATAATATTTCGGTTCGGAATATCATTAAAAGAAAAAACAATCCTATTTTTTAATGGCTGCGAGACATTATTTCGTGATTCCAATCGATTGAAGAAATTTATGGTAATGTCTGATATTTTAGACCCTCAATGAAACGGAAATTTATGCCACAATAATGATTTGATATACTACAATCGCGACATAGATATGTAGTCCTTGAATGGCTAGAGTGTGGCGTTTAAACCGTCTAACATTGCCTCGATAATTTGTAAACAATTTGACGGGGGGGTGGGGATGCTTCTTCTGCCAAATTTATAGTCAAGAATAAATAAAGTAGATTCTTGTCAAACAAGGTCATGTGGATCCTTCATTGAGTGCTCTTGAATTAAGTTGTTAGTTATGTGTGTCAAATTGTGCTCTTACTTATTTTGTCTGTGTATCTCAACAGGACTGACAATCTATGTCTGATATTATTCAAAAGTTATTGCTTAGTAAGGCTATAAGTTTTTGAAAACTTTCAATATCAAAGACATTCTCATTCATTCATAAAGATATTTTATTTTATTTACTCCTAAAGATCGATAATTTTGTTTTATTTACTTCATGATTTCTACAAAAAAAGTATAAAATATAATGTGAGTGACAGGTGGGATGGATTGAAGTTATGCATACACATCCAAAAACTTTTATAACCTTGTATTTGTATGGACAGTCTATTGAATTTGAGTTTTGACCATCTCCCGACCTTTTATAATAGGTTTGATCACCTACATTTCATCACTTCATGAACTTACTCTCTTTGATGTCAAGGTAGTGTCAGAATTCAAGGTGAATGAAGACAAATTCTGAAAATAACAGTAGACCTAAATTGCAGACAAATTACTTTGTATGAAGGCTTGAATAAATTCAAATTTTATTTAGATAAGATAAGCTTACACAAACTAAAAAAAGGTTAATATTTTTGATGGAAAAGCTTTTAGATTTGAGGCTCATAACAATAGTACAAGTATATGACCCCCAGGCCAACATGTTATAATGAAAATATCATGATTTGGTGAGAAGCCAATATTCTATACTACTATGTAACACATATTTCACCCTTTGTCCTATGTAGAGAGTATTAACCTTGCAACATAACTATTATTACTAACTGTGTTATGGTAGAGACTGGAAACCTAATTATCTTGATAAAGTACTAATTGAATAGAGGTTTCACTGCATATTCACTTGTTATTTCAGAGTGATAGCTGAGCAATGTGGATATATACTTGTATTGAAACCAGTATATGAACATCAATTCTAGTGAAAGTAAGATCTTAAAATGACTCAGGATACACTGATTGAAGACAGTGTGGATGGGGACTTGCCCTCACGACTCCATGCTAAGGAATTCTATGCTAAATATGAACCGAGGGAAATATTGGGAAAGTAAGTATTATTTAGAATATTGGTATTTACACCTCACTTATCTAGGATAATGATTTATTCTACATTAATGATTCTTATCAAACTGTACTGTTTATGTTAACATGAATGTAGTTAGTACTGTACAGGTATCAAAAATGATCGATTTGTTATAGAGCAAAGTTCATTGCTGCTGTGCAACTTTTCTGTTTAATGAATTTTGATCATATCATAAATGGTTTCATAAGTATTTGGACCAATCTGATTTCTTGTCAGACAAGTTTTTGTGAACTTTCATGAACTTAAGACCTTAATAGTGACACCTTTGCAAAACAAAAATCCTTTCCAAACCTTTTAATTCACTAATACAGTGTGGCTTGATCTTCAAGGATGTTGGATTTCTGTTTTTGAAGGGGTTCAGATATGAATTTTGGAATTATTCCATCGTGTCGTCAGTTCATAGGGCAGGTGGTCATCAATTGACTATCCCTGAGACCACTAATTAATAGTTGTTGATTAACGAGTGAAGTAGATTATTAGAGGACTGTATCTGCTTACTGTACTGTCACTGCAGTACCGGTATTGATTTTCACATGAAATATTGCAAGTGAGTACAATGCACTTCTAGACCTTCATTACTGCTTTGTCAGCATGTCTACAATACATTTGGTATATTGCTTTAATGCCTGAATGGAGTTTAAGCGGAATAATACACGCTACACAAATATGAGTCAATTACATATTACACAGTTTTCTGCACTATAATTGATCTAGTTCAGACTGAATGTTTTTCTAACCTGAAGGTCCAGAGTTGAATCCCAGAGTAATTCGAGATAGCACTTTTGGACTCCTTTTCCTGTCAGTAATGTAGATCAGATGGGCTGACATGGAAAAAGGATCTTGTTGTTCGAATGGGACAATGAACAGTGGCATGTGTGCCACAGGCTGTGATTGTAAAAGATCCCTCGATTGTTAGAAATCAAAAAGAGTATGCTAATGCTGCTGTCTCATTGCACACTAAATGACATTTCCTTAGCCCTTAAGGCACAGAAAAGTAGGCCTTAAGCTTATTTCATTTCGGACAGAATGTTTTCATGGATTGTGTTTTCTAGCTATTTTACAAAAATATTTTTTTAAATTTGGAGTATAAAGGGGCATAACTTTTGATGGAACATAGTCAATTATTCATGTTTTAAGGTTTTATAATTTTGTAAATTTTTGATAGGCTTCATCTTCTTCAGATGATGAATTTATTCTGAAGATTTTGTTAAAATTTGTCAAAAAGGTGATGAGCTAGTGTTAGATGGTGGTGCTGAACACATCATTTTATAGTTGGGCAAAGATATTCATGCATATCCAGGTCTTATCCAATACAAGAACAGTCAGCATGTATAATGAGTCTGCATAGTTTCTGTTTCTTTTTAGCCTACCTAAAAATTTAAAAAATTGGACCAGAATGTGCACAAATATCTGGTGGTAAAAACAGCGTTTGTTATTAAATCTGAGGTGATATCCTTTCCTACCTTGATGATGTGATAATATAATAAATAGGCTAATTTGAACCTATGTATGAGTGCCAATAAAAACTGTTAAGAGGGGGATTGTCGCTGTTTAGTAGGTATTTTAGTGTAGTTTAGTGGTTTGCCACTGAAAACAGTGTTTGTTGACTGATATTCTGTCTAAACTAATTTTAGCATTAATGAATACTGTATCATTAACCTTGTTTCATCACCAGTATTCTATTATAGTTCTATAACTCATCACTAATATGTACATGATTGATAGTTATTACTATTTATTATATCAAAACAATGTTGATATTTTCACGGACATTCCTGTAATCTTCTATTGTATTACCATGCAATGATAAAAGGGTTAGACTGTTTCAGAGTGAGCCAGGTAGTTACCTCATTGTTGAATTTTGCGTCTTTGAAACAGATTTCATCTTTTTTCTGACTCACCTTTGTTGTTGGCAAACAGTAACAAATGTTACCTCAGAAGATTTTGTTCCTAAATTTTTCTGAAATCTTCTGTGTTCCAAAAATTCTGCAGAAAGAGATTGTGTTTCTTTAATCGGAGAATACAAATGAACTATAGCCATAGATGGATTCCCTTATTTTCATTTATGAAAATGATAATACTTATATGAATAGAAAAAAGAGGTGTTCTAATGACTTGGAAAAATACCAGTTTGTTTCACATGTCCATAATTAATTCATAATTAGCTAATTTAGAAGAGAATTACCAGTAGAATTCCACTGAGTGACCGATCAAGAAGTCTTGAGATGAAGAGGTCAAAAAGTCTTATTTTGTTTATCCAGACTGTAAATACATGAACATTTATGATTGGTTATGATATGATTAAGAATACATGATAATTCATAAGAAACACCAATAAATCAAATAGTTTGCTTAGTATGACACTAAAAGATAAGGTAACCCATCTTTAACAATGATGACTAAGTGACTCTGAACAATTCACAAGGTATCCTACTGCCTGTGATGTTATATCAAAGTTCCCAATCTTTCAAAAAGTTTCCTGGTCAGCATTCTTTGGAAAATTTCCATATCAATCAATTCGGATCAGCAGACCAGTTTGGGCATTTTTCCACTTTTTTGTACCCTTCCTTGTTTTGGCATTCTTTCTTATATATGATATACGATGTTGAAGGTTATTTTAAGTTAATAATTTATTGTATGATAAGATTTATAATGGTTTCTGTATACTTATACTCCTAGTACAGTAACAGCGTGGAAAGTCAGTCACTGACCTTGACCTTACAGCTATAGATTGAGAGAGAGAGAGAGAGAGAGAGAGAGAGAGAACTCGGTCAGAGACTTCAAACATTGCCTAAGTAATCAATAGCTATATTTTACAGCTGCATTTTAAAGCCATACTTTTCCTTCCTATACACTTAACAGTCATAAGTACTAAAACCTTCAGTAATTTCCTTATAGAGTTCACTATGACTTGAAGGGCAAGGACTTGTATGATTTTTGAGTGCTATCTATAAATAGGGCATTGTGTCAGTATGTTAGTGCTCTATCACAGTGGTAAAGAATGTTCACAAGGGCTCATCTTACACCTGTTCAATAAATGCATACTTCGTGAGGGAAATAAGGTTTGAATGGTCTGATTTAGAGCATTCTAAAGCTTATAATTAATCCACACAATTTTTATACATTAAGGAGTTTGTGAACTTGTATTTTTGCAATTAACTTTCATAATATAATCTCTTTTAAAAAGGCAATCAAGCCCAATAAAAATATCTTAAGTGTTTTGAAATGTTTAAAAGTGTTCCTTTAATTAATCTGTCTCTATAACGAGTGATTATCTAATTAAAATTAATTCTATTTTTAGAAACATTAAGTAACCATGATTTCTCCATATTATTGATCACTGAATCTTTCATTCTGCAGTCTGTTCATTGCTGAGTAATAACATAGCAACTCATGTGTTTAACAGTGTGTTTACCAGTGTGTTTACCAGTTCAACTAAATTCAAAATTATTTCCTGGGTATTTGTAATGTGTAAGATAGCAGTTTGTAACATATTTAACCAATCAAAAGCCTTACATTCATTGATGTCATATAGTGACATTGCTAAGTGAGGATACACTAGCATTGTGGTAGACTGGGACCAGACAACCACTTCTAGTTTAAGGTCGGGTCAATCATGACTTAAGATCGAACTTGATGGATATTTTATTAACACTATGATTGAGAAGTATTATAAAGATTTAAATGGTAGATTCAATTTGCGAGAAGTATTAGGAAAGTAAGTTAATTTTTTTAGATCTAAGCTTGATTTTCTTTGTAAATTTTAACGTGTAAGAGTGTTATATAGTGGAAAACACATGCTTGTCTATTATCCAATGGAATTCCATCTTTCAGTTCACATCAGGTCATATACCATTGATAGTTCATTTCTCATAATACATTATAGTTTTCTGCCATTATCATTTTAGTCTATAAGCTTATAAATATTCATTTCAAATTTTGGTCAAAATGTAATTATTATGCACAATAAATATAATGAATTTCAAATTTTTTTTGAAATATGTGAAATGTGAAGTTGAAGTAGATCTACCTGACTTATTTGAGTTTTTTCAAATTTTGACTAGTGGACTGCCCCAATCTGAATGTCTAACATTGAATATGTCATTGTCACATCTGATATCTCATTGATGCACGATTATACAGTTTAATCCAAATCTTGTGAGACATTAATTACTGCATGAAGGTTTTTAATGTGGATTAGGACAGGACTGGATGTGAGTAATACAGAAACTTTCCTTAAACTCCATCCAGTTTGCTCCTGTCAGTACATAAAGTTATATAAGGTGAAAAAGAGGTTTTTATGTCGTATTTTTCATTCCCCTGATAGGGATATAGTAGACTGGCAATGCCATAGAGTTGTCAGAACATTTGTATTAGCCTACGCCATTCCTCTTTGTTGAGGAATCTTGAACATGCATGGCCTGTAACAAACAGGGCCTCAGTTTATTTTACCATATGAGTGGCTAATATACTTTAGAGGACACTGGGTTGAAAATTCTCTAAGAACTCCTAACTCAGCCTATTCTGAAAGTAGATTTTGCTGCACCAGCCCATGTAAAGGGTTTGAGTTGATATAAGGAACTGAGAGCTTTGTTCTGTAGCTGTTCTTTGTAAATTTAATAATGAAATAGTAAATAGGTTGCTGATATTTCCCCTATATTGTGGGATTGCTTATTGCTATTCTCTAAATTTTTGGGAATGCATTATATACTGATACAATAATGAAAGTAAAAGTACTAGGAAATCCAGGTTAATACTTGAAGAGATTTATTACATAACATGATTAGTTCATTTCAGGCAAATCCATTTTATTGGATTAATTTCCTTTATTACAAAACTAGAAATGACTAAAACCAGAGGTCAATATGACCTAAACCATGTCAATACCAATTCAATCCACCCACTCTAACTGTTTTCACACAATTTGTAGTTTGTTTGAAAAGGAAGTTTTTCTCCTTCAAAGGAAATTTTAAAAATTCTGAGTCATCAAAAAGATATATACAGAGCGTGATGTTATCGTGTTAATATTGGGGTGTGGCTTTATCAAGTTATATCACACTTCATTCCTTAAATATATGATATAATCATGTGTTATGATACTGTACTATGATATCATGTGTTATGATACTGTACTATGATATAATCATGTGTTATGATACTATACTATGATATAATCATGTGTTATGATACTACTATACTATGATATAATCATGTGTTATGATAATGTACTATGATTCAATCATGTGTCTATGATATAATCATGTGTTATGATACTATACTATGATAAAATCATGTGTTATGATAATGTACTATGATTTAATCATGTGTTATGATACTATACTATACTATGATATAATCATGTGTTATGATACTATACTATGATATAATCATGTGTTATGATAATGTACTATGGTTTAATCATGTGTTATGATACTATACTATGATATAATCATGTGTTATCATAATGTACTATGATTTAATCATGTGTCTATGATATAATCATGTGTTTTAGTTATGATACTACTTCATCCTATGTCATAGAATTTTGAACCCTCTACCTTAAGTTACATTTGCTTATGAATTGCAACAGTATTTGAATATGCACTTTAACTGAATAAGATCAGTATACTATGTTATCTAAAATAGAAACAAGGTTATGGTACAGTATGTTCAGTATAACTGTGCATGTTCTAGTGTATGATAAAGATATATTAGTACTAAGTTGACCTACAGTTGAATAAACTTGACTACAATCTAACTCACTGTTAAAGGGACAGTTTCAACATTTTTGTAGGTTGAATATATGTAAATAGTCTTCAAAAGTATTAGAAATGTACGAAAATGCATAATTCCTTGAAAAATATCTCAAACTGGGAATTTCACTTTCTATTTCTGTAGATGTCTTTTCTATAGATCGCAGTCTTAAGAAAAGACGAGTTGTCTTTTTAACGTTCAAACACGGATAATTCTGAACACACGTGGATTTGATTGCTCAAATTTCGATGGTATGCTGTGAACACTGTTTCCAATTAGCTTAGCTAAAAAAATCCTGTTTCTGAGACTAAGATACGATGGTGAATCTGTCCCTTTAAACCATGAATATATCACAGTCCAGATAATGTGACGTTAATTTTTGTGACTTGAATGAAATATGATATTTTTTTATTATTATTATCTATTGTTTTATCAGATATATTAATTATAACTATATATAATATTCATTATAACTGTGATATTGACCCATATTTGAAGATTTGAATATAATTTGATACATACATTGTATATCTGATAGATATCACCGTGATCAATCGATGTTTCTATGTTGTACAGTAATATCACCAAAATAGATTTACTGTCATCATTCTTTGAAATAATTCAAATCTTAGTCAGCATCTAAAACAACTAGATAATCCACTTATAAATAATGTTTGGAATTAAAAATTCTCGTCAGACCAGCTAGTCTTTGAAATGGACATTTACTTTGAAATATATGACTTAAGGCTTATGAGAATAGAAAGAAAACTTGCTGGGGCAAATGTCTTTAGCTTCAATAGCTCCATAAAATTGGTGCTTGCTTATTTAATGTTATTGATATCATTCATGAGGTTTTTTTTCAGTAATTTTCATTAGAAAAAATAATGGGTGTTTTGGCTCTGTTTCAGAAAATTTTTGTCAGTGTTAGGGTGATATGAGAACGAATTTCCCATAAAAAGCACTGGCCTAGGTCATGAAGTTAGAACTATATATTTTTAAGTGCTGTTAATTTTAGTTCAGTTAGTATTTTCAATGTCTTGTAAAACCACAATTGACATAGTTATCAAGTTTCCTACTGTTCTGTATAATATATATATATAGCCTGTGTTGAATTATTAATGAGTCAAAAGACAGTAGTGAAGAGTAATTGTATTATAATGGAATCAGTTAGATCTATTGATTCTATTGGTAAATGTTTCTATTGATAGATTTCTCTCTAGTTTTCACTGACCCAGACTCCTACACCAAGCTTACACTAACCTCAGGTTTGACATGACTTTTTGACAGAAGAGGCTATCGTCCAGTGGAGATATTGGTGCACAAACAGATCTGATGAAAAATATAAACTTGAGTAGTCTCTGTCGCACAGTTTGATTTAAATTTAGTTTACCCAAAATTAAAGTTGTCTTAATGCTTTGATTCAAATACAATATTAGTACTCATCCTGGTATTTCTCATTCAACTTTTCACAGGGTTTGCCAATTTATTTAAATTTGTCATGGTATTTGACACACAGGCAATATATGGAAAATATAGGCAAAGGCCAGTAAGAAATGAGATTATCATTGAACTTTCACTGTAAGATACGAATATTATAGTAATATCCAACAAACCATACAACTATCATATATTTTGCCTCTATGATTAAACAAGGATGTCTCCTGCTACAGATATTTCTTGAAAAACCAACAGATGTCAAATTTATACACAAACACCCAGAGTCATGTTCAGTTGTTTAAAAGATTAGTCCACATCTTAGATATTTTAATTAAGATTCACTTTAAATACATTTCTTGATTATTTTTAGATTTGATAAGCATGACATGTATTTATTTTTGGGTGAGTTTTCTGTCAATAATTCAAATAGATGATAGATTACATGTCATCAGTCAATTCACCAAAATAGTTCTTGATCTTTTTTTAGTTTATAAACATCAGAGTACAAACTTAATAAACTTAAATCATTAAAAAATCAAATTTGATTGAGAGAGGTTGAGAACAGAACTCAATCAGATGTGTTTAGATGTCACACTTGACTAGATTTCAGTTTACATTACTCACTGACCTCCACTAGTAGGTTTATTTGTGATTGAGGTAATATGGGGTGAAAGGACCTGTCCTATATATCTAACCCTCACTACAGTCATCTGGTTCTAGTTTATTGTCTTGCAACTACTCTTGATTTTTGACCCTGTTCTTTGTTTACTATAAACAAGACTTTTGTTCTTGGTCAATGAGTTTACAGAGGTACTGTTCATTCATTCATTCATTCACCAATACAGGTCAGTATGGACTTTGGACTCGTAAGGGAAACATGTTAATGCAATATATACCTATGTAGTGAAATATTGAAGGGCTGCTATAAAATGGTTATCCTAGAGTTAAATGGAGATTCATTCGATGTTTCTGGGTAAGATCTGGAGATTGAGACTTGAGGTTATAGAAATATTTGTAGTTGAGATTAATCAGATTAAAAAGGTTACAATTGGTAGATATCTATGAGAATTGAGATGCATATAAGATAAGTTATAGCTTAGAATGTCAAAGCAATTAAAAAACCATGTTGTATTTCACTTATAGATGACAGGGCTGTAAACCTATGTGTTAATTTGCTGTATTTTGCATAGATAGATCCAATATGAAGTATTTTGCTATTTCGATATTTTGATTTGATAGTTTTGATGGTTCATAGACATAGCAATAGATAGCCTGATTTCTAAATACCTTCAATATTTCATAGATAGCTTTGATTTTAGATAACTTTAGTATTGGTTAGCTTCAATGGTATTGAACTTAAATATTTGATAGTTTTAATATCCTGTAGCTTCAATTACAGCATCCAGCATCCAGTTATATTCGTTACCTTTGATATTACATTATATTTGTATATATTTATATTTGTAGAGGTGTAAGTAGTACAGTACGTAAATGTTTTGAGAAGAAAACAGGAACAGAATATGCTGTAAAGATTATTGATATTAGTGGTGAGAAGGGAGAAACCTATCAAGTAGCCCAAGTTAAAAAAGATACATACAGAGAGATTAATATACTACGTATGTGTGCTGGCCATGATAATATCAGTAAGTTATAGTGGTATTATTTAGGGTTGGGGACTATATCTCATGCTGAGGACAATTTTTGATTAATTTAGTAGGGACCCAGGCTGTAGGTCAATGTTCTCTGTATCCCAAGAAGTCTTGAAGGATGGTTCCATAACAACAACATATATGTTAGAAATGAATTATATTCCTGTTTCTAGTCATTTTATCATTGATTTATAGAGTCTGTTGGAATAGGGTCCTGTTGCTGTGAAATTCGAAACTATTTAAAAAATGCCAGACATATTAATGCCAAGACTTGAATTCTTACTCAAATATAAGATCCTGTTTTATAGCTGGTGTATAAACTTATGTAATTCAATGGGAAATTGAGCCATGTGCTGTGAAATTCCAAAACATTTTTAAAAAAATGCCAGACATATTAATGCCAAGACTTGAATTCTTACTAATTATCAAGAAAGAAATCATGTTTTATTGAACATCAAAATAGCAACATAATTTAGATCAGAGCCGACATCAAATTACTTTGAGAAGCTCCAGTCTTACAGATCCATTCTTGAAATGTTTGTATTTTTTATTTTTTAGTTGAACTTCATGACTGGTTTGAAACACCAACTTTTATCTTCTTAGTGTTTGAATTGTAAGTATCATCTTCCTAAAGTTTTATAATCATCAGAATAAATTATCAGAAATTCTTTTATCCCTGAGAAAATCCAGTCTCCTCAGTTTTTCTCCAATGCCATTTCCTGTACTGCCAATCAGTTCTAGAACAAAGCCACCGACTGCTGTATAACTTACAATATTATAATGAGAGATTATGATGACATTCAGTCAACTGTGAAATATTTGATATTAATGATATCATTTTATACCATCTGTAATAAACAGTCTATATAGGATTACACAACTAGAAAATTATTTCATGCTATATGAATTTAAAGGGATTTATAATTTAGAGGTTTTATAAACTTTGTGTGTATATCTGGGCCAATTAAAACATCACTTTGCAATCGCATGTCTTTGTTTCCTGCAATTTCACTTAAACTAAGTAGAAAACTTCTTTTCAATACTTTAACAATTTTATATATTAAAGGGATTCTTTAGAGATTTTATAAACTTTGTATGTCTTATCAGGGACACTCATAGCTCTTTGCATCATTCCTATGTCAAGTCAGTTGTCTGGTTCCTGAAATTCTAGAAAAATAAGACCAGATTAAGCCATCACTATTGCAAATAATATTAAAACCAATTTGTTTGTCTTATATTGTCAAGTTTTTCTGGATTTACAGGAATAACAGGTGTCAGACAGGAAATCAGAATAATGTAAATAGAAGTTGTATAATATACATGTTATGTCCCTGATACAGAGACAGTCTTATAACAACTCTTTGTGATCTCTTTAAAGTATAATAATAACTACTCTCAACTCAAGTGTGAAATTATTTAAGCTATGTGAAAAGGCTGTTTATATCTTCTGATGTTTTTATAAGTCAGATTATAATAAAATTATTTGTATAGTATAATATTCCTTTATAAGTACATGTATATATTGATAAACGTCAACAAAGTTCTATTATGTCACCTCAGCTTGAATATTTCCTGTAAGCTTTTGTCAATTGAAAATTTTTCAAAGACAATGAAAGCTGAAAGAGTCATTTCCCAGCAAAATTTGCAAGATAAGCTTAGAAATTCAAGAAATTTTCCAAAATTCTCTTCAGTTTCAGATATAAGATCCTATTAAGGACAACTGGCCTGGTATTTTCGAAACGATCTTAGCGCTAGGATATCCTAGATTCTTATCTTCTATCATTGATTCTAGGATATCCAAGCGCTAAGATCGTTTTGAGAATACCAGGCCAGGTTTTTGAATGATTTCTTGAATATAGTATGCTCTTTGACCATAATTTCACGTAAAGCCTCCATCATTCAAACTGTCTATAGACTTGATCTTTATAAAATGAACTAATTCAGGTTGATAACATAGAGTAATTAAACTCAGGTTTATCAATTTTATTGAACATAGATGTCAAACTGACCAAGACTTAAATTTACTATAAATTTTCTTATTTAAATCGATAACAAGCTTCATTTTTAACTCTCAATTCTTATGCACTCTGAAATTGTGATCTTTGGTCATGAGGAACTTTGAATCATTGGCATGTCTCATGAATTTGGCATTTAACCAAAGTAAATAAATTTTTTTTAAATGTTCTTATAACATGTAGATATATAAGATTGTTTATATTTCTACAGAATACGGTCAGTTAAATTGAGTGTAAATAAGAAACTAGGTCTAGTAAATAGAGTAATGGCCTACAGATGGTAGATAAGAATTTAACCTTGACTTTGATCACAATACTGGGGTGATGCAATAACATAATGATGTTTTACTTCAATAAACTGAATGGTTACATCCAATAATCATTAAGGTTGATAGATTGAGGAAAGCTCTTATTTTAATGAAACTGCATGAATTTTTATTTTCTGTTTTGACTGAATAAAGGATTGACAAAGCCTTACATTGTGCATTGAGAGAAATTTTGACAGAGCAGCATTAGCTGATGGATGACCTTAGAGTTGTTCCCTCCAGAATCGTTGATCTACTGGTGTTTAATAAGTTTAACTCTAATAAGAAATCGATGCACTATGGGATCACGATGGATGAGCATGAAATTTTCATGTCTGCACAACTCATGATTGTTGATATTGTATTAAGAGTGAAGAAGTTTAATCAAACTACTATCTGAAACACTGGCCAATATTACAAATAAAAAGAATTTCTTTATTAAATATAGTGGAGTGGGTTTCAACATCAAGATAACATTAAGTTTTGATCAAATAGATTGTACTGTAAGGTTCAATAAACCTGCTAAATACAGAAATATTCTCGCTATCATTTTGTTAAGATAAGCTAGTAGAGGTGCCAAATTAATGAAAATCTATATAGAGGGATTAAGATTAATGGTGAAGCTCTGACTTGAGATATTATTAGTCAAGTGTAAAAGGGAAGGAATTGCATGGTTTCATTGACTTAACTTTCTGTGGAAAATAATTTTGCCCTTGTGTATATTTCAGATGTAAAAAGGGAGAATTATTTGATTATTTAACAGAAGTTGTATCTTTATCTGAAAAACGTACAAGGTAAGTTTAAAATAACTCAGTTTTCTGGTAAACCGTTGACTGTTGTCTGAAAGTTCATATTTTTATTATTTTAAGGCTACAGTGTTTAGGAAAATATGTTTAGGACATTGTGGACCCTCTTTGGAAAATTTGGCTGTCTTTGTTACATTTATGAAAAAAACTTTTCATAAATTTTGTTTATGTTTTTTCATATGTGTGTAGGTCTACAGTACACAACTGAATTGTCTTTTATTATTGTCATATTCTTAGAAAGGTACCGTCTGTAGAATGTGGGTCACTGAGCTATAAATAGTAACACGTGGCAAATGTCGAAACTTTGAGTACTGTGACGCTCTCGCTAATCCAACATTATTTTGCGGTCCCAGTGTTTGTCGGATTACACAGAGTATACTGTACGTTAATGTCTACTATAGTGAAGTATCAATACACAGCCAAGAAATACAACACACATATCATGTTGTCATGCTTTGATTTAACAGCTGAAAAGATATTTTGGGTGTTTATTACATAAAATAAAATGATCATAAGCGTTAAATATTGATAAGATTTAAAGATAGGTTTTGTGATAATCATAGATAGTAAGATAGTAAATAACCTGTTTGAATTCAGGGGCATTGATGATAGTTTATCTTGACTCCATGACCTCATCTATAAAAGAGTTTTATTGACATGAGTAAATGATTTATTATTTATATTAATGACCCAGTCTTTAATTAGATTTTAGATTAATATATTATAACTTTAATAAATAATTAAACATGTGTGTCTGAGTGAAAATTTGTGATGATTGATGGGATAAATTGACTTGGTGGTAGACATTATTTGACTCATGGTCTATAATATAGAAATAAAAGTTGCAACATGACTGAATTTTATTTATGTCGTTGATCATTGAGAAGCGCAAGACAATTTGTTTTGATATTTATTGATCGATCTCTTATAGGAGGTATCAGAATAATTAAAAATAAATATTGAAATTTTGAAGATAAAATGTGAATTTTTTCATCCATTACCTGATATTGCAATACGTATCATATCGTGACCCTTGTATCGCATATCATGGCATGATTGTTGATACTAAGTACTAATGGTTAGATGTCTCTGGTATGTCAAATTAATCATATGTATAAATGAAATATATTTGATTTCAGAATAATAATGAGACAGTTACTAGAAGCTGTATTGTTTGTTCATGATAAAGGCATTGTACATAGAGATTTAAAGGTGAGTTGTCCACAAATTTTATAATCTTGATGGCCAGACATTTTTGTTTCATGCATTAGATCATACAACAAAAACTTGCTTATTGATACTTATTACTTATGGTTGGAAACAACAGAAATAAGCATTGCGATATTGCATTCTTGATATCATAAGCCAATTCTCCAAAATCTAATTTGAAATAAGCCCAAGCCTATGATAGAAATATTGATCATTATCATACTATAATAGTGTCTTACTGATCAGCAGTTGTCTAAAAACACTGGGACATGGTTTGTTTGATACTTGGAAGTACTCCACAACCTATTTATGATTTAAAGAAATGTATTTATTGTTATGATTTCAGCCAGAGAATATATTGTTAGATGATAATTTAAATGTTAAAGTATCTGATTTTGGTTTTGCTACAACTGTTACTGACCATGAGTTAACAGGTAAAGAGGTTTTCTCTGTGTATCCGTTTACTGCAGCCTTCCATTTTTCAGTCAAATGTCTGTGCTTAACCTTATCTGACTGCTTATAATATCTATAGGGCCAAAGCAATAGTTGTATCATACATGCTTAGTTTAAGTGTAATTGCAAGACCCACAGACGTCAGATTGAAAATTGGAATTATCAAGTTGCAGATTGACTTTAAGATAATGATGCAATGTCCTTTAAGAGCCATCTGTTTTTACCTCAACTGATAAGCCAGATTCCACAACAGAGTTCTTTTTATCTGCTGTAATATCTTTAGATTTTTCAATCTGGTTTCCCCCTGTCTCTGATGCTGGTTGGAGGGGGTGACATTGAAAAGCGTCTAATCCTGTGTCCTCAAAAGATCAGTTGAAAAGTGGTTATCAAAAAGAGTAGGCTATTGCTGTAATCTTGTCCCTCATTGCATACTTCATGGCATTTCCTGTCAGCATTAGCTCTAACAGGTGCAGAAAAGTAGGACGTAAAATTTCAGTTCATCTGATTACTGTATATTGAGGTATATTCTGGTTTAATTTAGAGTTATGTGGTACACCTGGGTATTTAGCACCTGAAGTATTAGCTGTATCTATGTATGATAATGCACCAGGCTATGGCAAGGAAGTGGATATGTAAGTTATCAGTTTCTTGAAGATTAGAATTGACATGAAAATGTTCCCAAGTTTCAAAATGATAACAGAGTCACTTGTCTGTGTCAATTTTATCAATAATGTGGCATGTTTCAACTTAAAATTTCGAAATTTGATTGTTTGATATGTCAAGAAGTACAACAAATATAGTGGTTTCGTCATTAAAATACATGATTAGTGAGGAAAAACTGATTAAATATTTACTTGTATTATTTTAGGTGGGCATGTGGTGTTATTATGTACACATTGTAAGTATATACTTTCTTTCAAAAGACACAATTCAGTATCTTTGAGAAATCATTTGAAATTCGATAATTAAAAACATAGCATAGATACATATGATTGTGTTTTGAATCATAGATTTGTATTTAAAAAGCAAAGATAATTGTTCTTATTAATTCAAAAAATTGCCAGTTGTCTGTCATAAAGAAGAATAAGTAGTAATTGAAACTGTACAAAGGAGACGCATACATGTATTATAACCGAATTACCAAAGATATCGAAGTATAAAGGGAACTGTCCACGTTCATGGTTTGAATCACCACAGGAAAATACATTCTTTGATTCCCCGTGGACAAAACATCCTTACAAGTATACTCTGAACTGAAGTGAACAAGATTTCTGACAACTTATTTCAGATTATGTGGATCACCACCATTTTGGCATCGAAAACAGATGTTAATGTTAAGAGCTATTATGCAAGGAAATTATTCATTTGGTAGTCCAGAATGGGATGATATTAGTGATGTACCTAAAGATCTGGTGAGTAAAGATAATAAGCAAATCTTTTGGACTCTCCAAAAAGTGATCCAGTTGATGAAGACTTAGGAGACAGAATGTTCCATTATATTAAATTATTAGTGGTTTAACCTGTTCTCTGTTTATTTTACAGATATCTAAATTATTAGTGGTTGAACCTATTCTCTGTTTATTTTTACAGATATCTAAATTATTAATGGTTGAACCTATTCTCTGTTTATTTTTACAGATATCTAAATTATTAGTGGTTGAACCTATTTTCTGTTTATTTTTACAAATATCTGAATTATTAGTGGTTGGACCTATTCTCTGTTTATTTTTACAGATATCTAAATTATTAGTGGTTGAAACCTATTCTCTGTTTATTTTTACAGATATCTAAATTATTAGTGATTGAACCTATTCTCTGTTTATTTTTACAGATATCTAAATTATTAGTGATTGAACCTATTCTCTGTTTATTTTTACAGATATCTAAATTATTAGTGGTTGAACCTATTCTGTTTATTTTTACAGATATCTAAATTATTAGTGGTTGAACCTATTCAGTGTTTATTTTTACAGATATCTAAATTATTAGTGGTTGAACCTATTCTCTGTTTATTTTTACAGATATCTAAATTATTAGTGGTTGAACCTATCCTCTGTTTATTTTTACAGATATCTAAATTATTAGTGGTTGAACCTATCCTCTGTTTATTTTTACAGATATCTAAATTATTAGTGGTTGAACCTAGTAACAGATTAAATATTAAAGAATGTTTAGCCCATCCTTTCTTTGTAAGAGAGGTAAGTTACAGAGTAGTTAAAACAGTTCAAGTAGGAAGTCAGCCTGTAAACCTGCATTCAATAATGCTAAAGACTATCTCAGTGCTGAAATCTTGACCAAAATGCTCAAGATCTTGACCTAATGCTCAAAATTTTGTCCATTGAGCACTTGGTCAGAAAGGTTATAATTTATGAAGCTTGTATCAAAGAAAGTTTATATATTTGTATAGGTTGTCTAGATATGATTCTTAATAAATTTTTTTATTATTATAGTTGGGTCCTCAGAAAAAATTTTATGCAAGAAGAGTGTTTAGAGTAAGTATAGCTTCAAGATACACTAGAGTTTCTCCAACAAAATCATGGTTGCTGCAGTGGCTCTATGGTGTACTTGCTCACTAATCTGAAGGGTCATGGCATTTGGATTTTTGTGACCTGGTTTCATGGAAAAATGTGAGGAACCATGTGCTTCAGGCTGTGCACATTGAAAAATTCCTCAACAGCTACAAAATACAGTAGATTTATGCCTGGAATGATACATTATCTTTGATGAATACTTTAAGTCTGTATTAGTTTTATCATGTTTTACATGTAATTATTTTGTTCTTATTCCAGGCTGCAATTATATGTGCAAGATTTTTCTATAGACTACACTTTTTCTATACAAACCCTTTACCGATCTCAAGTGATGTAATCAAAACAAATCCATATAGTGTCAAATTATTTAGGAAATTAATAGATGGATGTGCATTTGGAATGTATGGACATTGGGTGAAAAGGGGAGACAATCAGAATCGAGCTGCTCTATTTGAACATGTGTTACGTGATGATTGGAAAACGACAGTATTATCTGCGAATGCTCAGACCTAACTCAGGGCCCGTGTTTTTAACAAACTCAACTGTGATGTGTTTTTATTATTAATGTGAATGTTTTGTTTTAATTTGTGGAGTTATCTTTTCCTGTTTGTGATTTACAGTCTCATCTATGTTATTCCTAATTTACTATTCAAATTACTAACTAGAGGATATTATCAGAAATATTGCTCTTGCCAAAATCACTTGGAGAATTGGAAATTCATAGCCATATTTATTTCAGAACAGAACATTAACTTGTTATCACAAACCAATTAACCTAACTTGAAATACCTTTCACTGTCACTGTCTGCAGGCGTATGTTTAAAAAACATTTTAGATGCCATGGCTTGTGCTTTTGAGAGTTTGTCCACTGTAGGCTCTACACCTGATCATCCCATGCTCATTAAAATTTATCTGTAGAGTTGGAAATTGATTGAGATTCTTTATGTTGGGAATTTAGATGTTGTTATTTGTTGTTATTGTTGTGGTTCTGATGAAATGTATGCTGTCTAAGACTAAGGCACTATAAGACAACGATATATTATTAACCAGTATGAAGTATGCACCCATCATTTAACAATCCAAATAATTTCTTATTAACCTTATGATGGTATGGCTGTTTAACATCGGGCTATACATGAAATTTATACACATTTTCAAATAGGAAGTGTTATTACTTATTGCTTTTCACTGGCTAAAAAACTAATTCAAATATGATGCTAAAATCTTAAATGAAAAGTTCTGTCTCCTTTTGCATTCTTTCGATAAACATTGTACATTTTCACCGAGATGCTTCCAGAAAGAATATTGTATATATAAGTCATTGCAAAAACCAAGCCAAATGATTTTCTAGTGCACATGGGTTTCATTCATTTATCATCACTGCCATATATTGGTGTAGGAATGTGGAATCATGTTGGGTAGTTAATGATATCTGATATCATAGACCATTAGACTATATTCATTGGTCTTAAAAACCATTGTATAGAGTTGCTTCTGACCACAAAGGCCAGAAATAGATGGAACCTGTGTCCTATATTTCATGGATAATAATAATAATAATCACCTTATTACCATTGTTTCAAACTGCTTCTGATCTTGAAGATCAGAAACTCCCTGATTCCTCCATTCCTATGCCTATGTATCCATCAACTGTAAATTGTTTCATTTTTTATTTATTTCACTCATTTGATAAGTTTATCCATCAATAACTACATCAGGACTTTGCTTCTCCAAACGGTTAGGTTTTTCTCAAGTGAGATATACCTATTTATGAAGAAAAAAAGATTTTTAGAAAAGCAAGGTCTATTTGTAAAGATACTGGGTGTTAATGTTTGATTTCAAAGTTGTGGTGACTCGGTAACTTAGTCCATCGATTTCAAGCCAAGAAGTAGAAAAATTAGTGCCATTGTTGTGGATAATACCTCCTTTACATAAACAAGTCATGTAACTGATCTTTATTAGCACAAAAATCTTAGCAAATTACATTCATTTTGGAGATTTGAAAGGCACTGCCTTGACACGTCAGACATGCAAAACATCATGTCCAACTTGATAGCAGTAGTACTGTGCTGGTCCCAATGCTATGATCAAACTGATGTGCTTGGGTCAAACCTAGGAAAAGGTAAGCAAGGATGCATTTGAATTGCTGAGTCACTGCAACTCTGAATTGAAGTTAAATTAAAATTTAGAAACTGGGATTGTTGATCAATATTTCATAATCTTCATCAGATTTCATGTATCCAAGCTTTAATTGTTGATCATTGATAGAAAACCTTACAATATATTCTGGACTTAGTTATTTGCTTCTTAGCATCTTCACATTGTCAAGTGAACGAACTTCGTACCTTGACTGCAATAGCATTTTTCTTTTACCATGGGATGCAGTGATTTGATTAGATACCAGGGAATACAGCCAATCAGAGACCTCAACAGAAAGGCTGTAAACATTATGGCTTTGTGTGTGTTCGAGTGACAATTAGTCAGGGGGTGTCAAATAGATGAATATCACAATATATCCAGTGTTGCTACAGACTCGAATCAAAGCAGAGTATCAAGTTATTCACTCATTTTATAACACTAGTAGATTTTTTAGCACTTATAAAATCTGAATCCTCATCTGTATAAACAGGTTCAGTAACATCAGTCCAGAATACATCAGATAAAGTTTGAATATTAGATCTAGTGAATACATGGATTGATATATCATTAAATACATCATTATCTTTATACAGTCTAGTAGGTAGAGGTATCTCTGTTGTATATGGTTGAATCTTCAATATATAACCACCACATTTCTCTAACAGTCTCTTAGGTGTTCTGAAAAACAATAACTTGTGGCTTATGATAGACCCATTTAAATCTATGTAAACTGTTATGTATTATGCCAAATGAGTCTACAATGAACTACAATATCTGGGAGGATTTAAATTTCACTTTTAGCCTCAAGGCTAAAACGAAGAACACCATGCAGTGAGTAATAAGTATATTTTGTCAGGCCAATGGCATTAGCCTACTGATTTCACTGATTTTCAAGTCTGTAGCATACCCATCCAAACGCTTTTGCCAGCTCCCAACACATTTTGATTTCAATTATAAGGGGATTGACATATAAAGGCCTTCTTATTGTGCTATAACTTACCTGTCAGTGATGGCTGTAAAACTATTACCAATAATAATAATACCAGGTAAGGTATCTACAGACCAGTTAGACCATAATATATTATTATATAATGATTTCCCACAATGAGGTAGATAATAAATACATTTATTCTTACTGTTTCTTTTTCCTTCCTGTAAATATACCATTATACACTAATAATAGAGCCAATTATACAGTTATTAAAAGGCTAAAAAATTGACTAAAAATATCATACATATATTTAATAAGAAATGTCCTTATAAAGAAGATACAGCCTTGTTTTACCAAAAGATGGATGCTAATGTCAGCTATGTCAAAAATGATAATCTGATACACCTGAAAACTCCAAAAAGTTTCTATAAAACCCACAATGTTTAATTTCCAAAATTCCATGACAATATAGTACAATACACATGGCTACCCATAAACAATGTGATATGTTGCAGAGCACTAGCAGAATCATTGAACTGTTTTCACTCTTTTCTTCAAAGCTGGAAGTATGCAAATCTCACCTCATTTTCATTAGGGACAATCCAACCCAACTGTGTCAAAGCCTTGATTTCTACTTGTGTAAACACAGGATCATAACAATATGAAGAACCTTTAGAAATCTGTAAATAAAATCATTAGATTACAATATTTCTTGGGTGACATTCTGAGTAACAACATGTTTTTGTAGGTTCTGTTTTAATATTTCAATATTGCTCTATAATTGATGTATTGAGCACTTGAAAACTTTTTGTTATTGTAAAAAAAAACAACCAAATTATTAGGTTAGTGACCTAGGAACGTCAAGTTGACAAACTGTAGCAGTAAAGTGTTACAACTTTTCCTAATGCAGCTCATGTGTATGGAACATAAAATATTTCCTCAGAACAGCTGGTTAACATATGGAAAAGGAAGACCAATATAACCCAATAATGACACAAATGTTCTTAAAGCAGCACAATACTTTTATGTAAAAATATGCCACCAGGTTTCCAGAATGTAATGATTTACCTTTAGATCTCTTCTCAAAGCTGAAACCAAATCCAATTGTTGTTTAGCTATAAGACTTGATGAGAAGTTACCTACACCATAAACTACCAGCTCAGTTTTAGATTCAACCTCATCATAGTCTGTGTTTTTCATCAACAATTCTATATGAAAAAATTGAAAATCAAACGCTGCATAATTTGATAGCAGATTTCAATTTGGCACCTTTTCAATTACATAGTCTTTGCAGGCATACTGGCAAACAACACTGCAAAATTCAAAAACAGGATTCTAGATTGGCACCTTAACAACTATAATCTATGAAGGCACTCTACCATAGAACCACAAAGATGAAAGGCAGAAGTAAGTCTGACCCTGGCTACAATGTATCTTGGAGTGCAGTGGAATAGCTTAAATAAGCCTATGCCTATCTTATCATTGATTAGGGTGATTGTAACTAAATTAACAAAAGGCCTTGGTACCATAGATATAAGAAGGCTATTAGCTCCTTACCCCTTGTTTGCATGTAAAATTCTGTAGACTTCATTTCCTTGCTAAAAAAAAAACATTCGATATTTTCATTTATGACTGCCAAATTTTTATTCTTCTTATTCTTTTTATTCCATTACTCTCTGATAACAGTGGTATTCTGAATATAACTTTTATACAAATTTTAAAAGCAGTTTAAAAACATCATAGTGCTACAAAGTACAAACCTGGAAACTTGAAGTTTATTTTTCAACGTTTCCACTTTCAAGAACAAATCCTCTTCAGATTCATTGCCATCGATGCTACCATATCTCTGATGATTTGAACCTATTCTGGGAGCTTTAGAACGTTTTCCCTTTTTATGCCTAACTTGTATAAATTCTTCTTCTTGTCGTTCCATTACATTAATCATAAGTTTGACAGATAAAACACTTCAACACACGTGAAATTATCAAACCGGATGTTGACATTTTTAAGGAGCAGGTATTGTACAGTCTGTGTAGAAAATTTGATTTGTGTTGAATTTCTTATCACTGATGAATAAGCTTTGCCATTTAATCAAAACAAAAATCATAATTTTTGTATCTGAATACTCAACAAGTGTTAGGATATCGATAGGACACAATAGATCAATTAAATTGTCCAAAGTAAATAAACATTCCCAAGAGCAGATAAATCTTCACAAACTTGACATTTCATCAGACTACAAATAAAACATTAATACGATTTCAATAGATTTATATAGCGCTGCGCATAATTAATTTATAACTGCATTGTGACAGGCACCATCAAGCAGATCTAGAGCACACGCATCTGATGTCTTTTCAAGCACTGATTGTCAAGAGGTTTTACAACTTTTTATGTGCACTAGAAAACTTTAAATCATACAATTTCCAGTGTAATTTCATCAAATCAAAGTAAACAAATACTAAATTAATTGAATATTATTTATTATCAAGATTTAACATTGTTGCAACTATCATTTGATTGACAATTATCACCAGTAGACTGACAGCATGTCTCCTCTAATTTAATGTCTATTTTAGCTTTCACTGGTTTAGTTTTTCTCACTCTCTGAGGTCTATGTTTCTCATTATTCACAGTCCATGGTCCTAAACTATCATTAGCATAAAAATCCATAGGATATGTCTCTTGCCATTTTACATTCTCCAGTGCCACAGATAACTGAAATTAAAATTACAAAAGTTAGCAAAAGTTAGACTGATTCATCTCAAATAAATAGGCTTCTCCAAGACTTAAATGAAATATTCAACTCAAAGACTAACTTATAGTGAAATATTAAGAAATTAAGATGAATAATGCTAGATCTAAAAATAATCTTTAGACAAAACATATAATGTAATCTTTTATCAATAGTTCACTATATGAAATAGTGGGCACAAAATCTAAGTTTTCATGCTAAAAAGACTGGTTATGATAATTCTAAAGCAGTCACAATGAAGGTACTCTTACCTCATAAGGATTTAGCAATGGTTTATTAAAAGCATATCCCCAGTCTATAGATAATCTAGGACAAGCTATCTGTACCCAACTGAAAATCAATAATAAAGATAAAACCTTTTTGGGATAATGAAGAACTAAGTAGAATGCAAGGAAAGATAATTTGCCACAAAAGCTCTGTCCATACACCTACTATTGTTTGTTTTCAAATTTTGAAGGATAAAAGAAACATACTTAGTAAACATTATTAGCAATAATACACTAAAAGGAATGGTGAGTTGACAAACCTAAATATCAAATAAAAAATAAAAGCTATTGTTCATATGCACGATCTGTAGCAAATGAGACCTCTACTAATTATCCTATCTTAAGAACAAGATGTTAATTCTGTGTCAGCCTGTCTGAGGAAACTGTCAAAAATATCAGTACAATCCCTTGAATAAAAACTTACGCATCTATATCAGTAAATAATTGTAATTTAGCAGGGAATATCTCAGATAATAAAACAGTTATACTTTCTTTATTACAGTCACATATCTTCTCTTGTAAATGCTGGAAAAATAAAAGAAATCAATGGAAATATTGTTGTGCTTGGTTACAGTTGGAATCAATTGTGGTTATTTTGATTCTGGTGACATTGAAGGAATCATTTTTCCTCATTATTCCAGTTGACCCAACTGTAAATGGGTACTGATAATTTGGTTGAAGATCCTTGTGTAACTACGTTGTTATCCTTTTAAAATATGGTTGTTTCTTTCTATTTCAAATCTTAATATTCAGCTTCTTATATATCATCATAAAGAAATGTAACTATGAAGTGTGCAATGATGGAAATGAGGAGCCTTGTCATTTAATTGACTAAAGTAAAACATTGACAGTTATTAAAGTATGCAGAAATCAATCTATTAAAAATAAATCAACATTGAAGGATTCATAAATATCATGAAACATTCATCAATAAAGATTAGTGGAGGTGTCAATTGATTATAAAATACGACTGAAATTATTATTAAGTACCTGTAATATTTTGGGTGAGCCTTGTCTCCCTAATGTACCCAATATGATACCAATCTTTTTAGCCTGACTAGCTTTCTCCACAGCTTGATGTCTTATTTCTTTCATTTTATCATGTTCATAATATTCTTGGGTAAATTTCTTACTGTATGGATCATATCTGATATAAGATAATGATATTTTTCAACAGCATACAAAGACTACTTTACTATGAGCAAAAATTTACATATCTATAAATTGCCAAATTAATAAAGGCGTGCAAAAAATAATGAATACATAATAGTTTGAATTATTAAGAATGTGAGAGATCCATCCACTTCCTTTGTTATGTCTAACATGAAATATCTACGTTATGTATTGTGTTTCAACCAGGTAATATAAAATGTATAACACTTCATAATTTTGCCGTACTTTTTTTTTGTTTTGTTACAGGTTAGCACAATTCTAAAAGTATGAATAATAATTAATAGTGTAATTACCTGTAAGCTGGAACAGTAGGATTAGATATCATGATAGATTCTAAATGAAATCTTCCATCTCCCAAATAACTGAAACACAATGAGACATATCTCATATAGAAATCAATTCAAAACAGATATTAACCATTTTGTCAACATATAGATTTGATCTTTGCAGCCAAACACAACGAAAAAAACCCATTAAGGTCAACCTAACATAATTATATCAATTGACTTGTTACTTATGTGTTTAATATTGGTAAACAATCAATAATTAAAGGGACAGATTCGCTATTTTTGAGGTTGATTGAGTCTTGAATATATGTTAATGGTAGTACTAGAAATGTACGAAAATCACATAATTTCTTCAAAAATCCTAAAAAGCTGGCCCATCGGTTTCTTAATAGTGTCATTGATAGGCTTTTAAATTTTTGACTACCTATGATCATAATCATTTACTAAGAAACTCCAAATAACCAAATAGAACCTTTTTTACTGTTAATCATGCCAATCCTCAGTGGGATACATATCAACACTACTTAACAGTTTCTATATCTTACATTAGAGCATCAACATCAGATAATCTAGGTGATGTACAACCCAATATTTCACCAGGTGATAGAGGTTTACATTGTGGTGTTATTATTTTATAATCATTACTTAATTCACGACTTGAAGACTGAAAAATATAGAAATTGTATAGCAGAATATTGCATCAAATAATTTACAAAAATAAGTTACCCTTTTCACATGTACGAACTGTTTATCCAAATTTAAAATTTCATGTCACCACGATGTAATATTTAATTTAAGCAAAGAATGCACTCACATGGCAGAGACATTCATGTTACAAGTGAATATGCATAGTGTGAAATGTAGACTGGAGCATTGACGCGTCATGGAGAAGATTTGTGTTGTAAATATAATTTCCAATATATAAATTTTCATACAAATTTAGATATTTAGAGATCTCAATTTGATAGTATATATATCCAAAGTTTATTGTACACAATGTTTCAACAATTTACTATGTCAGATAAGGTTAAATTTTGAATGAGAATTACCTGTAGAGCCGCTACAAACTGTATAGTACTAACTAATGCCAGTCGACTACCAGATTTAAAATTATATTTGACTGTTTCGATAAAATGTACCAGATCTATCTTGATATCAACAAATACATATAACATCTGTATACCACTAGTAGTATCAATAGGTACTGAAATATTACATATAAAAACATTTTATACTGTATTTATAAATTTATAAAATAATCAAAGGCCCTTCCACAACTATTTTATAGCAAGAGGCTCGTTTTCAACTTCCCAAAAATAAGCAACAAAATTTAAAACTGAAACCACAATCTCAGATTTGCAAAGTACTTTACATAGTTAATGTGCCAAAATGCCAAAAGCACAATACTTTCTAGAATTTCTAGTCGACTCAAAAAAAGAATTATTTTGTACTTTTGCAAAAATAATTTTATCTGGACACACTCCGTAAGTATCCTGACATCAAAATAAACATCAAATTAGAATTGTCCCTTTAATATACTTACAGTTGTATGTATATATAAGAGTAGTGTTTTGGCTAGTTAATTAATCTGATTTACTAAAATTACCCCTACAAATTATGCTAGTCTTAATTACCTAAACAACTATGTCCATAATGAACCATTAGATCAGCCCCAAGTGCTTTAGCAGTATAATCATCTACACAACAAGCTCCATAAGTTACATCTCCCATAATAATAGTGTCTGCTCCAGTAAACCTATCAACATTATCAATCACCAAAAATATCAAGTTTGTACTACCTCTACCTTCTATTCATATAAGTATTACAATTTCATTTTCATAAATGAAAATAAGGGAACCCATCTTTAAAGCCATAGTTCATTTGTATTCTTCGATCAAAGAAACACAACCTATTTTGTTTACCAATGCAAATACTTATGAGGGAAAAAAATCAGGTTTCGGTAATTAGTTGTGGTACCCTAGAATAGTTGGTAGTTGTACACACATGGTTAAGAGTTGGAAAATAAATTGGGATTTTCAAATCTGAATTTTTAGTACAATGAATGACAAAGTAAATGGATGGATTAACACAAAATGCTGTAGACTACCTTTCTAAGATATCAGCTATGGTACAAGCAAACAACAACAAACCCTCTGGCAACTGTAAAGCTACAGTCTTGGACTCTGTTGATTTGATCTTCCATATTGTTTTATAAATCTCAAAGTTGTAATTGTCAGGCAGCTGAAATCATAAAGAAACATTAGAATTTAGGTTATTTAATCATGTACCTTAATAAATTAAGTTTTATTCAACTGTCATCATTCTTTAGACACTGACACACACCGATTCCTGGAGAAAAGATAAATTAATGTATCAATCAAGTAATTCCATTTAGTTTAGTCTACTTACCACTTTTACTGCCTCTTGTATTAAAGGATCATTCAATATTTCATCTGGGATTTGATGAGCTGCTCTCTTTATTGGCCCTGATAAATTAAAGGTAAACAAGTTTAACCATGAGTAAACTAAATTCACTTGTTCAATGGATTGAAACAGAAATTGAATCTGGCTATCATTATAGGCCTATATCAGTTTAGGCAAATTGTAGCCTTTATCATTTTACAATATCAGTAGGCCTTCTACTGTTCACGTATTACTCTCAGATAAACTATTTTCACTCATTTCAGATCAAAACAGAACATACTACATTGTACTGAGGTTGAAACTATTACTACTATAATTCAGTTGGTAGAGAGTTGTTAGGCGATTAGGTACAGTGGGGTACAGTCTGTGTCAAGTTCAACAAGCTCAAGCTGTACTGAAAGAATGGCAAAGAGTTAACATTAGCTCACCTTTTGAATTGGTAAATGTTTTTCTATTTTCACTTGCTGCCACAACAACTGGACCAGCAGATTCCATCATGAAAACGTAAATAACTCAAACTGTTCGCATTAACATCAATGTTTATTTACATTTCGTGGAGGCTGACATATTGGAAGGGGGGACAACTCTCGAACCATTTAAGGTAACACTAAAGACCGGCATGCATTTTATAATTTCCTCCAAACGGTTACGAAATGATGACGTATAAAGAATGGGGCAATTTTAAATAAACCTGTCTTAGGGCAATCCCAATAGACTTTTAGATATGGTATGGGTAAAAAAAAAAACCCAAAAAACAAAACCAAACAGCCTTCGCATAAATGACATGCACTGATTTGGTTCGTTTGTTGTATAATATAGGTAAGTATCTAATTACTTTAAGGGAATGTAAAGAGGTTTTCTTAAAATTGTATGTGTATCGGTGACACTGATAGCATCAATTTGCACCAATCCAATTTTCTATCAGACGTCTGTGGTTCCTGCAATTCCAATAAAACTAGCGTTTTATGACGTCACTATTACCGAAGAGCCTTATGTGGTAAAGTATATTTTGTGATTCGTGGAGTCATCAAACACTTAGTTTAGAAAACCTCTTTACAATCCCTTTAATAGATTGCGCACAAACGTTCATAATTATTTGGCGTTTGAAACTTTGCGTTTGTGTTAAACCCTCTAGAACCAGGCGATATCTGTATGTTCGGAAAGATTTTAAAATGTTAAACAAATCTCACGATATGGGCAATGTCTATCCTAGTTGTTGTTTAATATAAATATGAATATATTATACCAGTTTTTATTTAATTCCAGTAACAAGATTGATTTACAACAAATATATTTCATAACAAAACAACAAATAAAAACATATTTATAAAATAATTCATGCAATATCCATTTCATTATGAATCAATGTAGGGCTCCTGTGCAGTCGAGAGTTCATTAGTTAATTCGATCCAGACTACGAATTTAACTATGAGTCTAAAAGAATGACCGACTGCGTCCAGTACTCCTTGGTAAAGATTGTGTACCAGTTAATTGTTTGCAGCATCGTTTATTGGGTGCTTTGGAAGTGGATTTTGTCGTATCTTGATCTACAAATTCACCTATCTCTGAAGCTGGTGCCAATTTCTCTATAAAATAAACTTCGAAATCGTTAATAACACTGTCATTCTTGAACCATAGACACCGAACTCGTGTATGTTTCTCAAGAAGATAGATTAATATGGTCTTCATTCGGACACAATGTGGTCGTAGGTTCCAAGTAGCTAAATCTCTACTGACAAATCATCTTTCCTCGTTATTCTAGTTGAACAAGGTGTAAATAGGTACGGATTGCGGATAATTCAACATAACAGCATAGCAACCCTTTTTTTTATTTTACAAAGCAAGTGTGTGCAGCTTCAATCATTCCATCTCGGTCGTCTCCACCTTAACGTTTGAATAAAGTGAAAAAAGTTACCATGTTTATGTGCCGTAGGTCCAGGTAAAGTTTCACTAGAACTATAGTCACCCGGCGCTCCACCGAATGATGTAGTCATAACTTCGATTCCGTTCTCATTATTCGTTTTAACTTTATAACTTTCATCTTCTTTGGCCGGACTCCATCTCTTCGTTTTGATTAATCCTAATGCCTGGATAGGGAAATAATGAAATTGTTGGCATAGACGATACTCTTACTTCAGGAGGTGCATCATCTTCACAATGTCAAACTATTACGACCTTCAGCTTATACCTTGACTCCAATAGCCACCTTTCTTGTATCACGGGGTGCAGCGAATGGATTGGATTGCACGCCAGCGAATACAGCCAATCAGAGCCCTCGACAGAAAGACTAAACATTATCGCTGTTTACAAACTTTTTGTAGTTTGAATGGCTGTATTTGCTAGCGTACAATTCAATCAAATCACTGCATTTACAAGCATCAATAATACAAGAAAGGTGGCTTAACATTGTGATGGTGGAGGTGCATGTACACGTTGTCATTCGTTTATGGTCAGTCATAATAACCTACTTCGAGAAACTCTGACCCCGACAAAAAGTGCCACTGAGAGTGCTGAGTGCTCTAAACTGAGATGCAGTACAAAAATCAAGACAAGCTTCCAAGATTCAGCTCTACAATGAAAGAACTCTCTGGAAATTGCTTAATCTGTGCACATATTTACATAATTCTGTCTGAATACTCACCGAGGCTGCTCTTCTAAAGAATAATCTTGCTCGACTTCGTCTTCGAACTGGACGAACCGGACTTCGACTTCTAAGTGGCATTTTTTCATAGGATCGGGCTCCTGAAATTGAAGATAGGCCTACTCCAGACTAAACCGTCGAGACACAGATTGGAAAGTATATCCCCCCCCCCCCCCCCTCATGGAAAAACTAATGAAGTATCATGTATTGTATATAAAAGAAGCCAAGTATTATGAGGCAAAGTGAAAATACGTGTTCAAATCCCTGTATAGATGAAATCCAGGAATTCTTAAATTTCATACCTCCTAACTTGAATTGAACTTGATCACGTCCGCGGAAGGACCAGAGCTGACCAGCTAGTCCTAAAACTACATACCTTCTGGTTCTTTGTTGTCCATTTCCACAATAACAGGCTGCACATCCTCTAATTTGGCTGATTTCTTTTCATTCAGTAGCCTCTCTTTAAATTTCTCATAATGAAGCAAGGACTCCTTAATTTCAGAGTCATTCATGATAACAAATCCTCTTTTCTCGTCCTCATCGTCTGTCGACTCACTTGAAGCCATAGGATTAGTATCCATTGGCGGGTCTTCAATTTGGGTGACGTCGGGAGTCTTGATCGATTTGTGGAGACTGGTACCGGAACTGTCCTCCAGATCAGAGAGCCCAGGGCGAAGAAAAACACTCTCAGATACACCAGCAGAGTGGTTGGAGGTATACAGCTCTCCTTGAAATTCATCGTTTCCTGATCTGTGTGTCATTTGCAATAAGATGTTAAATGTTTCTTCTATATCAGCAGTCATTGGATATTCGCTGTTCATTTCTACAGGATCTCCTTGAGTTGTGTTGTATTCGTCCAGCCCAGGGGTGCTATAATACCAATAGTCAGTAATCGCCCGTTCTATAGGGTTCTCATCATGGTAATCTATTAAAATAGAACTGTCAGTTTCACCTACGGAATGCCCTTCATCTTCAATTCTAACTTCATAATCCGTGCTTTCATCTAGATTAAAAATGGAGTTCAGGGTGTCGTCAATTTCTGCCAGTAGTTGCGCCGACAAGGAGTATTTGACAGGAGATTCTGGGTCCTCTTGAAGGGGTATATCTTTCAGAGCGAACTCAAGAGATCCAGTATCTTCAGCAATTTCAAAATCATCTTGAGCAATTTGAGGAGATTTGTCATCATCATCTGACCTCGGTGTATAATATTCTTCACCCTTTTCCTCGCCACCTACAGGTGATTGAAAGGGCTGTTCTTCGGATTCTGTTTCGTTATTCACAGGTGATCCAAACGGCTGTTCCTCTTCCCTTTCTTGTCTTCTAGGGGACACGTCCTGGCTAGGTTCGTTTGTAACAATAGGTGATTCGAACGGCTGTTCTTCTTCCCTTTCCGGTCTTCTAGGTGACACCTGGCTAGGTTCGTGTCTAACAGTATGTGATTCGAACGGCTGTTCCTCTTCCATTTCCGGTCCTCTAGGTGACACCTGGCTAGGTTCGTGTCTAACAGTATGTGATTCGAACGGCTGTTCCTCTTCCATTTCTTCTCTTCTATGGGACACCTGGCTAGGTTCTTTTGTAACAGTAGGTGATTCGAACGGCTGTTCCTCTTCCATTTCTTCTCTTCTAGTGGACACCTGGCTAGGTTCGTTTGTAACAATAGGTGCTTCGAACGGCTGTTCTTCTTCCCTTTCTGGTCTTCTAGGTGACATCTGGCTAAGTTCTTTTGTAACAATGGTCAAGGGGGAAGAACATTTAAATTGCAGCTCTTCTTCCCTTTCTTGTCTTCTAGATGACAACTGCCTAGGTGACACATGCCCCGACAGCTGGAGAAGAACTGTATTGATCAACGTTCTGATATATTCTGTAACATCGTCATTCAATGAGTCACTGGATACTGACTGCGCTGTTAGATTATCGCCTCTGATTGAGAGTCTGGCTGAAAAAGGCAAAATACAATTCTGAAAGTAAGTATAATAGTTGTAAACTAGAGACGACGGTACATTATTGAGCTATTGTCTATTTTTTTATAAACATTATTTGAATTAAATAAGAACCAAATGCTGTATTATAAAATTACTACGGTACTTTTATTGTATACAACGTTTCATCATCACTCAGGTAAAAAAATATGGAATATTTCAAACATGAATCGGTTAGGAAAATATTAGTTCTACCCAAATATCCCTCTCTGGAATAAATAATTTAATTCCTGATCAATCGTACTTCAAATAAGCATGGATATGCAATAATCTAAGGCTAGAATGTTACAGTTTGTGTTGTATTCCAATACTACAGGAACTGTTAAGATGAAATCAGGAAATGCTCGACCAATTTTAATAGTGTCCTGACCATTATACTTTTTGCATTCAAGCATTTTTAATAGATCTCGTCTAGGATACCGTTACATGAAGATTTGTGATTGAGAGGTTACCTGAATTTGGCCTGGAATGTCTACGCACAGTTTCTTCTGCATCCAATGGAATAAAAGTAGGAACTCTATCCATTTCATTCTCATCATGACTCGTACTCATGTTGGATTTTTTCAGGTGTAAAATACTGATCTGGAAGAAAATGTCGGTCTATTTATAGAGTACAGAGTAATTAACATAACTACCTGTGTAGCCTTGTGAATTACCTGGCGTAATACGCGTTATAGGTTAAATGATGAAGGCATATTTGCGTTATAATAGGAGACAACAGCAATTGATCGCATGTTATACAAACACAAACACTGTTGTAGAGTGGTTTATCCTACCATTTTGTCCTACTCAAGACAGACGTTTCCTTGTTGGGAACTCAGTCTCGGGCAGGTCGCGACTTGATGTATTTTAAACAAACCTATTGGAGATCAATTGAATAGAGAGCATAAACAAACCTTTTAATTAGGACTTTCAACCGCCAAAAACGAAATAATTCAAATAATAGATCTTAGTGAAATTCTGTTTACAAAATAATAAAAATGGCGGTCACTGACGTTACGTTCTCTGACGTCATTATGCAGGTGTAGCGTAAAATGTGTTCTTGGACTTGAAACGTAGAAGACGGAGAATGGACCTAACGCGATTTCGCCAGTAAGAGTAGAATATGTTTTTTATTTTTTTCTTAATGCGCCACTGAGAAAACTTTGGTATTACGTAAATTTTACGTGGTATTTTGCTTATACTTATACTCAATATATATAAAAAGTTAAAGAAGCTATTGTATTTCTTAATTTTTATATTATCAAATTATAACAGATTAAAAACTATAAAACATAATACAAGTACAACAATATAGGTAGATAAACAAATTAATAACAAATTGTTAATAAGGTAAATAACATGTTGACATTAGGTCACGTGATTAATAATCATCCAAATAGATGACACCTTCTCACTTCGAACTCTCTCTTTAAACGGAGATGTCCTTCAGCAGAAATATCACAAAAGGCACCCTTTAGTTATGAACATTAATAGACAAAATAAAAGTCAGAATAGAGTGAGGATGATTCAAACTGTCATAACGTAACACAGGCATCAGATTCTGGTAAAAAAAAGTCATACCTCTTATAGTAACCTATCTAAATTCAGATACTATAAGAGGTATGTTCTTTTTTACCAGAATCTGGTGCCTGTGCAATATCACTGGTGGGAATTGTCGAGGTGCGGGATTGTCGAAAATTCAAGAAGCGAGTAGGCCTACACTAGGTATGATTCCGGACGCAATATAGACATTCTTCTTCTGTTTTTATTATATCGACAGTCCCACATCCCCGGCCACACGGGACACCGCACCTCTTCCATAACCCGTGAGCCCTAATCGCGTTTGAAAAGCCCCAATGTTGGCATTATACGGCCTAGTAAACAATAACATATTCCTTGTATAACAGTCCATATAACCAACTGACTCTTTCATGAACAATTACCATCAATTCTTGTAATGTCATCAACAGCTACAATACCAGAAAGACTTCCTCGTTTAGCCTGAAATCCTATCTGGAATGGCTGGTACACTGGAGGAATCTGAGCATGCGCTACAGTCCACGTGTTATTAACACTAGAAGACATTGTCCAAAAATAACAATTGGAATAAGTATTCCCATCATTCTTCGCCACAGTACACACAGACAATGTATGGGAATTCATAGGTGATATCTTGTATTTGAATGAAAGACATTTAGGAACTGTTGAGTTGAGAGTTGGTGATAGAAGTTTCACTAATGTACCAGGAAATCGATTTGTACCATTCACTTCTAAATAGTGGTCTGAAAGAACAGAAAATTAATATCTGTGAATTTATTTTATCTTTACATGTAGGTTCGTAAAAAGATCTATTTCCATCTGATGAATTGTGAACATATACCAAACACATTCTTGCTCTCTGTCTGCCTGTAAGTGATGAACATTGTCATATTTGAGAAAGTGGGAACCAATGAACACCAAAACACCTGATTGCATATTCAAGAATAGTGATTAGAAAGAAGGAAGAGCACAATGAACAAACATTCCTTGCAAGCTATACGTTCGGCAAACATTGTAAAGTGATTCATTTCAAGAGACCAAGAATCTTCAGATCTATTGTGGCGACAGGAAACTGCTATTGTGTCAAGCACACCGTGGCTCAACTACCACAGAGACTGGTTGCACCATGTCCAAGGGCCCCCACTCCTAAGGGATCCTTACCCCAGAATAAAAATGCAGGAGATTATACGTTTGGAAAAAATGTCAAAGGGAAATCCATGGGCACCTACTCATACAGTTGAGCCACTGAAAACACAATTTTGGACAAAAGTTTTAAATTATTATACAGATTGACACTGCTATTGCTTCAATACCATACTTTGGAATGTTACTGACCCTTTTGAGTAGAAGCTGATCTAGAGTTATCGTCCGAAAGAAGATGAACCTTGATCTGCCAATCATCAGAATCATCATCCGCTTGTAGATAATTACACAGAGTTCCACCATCAAAATTACACCTTAATTTGGTTACTCCTGAAATAAAAAGTATAATCTCAGTGACAGTTTTTGCAGACAACCAAAGGTAATTATTGAAGAACACGAATCATAAAAGCTGGTAACAGAAGAACATCATTCGGCTCAACCTTCGACAATGTTCGTTAGTTTCCGCGAGATGAACATTCAGCATTCTAGCCTTAAAGTTGATATGAGTGAGCAGAACGTCAACGCATCTTTAAAACTCTCATGAGATTTATACCCTATCCGTCAAAACTGGTTGGACCGCAAACTGACGTAGTAAACCCAATCTCCACCAAAAATTTAGCTATGTGATCAGAAACAGAAACGGATAAAACATTTGTTTTTACATTAGATAGCATTTTTTAATTCGTAATGTCATGTCTAAAGGAAAACAATGACTGAAAGTGTATGCATGCTGATTACAGATGGGATTTAATATGTTCTTCAATTGCAACTCGGCCAATTTTGAAGTTCCTTACCTACACAACTTGTATTGCTGATTTTAATTTCATCCAATGCCACACCACCGTCGTATTTCAAAACAGACTGAACTTTGAATAAAATACCACGGATATCGGTCGTAAGATCAACCTCAGCATGTATCCACCCCATTGAAATTTTGCTGAACTTAACCAGAGACACGGTGGTATTCTCTGAATTTATACCATAAACAGTTAATATAGGGTCAATATCACCATGAAAGTTGAACCAAAACGTCAAACAATGTTCTCCAGTTAAATCCAATGCCGGAGATAACAATGTTGCTGAGTTGCCTTTTTCTTCGTATGGTATATATGCATACATAAATGATCCTGAAATATAAAATACACTGCTCGAAATGGACATTTTCGACTATTTTGGAAGCTGTCTTATTCTTCAGACTGACTAAAGTTCAATACATGTATATTTATACGTATCCGAATTGTATTGCCACATGTTACGGGCATCATGCAAACAGATTTAATAAGGAAAACTTTATTTTTAACAGCCTTAAAATATACTGCACGTTACTGGTGCATGGTCATCGATTCATAATAACAGAACCATATTAACACATCTTAAACAGCACATTGCTAGCTATGGCCATGATAACTGTATACCTTGTTGAGACTTGAGAGTCACGTCTTGTAAATATTTAGAAGGTCCATTTAGTTTACCAGATCGTCTGGTCCACATCAATGTTGAATTTGACTGGTCCATATATCCACAGATATCAGGCGTTTCAAAATTACAACCAATACTTTTATCTGAAACAAATAAACACCATTTTTTGAGAACCAGGATTCAGATTCAAACAAAACGGGTCAGTCTCAGTTCTCGGGGATGCCATCCCTCTAGCCCGAGTTTGGCGTTTCTATGTCCCCTCCCCGCAGAAAAAGGGCTAGCCCAGCCTTTTCTCTCCTCACCTCCCACTTCCAAATTATTTATCATTTTACATAGTGGAAGTATAGCCTGTGCCCCCTCCCCCTGAAAAATTTTGTGGCCCATGCTCGGCCCCCTCACCTAAGTTTCCCAGATACGTCACTGTCCAGCCCCCTCCGCAGAATCGCCACTGTGTCCTACGCGTCCATTGTTCTATACTTGAATTCTTACCTGTTCTCTGTGTTAGCTGTTGTACCCATTGTCTATAATAATCCACCCTGGTATACACACCAGGTTTATTGACCCCACCACAACCTTCACCCCAGCTGGTGATACCCACAATTACCCAATCATTCTCACTACCCACTTTACACATCAATGGTCCACCGCTATCACCCTGGGAAGTGAAAAAAAAATCAAATAACAACGTTTATACTTACAACTCTACGAACACTAATTATAACATCAATAATTCACAGCCGTGTAATTCGACAAGGACCAAAACGGCATAATTATGTCATTTCAAACCTTCTATTTACAGCTCTTGGTTCAAAGGCAACTGCACAGTACTGAATAATGGTTTCTGGTGTGATCATGAACACATCCTTTTAAGCATGCTTATTCGCTAGATATCCATCGCAATGTTAGCTTAAACGATTTATAGCATATGAAGACGAGGACTCAGCTCACTTTAAATTTAGTAGAAAAAAAACAAAGTTATAATATGGACAACTAACCTTACAAGCGTCAATATGACCGTACTTGTACCCAGCACAAACCATAGAGTCTTTTGTCTTATTTGGATAAGCCATTTCACATTTACTTTTAGGCCATACTTTTACTTTAGCATGATGGAGATTATCGGTTGTTTCCTGAAGAGATGCTTCTGAAATATATTTATAGTGTTTATCCAATCTTGGTTTATAAGAAACGATGACTCGACTCAATCATTAGATCACAGAATACTGTAAACTAAAGATTGTAACTTTGAACAGGCAGACTAGAAGCAGACGGAATTGTTCCACCAAAAGGCTTGTTTTGAGTCACTTCCAACTCCATGTTATCGTACAGGATCTGACTCATAGTCATTGCAGGTTATTATTAGAAATAAAACCCTTCGAGATCGACACCCGACATCTTGGACCATGTATCTTTCTGTAGAAAACTCACCTTGATTATTTGTTGCACCCCAGCCAGCAATATAACATGGTAGAGATGGCGACCAGGTGTGGAGTCTTGCTGGTAGACAGAGTGGTCGGATTGTGTTGGAGAAGACCAGTGGTTGCCGAAGTCTCATCAACCCCAGATCCGCGGAATATATGAAGCTGTATTGAGGATGTAGAATCATTTCAGACACTTTGCGATATTGGACATCATTCGCTTTCAGATTTGTTGCTCCCGCAATGATACTGGTGGTTTGTGGGGAATGTTGGATACTAAAATAAGAAAATATTTGTTACGGCATACAAGATTGTTTTTTTTTTTATATGTATATAATGCTGCCGAAACGGAAAACCGGCGTTATCGTAAGCACTACATTTCTGTTATGGAGGATCACATTTAGTATAACTACATCAACTATTTCAAATGCGGATTTTATATTACAGTCGCAATGTTATATCGAGATACATACCAAATCTGCTCAGCAAACATTTTCCATACATTGTATGTAATCGGATATCAGAATATCCTGTATATAGTTGGACTGGCGATGTAAGTGTAACACATGCTTAAATACTTAAATACCAAAGAGCTTGCTTACTCATTTATGCAATGACCAGCAGTTAGAATCCACTGATCTGATATGATAGTGCCACCACAGCGATGTTTATCACCAGACATTACAGCTACCATCCACGGCCACTCCCCAATTGCTGACTGACTTCCACCAACAATAAAAGCTTGAGGAATAGTATCTGATACAATACCACAGACCTTCTCCTGACACTCTAGAGTTACTGTTTGACCAGAATGACACGACGAGCTGTAATAGGGAAAAAAGAAACGATGGATAAGATAGTTTTGGTAACGAAGAAAACGGTAGATAGCAAGACAAAGTAACGGGAGCAGTCATAATAACGATCATATGTGGCCATGATATAAGAAATGATGCTAAAATTGGATTTGACTTTCCAAATTAAGGAAGCTGTAAGCAGGTGCCGTTTCAATTTCAAGAATCGAAAATGTTTCAGCGTACTTACTTCAAAGAGAACTGTTTACTGAAACTAGCACCAGTATCAATGAGACTAGAGGAAGCGACAGCATAAGTTTTCTCTGTAGTAAATTCGGATCCAGAACTTATGTATCCACTGAAATAGACAAATTGTTTCAGTTGCCGATTTGGGGTCTTATTATATTAAAAACTCCGAGTTAAATGCTTCCGTTAACGTTCATGTTTCATCTCCATACATTGAAAATGAATCATATGTTACACATGAGTATTTAGTTTGAATTCTCCGGATGATAACCCTGTTGCAGATTATAAGCGAGTATATCAGAAACTTGAGAAAGCAATGTGTAACTCAAGATACCCCCCATGGTAATTGTCGTAGTAAAGATCGTCTGAAAAAGAACCTTGTTGAAGCCATAAAAGCTTTTATTAATAAGAGACTACTTACGGGCGTCCAAGTGAAGTGCAAGCTTTGTGTGCTGAATCATTGGACCACATGTCATAATAGCAAACTGGAAACCACTTAGAGGATTTCATGACCAACAACCTACCATCATTCGAGATGGATGCTGGAAAACGAAAAAGCTACGAACAACACAAATTTTAGATAGATAGATAGGACAGAGCCATGACATATACTATAATATTAACATTATTAGCTTTGTTGACATAGTCGGAGGGTATCATAATGTGCCACGGAAGGTTGCTTAGGAGGTATCACCCACCACAGTGATTATAGTAACCGGGCTCATATAAGATAAGCTTTTTGAATAAAAAATCAGGAGCTTAAATCTAGTAGATAAGGGTGAATATGCTGTACATTAATAACGAAAGTCGTTAGTTTCCTATCCTATCTAGTCTCCCTTCTTTAAAAATGGCACAGAATATCGCTGATGATCTGAGGAATAGGAATTTTTCAAGAAAAAGAAATTCCTTACTACATTCATCTTCGTCTTCAGCATCAGTGCATTGTGGGATACCATCACATCTCTGGTACTGTGGTAAACAAGAACCGTCATGACAAGGTATTTCACCCATTTTACAACTCTCTGCAACATAATAATTTGGTGAAGACGGTTATTGGAGGGACAATGCTCCAATGCACTACGAAAAAGTATTGTCAGTATATTATGGGGAACATAATTTGCTCAAAGTGTTTCTGGTCTGCTTACGTGCACGTGTTGCCTAAGTGCAGGTTTAAAAAATATTCATGTAAAAACCGTCACACACAATATATGAACGTAGTAAAGACCCGTTATCATATTACAACGTTTTCACAAATAATCATCTTATGTACACTCTGACAAGAAAGTGCATTAAACTCTATAGTGACTCCATATTCATCATTATATAGTCGACCTATTGTAAATGGATACTATGATCCTTGAAGATCAATGTCAAGAATCAACTGCTAAAGAATATGCTCGATTCTTTGAGAAATATGAATTTTTTCTTTCTTTTCGTTTGGTTAAGCTCTAGTAATATATGTCAAAAGAAAATGAACGTATGGAGAATAATGGGAGCGAAACGTACCGCAATTATTTTCATCTTTGTTATCAAAGCAATCTTGTTCACCATCGCAAAACCATTCTTTAGGTATACAATTACCGTTTGAACCACAGGGTAACCAATCGAATTCACAATCATTTGAAGCAACTAGAGAAAAAGAATGTACAATATCAACGTAGTGTGTATAGATCATTTTCAAGAGGGACCGTAGCTATGTTACTCAACAAGAAATTCAAGTCATCTAAATTTTTCATGGGGGGGTATTCAGACGACTATATTATATAAGGAAGTTATGCACGGGTGGGTATATTTAGAAACATATCAAGTCGTGTAGAAAATGATCTTTCACTTTTTTAAAACTAATATTACATCTTTTATACGTCAATGATAAACAAAATATAAGATGTAAAATATTTTAAAAATGTTGGTAGAAAAACGATATGTTGATTAATTTTCTTTTATGATTATATTTAATTTTATGCAGAAATAGTAGATAGGCGTTTTATCAGGTACAATTATGAGCATTTTAGAGAGGATTATTAGAGAAGCATATTCAATATATTTGCAATGTATACAACGCTTCATTTCGTTGATAACACGCAAACAAAACCTACGTATATAGCTAGCAGTGACAGCACCAGTTGCACCTCAATTTAACATATTTAAAAAAAAAAGATTTTTATACGTTTTTGCACCAAAAAATGTGTCAGAATGCACCAAATCAATTCAATTTTTCTAAATTTTCTTGGGAGAACTCTATCAGACGCTCCATGAGAGGTTTACGCCGGGACGCCTCCACAGTTGTACCTCAATTTTAATTTAGCAGTTGTCCACCACCCCCATTGAGTCAGACTACTCCCTATTTGTACCCCCAGTCCCAGGAGACTGGCCTAGTAACCAAAACATGTGCATACGGGCATACGAGATTCCCGTGCTTGGCTTGGCGTACTGGCAGTTTCTTGTGGTCATAATAGCTTTGGTTGATTGTGGTAAATCAGATACACCAGGTTCTTACCTTTCGATGAATTGATGAACGTTATGTCTATTTTGAATCCTTGTGTTTCAATAACTCTATCCGTTGTAAACTTGAGATAGAGAGTTCTCCCAGTGGATGTTATATTTGAAGGTTTGGTTTCTCCACAATACTTCCCAATAAGCAGGTCAGCTGTACTTGTTGCACCATCATACACAGATAAGCTGTCCCAATCACAGAGCTCATGGTATTCAACAATAAATGATACAAACGTAAGTAGGATTATCTAAAAAGATATTGAATTCATTACAGCAAATTGAAGACTTTTGCCTCAAATTATAACCATTTTGTGTTGATCAATGCAGCTCAATTTCTTCATTTCTTTATAGGGAATTATAGAACGACGACCAATGCGTAATTATCTGTTGCACTTGCTATCAGATGTTCTATGGCCAGCAAACACAATGACCATCAGCTTCTAGGTCTACCGTTGTCGGGGCATGCATCAATATAACAGTTACCTTATCTACTGGTGCTTCAATCGCCCACAGACAATCAATTTTACTTGGATAGGTTGCGTTTTCTAAATATCCCGGAGATACTATAGCATTTGGTGATGTGGTTAGTACCACTGGTATACCGGAGCATGCTGTAGCTAGGATGTCGATGTGTGGCTCTGGTGTAATTATGGTCTCTGATGTAATTGGGGTCTCTGGTGTAGTAAGGGTCTCTGGTGTAATTAGGGTCTCTGGTGTAATAATGGTCTCTGGTGTAATTAGGGTCTCTGGTGTAATAATGGTCTCTGGTGTAATTAGGGACTCTGGTGTAATAATGGTCTCTGGTGTAATAATGGTCTCTGTTGTAGTAAGGGTCTCTGGTGTAATAATGGTCTCTGGTGTAATAATGGTCTCTGGTGTAATTATGGTCTCTGGTGTAATAATGGTCTCTGGTGTAATTATGGTCTCTGCTGTAGTAAGGATCTCTGTTGTAGATGGTGTTGATGATACTGATGATTTAACCGTGTCTGTAGTAGTAGTAATAGATGATTGTGTGGTCTCAGTAGCTATAGAGTTAGGAAAATAGAGTTATCATGGACTGAATATTTTTCTGAAGAATGTTTATATTTGGCACTACAATGCTCAAATGTATACTAATTTTTCATCGGACATCCTTTGCGTTAATTTGCGGATATACAGTAAACGATGTATGTGACATTTCCAATAACAGAAAAATAAATTATGTTAAGAAGGGTCGAAGTGAAAGTGAAAGTCGTGATAAAGTATTTTGTTTCATACCATCAAGTGGGTGTTCCGGAAGAGAAATCTTGTTGAAAAGGATCAAAACATATATACCTTTATCGTTATTATGGTATACGACAAAAGAAACAGCTTACCATTGGATGTTTTGACTTTGATTATTGCACGAAATCCAGCTTTTGGAACAACGCTGTCTGAGTGAAACAGTAGGAACAACTGATTGGTTTCAGACTCAATGGAATGATTCTGGAGGGTACCACAGAACTTCTCAAGTATGGTACCATTTGCTGTATCTCCGTCATGAACTACCAAATAATCCCAACTACAGTTTGGATGATATTCCAATTCGAAATCTTGAAAGCTGATGGAGAAATACTGCAAAACATTAAGACACAGGAATATATTGAATAGTGTAAAAGAAGTGGAAACTAACTTATCGTGTTTGTTTCTGTTATTTAGTAAATGATTAAGAGATGTGTAATTTGAACAGTATGCAGCACATATCATATTCGAATAACCAAGCTCTTGACTTTCTAGACAAACTGCTACTATATCTATGGAGGGATCGAAAATTCCAATGCACTAATAAGTTGATATCTGGCGGCTCTAACGAATTGGAATATATAGGAATTGAAATCTACAGGATAACCGTCATAGAATGGGCCATAATGGAAATACCCTTTCTATACTATGCTCACCTGATTAGAGTTTGTCGAAAAAGACAATCCACAATCAACATTTATAGGATACTGTTGACCTTGTCCATAATTAGGCGATACCAATGATAATGTTTCATTTATGAACATGTGCTTTTGGTCACATATTGATACTTGTCCTTCTGTAGGCTGAAGGCTTGATTGTGGTGATGAATTTGCTGATGTATCCGATGAACTTGTCGATGTAGCCGATGAACTTGTTGTTGGGAGAGACGAACTTGTTGATTGGTTCGTTGAACTCTTTGATGAAGCTTGCGAACTAATTGGTGGTGTTGATGAAGATGTTGATGTAGCTCTTGAATTTGTTGATGGTGTTGATGAACTTTTTGATGTAGCTTGTGAATTTGTTGATGGTGTTGATGAAGTTGTTGATATAGCTGATGAATTTGTTGATGGTGTTGATGAAGTTGCTGATATATTTGGTGAATTTGTTGATTGTGTTGACGAATTTGTTGATATAGCTGATGAATTTGTTGATGGTGTTGATGAAGTTGCTGATATATTTGGTGAATTTGTTGATTGTGTTGATGAATTTGTTGATATAGCTGGTGAATTTGTTAAAGGTGCTGATGAACTTGTTGATTTAGTTGAACTTGTTGATGTGACTTGTGAACTTGTGGAAGTAGTTAATTTACTTGTTGAAGGTGCTGGTGAACTTGTTGGTGTAATTGATGAACTTGTTGATGAAGGGGCTGAACTTGTTGATATGGTTGGTGAACTTGTGGATGATTTTATTGACGTAGCTGTTGAACTTGTAGATGTTGATGACGAATATAGTGGTGCTTTTGAAGTCGCTGATGACGTTGTCGATGGTGTTGGTGAACTTGAAGATGAACTTGAAATAGTTGATGAGCTCGTTGTTGAAACTGAGGAACTCGCTGACAGTAAACTTGATTTGGTTGATAGTTGCGTTGCAGATACTCCTGTTGTATTAACAGCCTCTATTGCTTTCACTACTGCCTTAAATCCTTTCCGTCCGACCACATGGTCAGAGATGAACTGAATTGTAAGGGAATTGCCAGTCGAATTCAACACCGGTTTCTGTTGGCCACATATCGTATCGATGATAGGATGGACAGAGCTATTTCCATCATAAACGATCACCTTATCCCATGTACAGCTGTAATGCTTTTCAACATCCATTTCCTGAAAATCTACTGTTATAATCTGAAATGTGATAGGAATAATATCGAAACATGAGGACCTCAAAGTTGTCTAACTACTCAAAGTACCCTTTGTAGGTTCTTCGGGTAAAAGTATTTCTCGAAAACAAATGAGAAATTATGTAAAAGAAATAATATATCGGGATTAAATGTAGCAGAGCAACAAAAACAGACAATTTTGAAAACATTTTAGTTGGATTCACAGACAGACAGTCCTGTTTTCTAACTTCTAATTTCCAAATTGATCACTCTTGATTTTGTAGATATACCCAGTCTGATACCTTTGTTGTCGTTGTTCAAAATATATCAGCAAAGCTAAAACGAATATTCTTCACGTTCAATTTACGATACTCACCTTACCAGAAGTCGCATTGAAGACTAGCATACAGTTCATATTCAGTGGGTACTGTTTTAGATATCCATAATTTGGTGACTGAACAATCACTTTCTCCGTAACTTGCACCATAAATTGGGAACACATCTCATACGTGACAGGAACACTGGGTATTTGACTAGTTGACACTGAATCAGGTGGAAATGTTGAAGCTGGTTTGACAGTGGTTTGAGTGGTTGTTGCTTCTGTAACAACTGTCGTGGCTGTTGAAAGCTTTAATGTTGATGAGGCAGTAGGACCTGCATTTGAAGGGGATAAAGTAGTGAGATCGGAAGTGCTCTTAGTTGAAGGAGATAGATTGGGTGTCTTCTGTGTCGATATTGGTAACGTTATCACCAAATTTGTGTGAAAATCTGGAACAACTTCAGCAACTTTCAGTTTTTCAGTGGTGCTGGTAACGGTTTGTTCAGAATCCTCGGTTGTAGAGACAAGAGGTGCCGGGGTAGTGTCTGAACTCGTCTCAACTGGGAATTTTATCAATGCTTTGAAACCTGATTTAGGTACGATGAAATCAGAGGAAAATGTGATAAGCGTTGTAGAGTTTACAGTCAACGGTTTTGGAATCTTTGCACCACAATATGTTGACAATGCTGAGGGTGTCTTGGTGGATCCATTATAAAACTTCAGCGAATCATATCCACAAAAAGGATGGTTCTCCACATCAAATGCTTTAAACTGAATCGTCACACTCTGAAATAAAATAAATCAAAACTAAAGAATCACAGTCATCATCGTAATAAGGGGAAAGAAATTTTGTCCTTAGAGCTATTGGATGTTTTTGAAGTCCTATCTGAGCAAAATACATGTGAAGACTTACAAGTTATGGGGAAATGAACCTTCCTCGTGTAATTCTAAAATAGAGATAAAGCTATAGAGACGGATTTACACTGAGAGAAAATCGCAATTTCAAAAACTATTTCAAAGAGCTTAGCTTCCAACGTTTTGGACGCCCAGGATTTAATACTGTGTACCAAACGTTAATAGGCCTACTTTTCTAAACCCAAACCGGAATAGTCATCCTGAGCTATCATTGGTTTAAAATCTTATGAACCAATCAACCATTACTAATTACCTACTGAGATACAATTCAACATAATTGACAATGATTGGTGATAATTGGTCTATCGAACTTTCGGAACGTAAAGATCACGTTTTGTTTTAAATTACTCGTAAATCATCAATTCTGGGAAAAAATTAGAGGTTTCGTTTTTTGGGCTTCTTTACAAAAAATTGAAAGAGTCAAATGTGTGGTTCACAATTTATGTTAAAATAATGAACTGGGCTTCAACTTTTGTGAAAGTTAAAATTTGTTACAAAGTACACAATAAGTCATAGTTGTTTCGATCAACAAAGGTACAGCCTTGGATTTAATCACTTGTACTTCTTAATCCTAATCTTCGGGTAACTGACCATTTTTCACCTCAATCAGTTTGGTTTTCGGATGGTTATTAGTCATTTTACTAATTTCAGATTAACATGGGCCGAACATTACATACTCTGATAGAATCCCAGGCATCTTTATTCGCCACCAAAACCATGAATTATTATAACATTCAAAAGGTATCTTAATTTTAAATCAATACTTTTTAACATTTTCTAAGACGCTTTTCGATTATCCTTTGTGGTGTTCGCTGGTACCCTTACGAACTACCCGACAGTATGCTCTGACACTTTTCTGTATTCCCAACGACTTTCAATGAATAAGTTTATGTCGTGGACTTTGCAGTGAAGGTTACGCCGAATATTTGGTTTAATACTTACCATTTGATCCGGTGTAATGATCCATTCGCAGTAGGCATTATTGGGATAGTTTTGCTGAATTTGAAAGTTGGGCGAGGTTATTAATGTTGTTGAGTTGATGATATATGGTGTTGACTGACAGGGGGCCAGTGGAATGGAAGACAAAGAGCCTTCGACCACTGAAAAAGAAAGGGGGTTTTACGTACATATGGTGATACTTATAGCTTTGGTATACACCAGTAAAATTTCTCCCTTTCGTACAAACCTCTGACACCATCTCCCTTTTAACGTTAACTGCTTGAGTGATACCATATTTTTTTTTCCTATCTGCACGTACATTGTCGGAGATTCTAGTAAACACAATTGGATGTTATTGATATCTCTTACCCGGTTCACTGATGGATACAGAAGCATTGAATCCTTTCTTAGCAATAACAACATCGGATCGAAACTGAAGACATAAGTTTCCGGAGTTGGCTTGAAATGTTGGCGGTATGATTGATCCACAGTATCTGTTACCGGAAGTATCACAGACGCCATCTTGGATTGAAAAATAGTCCCAGCTACAATACTGGTTGTATTCTAGTTCAAATGAGTGGAAGACTAGAATTATACTCTGAAATTCAAAAACAAAATATGTTAAAAAGTTGAGTGAAGCTCGATACGTTACAGTTCATGGAATCTTCTGACGTCGTTTGCTTGGTTGTAATGGAATTATCGG